GGAGTTTACTGGTAAATGGACATGTTGATGATACAAATCATAACGTTATATACCACTGGAAAAGTTACATGGTGTATCTTCAGTTAGGGAGCAGGTAAAAATGTGCATGTGTTGATTTAGACTCTTAATGTAAATGTCCAAGTCCAATATTTGTGACTTTTCATTATTAAAATACAATTCTCCAACATCTGAAAATTTCCAAAACATAAATAATTAGCTTTTCTATTGACCTCTATCTTCTGTGTTAAAGATGCACTATGAAACTGTTCTGCTGGAGGGTCTGCATCTGATTGTCTCCATGAGATGTGGCATTTAACATTCCTGTCTCCATGAAGATAAGCAGGTGACGCAACCAGACCAAGTTACAGGTCAGGTGTGTGGAGAGGCGACTTCGCTCACAGTCACAATGCAATAGATCCAACCTGTAGATCGGGAGCTGTCTGTAGCTCTCTATTCCATTCCAAGTAGCTCCCCAAAAGATTTAGGAATCATATATATGCTGCTAAATAATTAATATTTGATTGATATTTGACCTGATTATCAATATATCGTATCATTTAATTTGATGATACAGTATCGCGGGCTTTGCACAAACTTAGTGATAACATGTAAAGCAGGTAAACAAATACTCCTGTCTGACAGTAGCTCAGATGGTAGAGCGTTTGTCCACTGAGCAGGTTAGTGGTTCAAAACCTGCTCTCACTGACCCACAGGTTGGTGGTGTGATTTCAACTCCCACACATAAATGTACTTGTTGGGCAAGACACTTAACCCACTTTCCCTCAGTGTCTGTGTACACTGGTGTGTGGGTGAGTGTTTCCTTGTTGTAAAGTCCTTTGAGTGCTTTGAAGGTGGAAAAGCTATATAAAAATGTAACTATTTAGCATTTGTTTTTTGCTGAATCGAAAGTGCTGTATTGAAAAAAGTATCATGGCCTATGTATCGAGGTATGTAACAAATCAGCAACTTCTTAATGTTGTATTTTCTACTTTTCACCTTGATTGTCACGATACCCAGCCCTACTGCCTAATAACCTATTATGCCTCGCAGGCCTATAATATTCAGTCAGAAGTGTGATTTAGATGTGTATCTTTGTACACTGATACACACATTATGGTCTATGTTTATAGACGTCTAAATATAACCCATCAAAGATTAGTCATCACCTTTATAGTGGCCACATTTTATGCAAGCAGTAGATTTCTGCCATTTTTGTTTTGTAAAAATAACTCACAGGAGAAAAAAGGTTAGAGACACCTGCAAGATATGTTTAATGCCATACTGTGGAACATTTCATATAAAACAATGGAAAGCAGGTGGTGTTCACTTTTAAGTACTGTAAGAATTTACTGTTCTGTTAAAGTCACTGTAAAATATGAATTAACATGAATTGAGTTGTGTAGTACTCACTTACATTTACTTGATAAACTTTTTTTAATGTGTAGAGAGCACTTTTCTACCAGTATACTTCTACTCTTACTCAAGTAATTTTTGAATTGAAGTAAAAATATTCATACTTGAGTAAGTTTTTGTTCCTCTTCGCACTGTGAGTAGGTCTACAAGTGACAAAAGCTTTACATTGACAATATGAAATGATTTGAACATTTGTGCTTCTTGCACCATTTCTTCAGATATGACTTAGTTTGTTTAATTTTTGTGTCTGTCCTTTCGAAACACTAGATTTTGTGAATTATTTAATGTTTTGTCCTTCAAATTACTTTAACATCAATTCACTAGCTAGGACCACACCAACAAGTGTGAAGAAGTTTATTGATAATGTACGAAGCGGGGCAGAGATGGTTGTGTTGAGACTATGGGTGGGGGCTCCGTCTCAATCTTCAACTGGCCCAGCCGGAACGGGACCCCCCCATTGTAGGGATCTTAAGACAAAATAGGGGATGGGAGGGTGGGGTCGAGTTAGCTGAGACAAACTGGGATGATGGGAAAGGCTGCTACATATCGGCTTCTGGGAATTAGAGACGTGGTCGAGGTGAGTTGTGGTTCACTGGTGAGAGGAGAGGGCGGCTGAGGCGTGGTCCTGCTCCTGAATCTCAGTTAATCATATTAACTACATTTTATAAATCTGATGTTACGTCCCAACAGTTAATCTAATTTGTACTAGTTTACCCAAATATTCTTCTTACTTTTACTTGAGCTGCTTGGACCACTACTATGTTAACCACTACTTAATTAATATTATTTTAAAGTCATTTTAGTTTTACTTGAGTACACCTTTCGTCTACTCTCCCACGTCTGCACGTATGAACAACTTAGCAGTAACAGAGTGAATGAGCTCCTCAGATCCTCCTCATGTCTTTCTATTTCCTCTTGTTGTTCGGCCCAATCACACAAGATGGCGGTGATTACGTGCTCAGGATTCAAGAGTCAACAGCTTTTGTGCTTATTGCCTGTTTTATCTCTGTCACTTCACTCAGACACAGGCTTTGTCTCTTTGCATTTAAATATAGCTGCATTACTTAAACTGCTTATACAAGAGGCTGGAGTAATAGGTATGTAATGATTTCAATAATCTTTGTAACACTTGATTGCTTCATTTTATCTTCAATCTTTTTTGTACTTTATTTGTTATAGGACCATCCGGACATACATTGCCGTTATTGCTTAAATTGTATTTTATTCACCTGGAGGGTTATGTCAAGTATTTCCTTATTTTTTAAATGTATTGTTTAAAGGTGCACAATGTAACTTTTGGTTGGGAGTCTGTCACCTGCTTGTTTCTGTGGATATGAGCAGGGTTGCCTCTCCACAGAGCTGACTTGTAGCTTGGTCTGGTTTGCTCTCCATGCTGATAGAAAAGGCTTAATACCATTGTTGGACTTTCCAGACAAAGAAATAATATCTCCATGAAGAAAAGTTTTTGACGGTCCCTCCACCAGAAAAGTTACACAAAAATGTTTTGCGTGTCGAGTTTTCAGTTATAATTTTACTCTTTGCATATGAACTTGAAGCCTCAGTGTGTAGCTATTTAGTAGGAAATTTACTCAAATAAAAGCAGGTTATTCACTTTGTTTGTGTTTATTGCACATGTATTATTACTGTAAGCTTGCATCTCCACAAACTTAACTCTTATTTAGTCAGGAGGGCCTCATGCTTGTTTCCATAGACATGTTGTTCGACAGTATGACATAAAACGCATCTATATATGTCAACGGAGAATGTTCCTAAGTATGGTTTTAACTTTCTGGTTTCATGGAATTATACAGTGTCACCTCCAGAAAGTTACATACTGTGCTATTAAATTTAGCGCTTTCTGTAGAGTGGCTGTGAAGTATGAATGAATACATAAAAAAAAAAAAAACAGTTTTATTCTAAGTAATAAAAGTAAACATTTACAATAACTGAAATAAAAGTTTTTCTCATTTTCATACAAGGTAAAAATTTTGATATATAAGGTTGTTTGCAATTTTCAAGTCATATTTACGCTACTTTTGTTCTGCATTCTACTAATTAATAACTAAATATTACTGAAAGGGCCCATATTACACTATTTCCTGATCTGTTATCATGTTGTTTCTTTATTACAAAAGTACCTGGAGTTGTGTTTTGTTTCATTCACATGTTTAACACACAAACCCTGAATATTTAGGCAAAGTTCCGCTCTTAAACTGTAAACACTCTGTTCCACATTGTGATGCCATGTGGTAATACAAGAATTGCTCCATACACCTTCACCAGAATCATTTAGATGATTTCAGCCCTGGAATTGACAATCTCTACTGAACTTAAGGTAGAGGGTAACTCTTAACTTAAAAACTACCACTACAGTTTAAATGATACTAAAAATAATCTAAAAATAATTTTAAAATCCTTCTATTTTGTTTATATACAGTATATATATTTTATACACAGTTCATAGAGTCCCAGTGTGCCTTGGGTTTGATTCATTAAAAACATTTTCATAACACAAAAAAAATATCACTTGTCTAGCACGAGTTTGATGAAGGCAAAGTTATTTTAAGGAGTCATTTTCTCCCATTACATTGTGAGTCAGAACACATGTTTACGGATGTGAGAGTTTTCCTCCAAGTCATCCAGTGTCCATTCAGTCCATGATGATGTGCTGGCCTACTTAACTATCTTTAAAAAATTACTTAAGACTTGGGTATGCTATAGGTATGGTATGGTTTTCATGAGTTTCTAATTATTACTTGATTTGGTGGGATAGTTCTTGTGGTAAATATTTATGATAGTTTTACATCAGTCAAGGTCAGTTTAAGGAAAAAAGCTGAGAGGAAAAATACAAAAATACAGGAAGTAATAAAACAGAATCTCATTATTTATGTCATTCACATGGAAAATTCCACCCAAAACGCAGCGACAATTTATGCACAAGGAAGGCTTTTTTCCTGCAGTTTCATTTAACAAAATAAAAGTGTTGTATTTATTTTTGTTATTCTAATCTCAAATTGTGCAATTCAGTGTCACATTTTGGTCTTTGTTTATGTAATATTTGCCAGGTAACAGTTAAAGAAGTACCTTTACATATGTCACATCTGCTTTAAAGGTCTATTATTACACAGAATTAACCATTGTGAGCTCGATGCCATGTTAGAATGTTGTTACCTCCTCAAAAACATACCTGGGGTTGTGTTTTGTTTTATTTAAACATGTTTGAGTAACCCTTTATTATTAGTCTGCATCTCCAAAGCTCAAAATGCTCTGTTCCACCTTGTGATCAGGTAGTGGCAGGTTTTAAGTTACCATCTACCTTTTACCTTTAGTTCAAGACTGGCATTTACAGAGCTGAAGTCATCCAAATGATTCTAGTGAAGGTACATGACCTTTAATACACAGTGGAGCAATTCCTGTATTACCATATGACATCACAAAGTGGAACTCAGCCTAAATATGTGAATGAAACAAAACACAACTCCGGGTTTGTTTGTGATGAGGAAAGAACATTACAACATAGAACAGGAAAAAGCGTAATATGGACTATTTAAGCCTCTAACCTTTCAGTGCTTTGGCAGTAACACGAATCCAATCAATACAGTATCGTAATTGGCGATGCGTAATGCGTGATGATGAACCTGTGGGCTCCTGGGGGTACAGGGTGTGTTCAGTTTGCGTAAGAGGGCACGCAGATGATGACCAGGAGGGCGGGGATTGGTCACTGGAAGCATGTCCGTGAGACGCTCCAAAAGTTGTGAGCGCTTTTAACTGAGCCAAGAAGAGACAGTGGAGACGAACCGAACAACAGCAACCGAACCAAGTGGAGCCAAAAGCGCGCGCATTGGACCGAAAAGGACACGTTAATTATCGAAAGCGAAAGGATGAGCATGCCGTCTCTCAGACAACTTTGTGCTTTGTGTTTGCTTTGGTGCCTTGGATGTTGGTGCGCGACAGGTAGGATTTTAAGAAGTTTTTGTGGTTGAAGTTCCTTTGGTTTGCGCGTCTGATGGAGTAAAGAGGCAGCCGCTAAAACTGGCTGGCCGCTGTGCGTAATGTGTGCGTAACGTACGCGTAAAGTAACGAAATTAGTTTATCCTTTTAGCTGATAATCTTAGTTTTTCTTATAATTTGAAACCTGAATCACACTATGATACTTTTGTGTGTGTGTTATAGGCCTAGTTCATTGTATTTTGTACAAAAAAAATTAAAATAAAATAATAAATCCCAATCAGTGGAAACAGTTGCATTTTCAAAGTAACGACAACAAAGTAAGAGCCTAATAACTGCGTAAAATTTCTTACTTTCTTTCTTACTTCTCACAAATTACATTTTATGTATTTTTGTATCTTTATCTTTATTATTATTTATTTATTTATTTATTTATTTTGCTAGTGGTGGATATTCAAAGTTATCCAGATCATTTGGTGAGAGAATTCTATTTAAGTGTGTTCACTGGTCAGGTGGTGTTTTTGTAGCTGTAATCTTTTAGTGTAAAATGTCACTGAATAGAAACATTTACTGGATATGCATTAGGTGCTACTGTAACTGTAACTCAATCTAATCTCTTCATAATTCACTAAGGACTGAAATAGAAGTCATGTTTTAATGCATATTATCCATGTTATAAGAACATGTGATTGATCTGGCTATCTGATTACTTGTGCTACTTGTATATTCATTACTTGTGTCACTAGTGTTTATGAAGTTAACAATCAAATGCTGACACATTCAAAATAGTTGTCTCATATTAGGGCTGAAAAATATCTGAATAAAATATAGCTTTGGATTTTTGAAATACATAATGAAAATATGTTACTCCAATCATTTTCAGATTGCAATTTTGAACCAAGTGTGATAACTCTTAAATCTTCTTCATATCTGCAGTTTGAGCCATACAAAGTAGATTAATTCAGTTACCAGAATATTGTCATGATTCTGTCATAAAAGAAATATGATGTCATATCCTAGAAGCAATTTCACCAAACTCTAAAACTATACCAATATGCTTTTTTCATGACAGTAACAATGACGACTGTTTAGAATCCAGAGAAACGTAGAACCGATTTGGGTAATTCTTCCCAGATTATCAAATTTAAATTTAGTACAAATGTATTCACGACAATGTTTTACCACAAACTGGATAAGAGCAGTAGTTACATTTATGTGCCTTTTTTGGACTAAAGTGTACATACATATGTTCTTAGGCACATTTCGGCAGCTGGTTCGGGTAAACTAAATATCGGCCTCTGTTGGAGATCTAAGACCGACACGCCATACGCTATAAAGTCCAAATATCAGTCTGATATACCGACCAACCAATATATCAGTCCATCTCTATCCAAAAGACTTGTAAATGTCTCATAATAGTTGAACTTTTGTAAATTGCAAACATTATCTTGCCGTTTCTGATCTAAATTTGTTTCCAGTATCAAATAAGCTCTAGCAATTGCACGTGTCATCTGTTTCAGTTTAAAATACATTGTTGTGGGCAGGGCTATGGATTGTCTGTATCATTTTTATCGCCCTACATTTCAAAACAAGTCCTGCTTTAATGCCTTATTACTTATTAACGACATTTGGCCCAACACTGTGAGGTATTCCCATAAATTTGGTTCAGTGCCACAAGAGACTGGAAATCTGACTCCTGCACAGACACAGGCTGAGCTAATGTTATGACAAATGTATTTTATTGTATTGGTCTGAGGAGAAAAAGAAAGTCAGCCAGAGTGGAACAGAAACACATTTCAGTCTGCTGCCCTTAGTGGGTACTTGTGTTGTCACGATACTAAAATTTCAAACTCAATTTTGATACTAAAGAATAGACTTGAATACTAGAATAGACAATACTGATTTTGATAAAACTCAAAACCTTTTGTTTTGTATCAATCAATTATCAATCAATGAATATCTGCATTTTAGATTTTGAAAATGTGGTCACCCTAACCCTAGTGGATACTCAAGTTGAATTTCAGTGACAATAATCTAAATGCCTAAAAAGCTACATTAACTATACCCTGTTTTATGTCAGACTGATATGTGTGTCACTCTGAATTGTGTTCCACACATTATCAATATGGAAGTTCTCACTGAAAGAGATCAAAAACTTGGAATGTCATGGCGACTGTTTGAATCTGACTGGTCGAAGCATCACAACAGTGGAATAAGCCAAAAAATCAAATTTTCGTTATATCCAGTAGAGAGAAAAGCACAGATGTCTTCCCTGTCCTCAAATGCTCAAAGTGCATGCCTTCTGCACGTTTTTCACAAACTACAAAATTGTTCATATTGGTGCTTAAATAGGCTGAAGTCTGAGTCGCCATGTTTGTTTTGGTGTGTTTGGGTGCTTCACCTTTGGTTTCAGCACAAACCTCAATGTTTTGAGGTTGGTCGCCTTATGGCACCAACAGGGGCAAAGATGGATTTTAATGAGTTTGTGATATTGTGGAAATCCAACGTGCTGCGCAGCATTACATTAAAGAGGGAATGTGTGGTTATTAATTAATTGGTGACAGCTTTAACTGACAACTTAAGTTTTTACGGACAGAGGACTGGCTGTATACCTCTCTAATAAAGACACAAGCTGATCAATGACAATCAGAAATCTCTTGAATATCAGTTTCAATTCAAATTGGATTGCACAAATTTTACCAGTGACAAATGTAGTTATTTATTCTTTTTTTAACAAACAAAAGAGGTAAATTGATGAACCCCTCAACCTAATCCTAAAGTCATAAAAGTGGTGTGTGTCTGTGTGTGAGTGTGAGATAGGTGGTGGTCAGAGGAGCCACTAACATAGATTGGCTGCCATGATTGTGTCAGTCTGCCCCAGGGCAGACCTGTGGCTCAGTGCGGGGGAGTAAGTGAGTAATGATTAAAGAACCTTGAGCTACTCACTCATCCAGATCCTTAAAACATTTCACACTAATCATTGTCCTTCTCCTGCCTCAGTCAGAGAGTGGAGTGAGCAACAGATGAAGTGTTTTGCCCAGGGACACAACAACCTACGAGCTTCACAGTGTTCAAACTAGCAGTAATGTCCCACTTAACACGTTGAGCCTTGTGTTTAAAGATGCATCATGTAACCTTTCTGGTGTGGTGTGTGTGTGTGTGTGTGTGAGCGGGGGGTCTCCCATTTGCACAGAATGGCAGTAATGTATATATAACATTTACTACATGATATTATGTTTTCATTGCTCAAAAATACCATGCATGATACAGTGAGTTAGATTGCGTCTCCACAGATCTGACTTGTAGCTTGGACTTGAAAAGAAAATATACTCCTAGAAAATATTCACCTTGTCACCTGTGATTTAACATTAAATAGATTTAAAAATGCACAGTGCCAAAGATATAGTGTGAGGGACTGTGTCTCACAAAATACAAAGACTGCAGCACTAAAGGAGCACCAATTTAAAATATTTTAATTTTTTTCTGAATAGAAAGATTTGCTTTTATTTGCATGCTGTATACACTATCATAAAGTAATCTGTCTTCTGTTTTTTTGGTCCTGTTTGCAGATGCAAGTCCTTACAGAGACTGGGAAGACGGTATTCAGTTCAGACCGGTACGTGACTTTTGTTTTTATCAATTATTTTGTATTTTTATCCATATAGTTGTTAATAGAAGGCCTGCAATCACTACATAGCTTTAAATATAAATTACACTAATGTAATTTATGTGTAAATATAAATTACACTAATGTATTCTAACAAGTATTTGTAACTAATTACAAATACTCATGTCACTGCAACTGAGTAGATTTTAGCAGTAACAGTATTTTTACATTTTTACAATAGATTTAGAATACACAGCTGTCACACCACCTCTCTATAATCCTCTCTATAGTCATACATAACAGTGCACTACAGTTTAACACAAACCAAATCAAAAGTTTATTGAATCAACTTTTTGAAAACAACTGCTCTGAAATCCTACAAAATTCTAAATGCTCATGCATACTTTAACTACAATTAAATTTTGTCAACAATACTGTACTCTCATTCCAGTAAGAATTTTCACCAGTTCATTTACAGCAGCTTGAAAATCATTTAGTTATTAAAGCTTAAATACATTTTTTGACGTACTATTTGCAAAATGGTAAAAATACCCAATGACGAGGCCTGCGTTTGGCTGTGGTCATTGATGTCAAACAAATTAAGCCTCTCGGGATTATTCAAGGTCTTGTTGTGAAGTAAACAGTTGCTAATTAGCTTCGAGTGGTGTCACATTTCACAGTAAGCAACGTGTGTCTGATTATTTAGAGTCATTAAGACTTAATTCAAATAAGGAATAAATAAATATGTTTTCTTACCTGCAGGTTCGAGATCTCCAAAATGAAGATCTGAATGACATTTTAATTAGAGATCAAAATGAGGTAAGAACAGATGAGTTACTTAAAGGCCATAATTATCTGGTTATTATACCATCAACTATAATTCCCATGACTAATTAAAATCAATAAGACATTTCCTCTTTGACACTACTCCTCTTTACCACTACCTTTGTGAGTGGAGCATCAATGAGCAGCCTGGGCTAATTGGCTCTGGGCACTATGGGAGCCGCCTAGGTCCAGTCAGAGGGACTGTCAACTCCACTGTACTGTAATGTGTATGAGATTTTTACAGAGTCACACTAAAATCAATAAATTATGACGATACGATTTGTGTGCCAGAGCTAATGCTAGAACATAATAAGTGTCAGAACTTAATAAATATTTAACTGACTGAAATAATCCACATCTAAAAATAATCGGGTTGTCCTTACAACAAATTTAATTTTGTTGTTATGTTACACTGAATGTTTTAATAGAAGTTAACATTAGTCGTGACACACAAAGACGTCCCTTTGTAAACACAGAAAAGTCCTCTGGTGAAGTTTTCCCCACATTTGTAAAGTGTTAAACACATTATCAGTGACATTCACCCACAGCTCCCTGTCCACTGCCTCATCTGTCAGGATTGACTGATTTTAGTGTGACTCAGCCAAAACCCTCACAGATTTTACACTACACTGGTAATGGTTGATCTGATTGTCCCTCAAATTGGACCAAGCCAGCTCCTGAAGTGCACAGAGCCAACTGTTGATGAGTAGAAACAGTGAAGGATTTGGGTCAGTTTTACAAATTTTGATATCTACTTGACTAGGTCAGAGCATCCAACAAATGCAGCTCTACTAGGTCAGCAGGGATCAGTATCTATTAAAGGTTATTTAGAGATTAGAACTGGATTAGAACTGGTTTAGACCTGGTTTTGTCCAGGGTTAGTTCTGGTTTAGTACTGGTTAAGTTGTCTCTTAGACCTAATTTGAGTTAGACTTCAGTTAATCCTTGACTGGTTTAGTTTAGTCCTGATTTAGTTCTGATTTAGTCCTGGTTTAGTCCTGTTGTAGTGCAGCTCTTGTGGGCTGTTCCGACTCTGCAGTGCTCAGTATATTTATAATATACTTTATAATATATAGTTCTCAAAATGAAAGATGAACTCAAGTATAGAGGAGAATAAAGCAGCACTGTATAAACATTGGACAATATGTCCAAATGATATTATGATAAAAACATATTACTTAACTCAGAAAGAAGAACTAAAATAAGTTATATAGTAGTAGATTAATGTCCCTTGGCTTTAATATAACATTTATTGACTGTTAACTGCATTTAAGAGACTTCTTCAGCTTTCTCTCAGAATATTGCATGTCTTAAATATAAACCTGTCATCTAAACTGATAATAATATTTGGATTTTCTTTCTAGGAGCAAGTCCAGAATGTTTTCAAAAGAGTAAGTAATATGATTTGTATACTAGTCATTTAGTAGTAGCACACTGACATTTTTGTTGTCTGTTTTTCTTCCAGTTTCTGTTTCATTATTCCAAAGCCCGTAACTCCTTGGGGCCCTTACAGCAGGAGGTGAGACCAGATTTTAATGAAAAACATGTTTTTTACTGGTTCAATGCGACCAAAGAGACACAACATCTGCTCAGGGTCAAAACAACGGGCGTTTAAACATGAATGATACAATATGGGAACTACAATGACAATCTACTGTAGTCCAAATTAATTAGGATTCTACTTACCTTGTTTTGAGTAGTATCACCACTGATCATTTCAGCTGGAGTAAAAATATAAAAATATACAAAAGACAAAAAAATCAGCATACTAAAACAAATAAATAAATCTAAATTAGACAAGGATAAACCAATAATCAAAATTAGTGTCATTTTATCTCATGTACGTTCTACTTATGACTGTCAATATGCTCTGCTCACATTTACTGGAAAACATGTGGAAATATGAGGATGACGATTTCCGGTGCAGTTACCGACACAGGGCATGAGATAAAACCTTGGATCCAGCAGGGGTCTTCACACCCTGACAAAGCTTCCCATGGGGGACGAGACTCTAATCGCATCTTCGCAGCTGGTCATAAATGTTGATCTGCCGAACATAACAGAAAGCTACAATAACATTTTTCTTTTTCTTTTTTTTTATTTAGTTAGATAAATTATAATACACAAATGAATAGGTAATTTATAAAAGGAAAAAAAGAAAAAATACAGTGACATCTAAGTGTGAATAGAGCTCATACATTTACCTATTAAAAAAATATGGGTCATTTGAATGGAAACTCAGTGCATTGGGCAGGCTGCAATTTTACATATTTAATGTCTGAGCAAAGAGAACAAAATGTGTAGGGATGTAATTTTTTTAAATCCTTAACTATTAAAATTAGGAATGTAACAATAACCAAAATATTGTGGTATCGTACTGTCAGAGTTCTCACATTAATATCGTGGACCATCATAATATATCGAATTACAAGTCTCTTTGGTTAAATGAAGAGTTATGGTGCAGCAATAAAAAAAGGAACTACATAGACCATGATTCTTTGCTCCATTTCTGTGTAGACTACATGAAGAAATAACATTTCTAAGAACTTTTAAGTCTTAGGTCTTTGGATTAAGTCTTGTCAAGGCATTTTAAGAGGAAAAAGGAGCATCCTAACAGTTTTGTTTGCCTCCACAAAATATCACAATAAATATCGTACCATGTATATCATGAAAATATCATACCGAGAGATTTGGATATTGTTACATTCCTAATTGTGAGCCTCCCCATCCTATTGTGAACTTTCCCAGGATATTGCAATAAATATCGTACTGTGAGGTTCATACTGTGACGATATCGTATCGTGAGACTTGGATATCGTTACACCCCTAATTAGAAATATATTTGTTTTTATTTTCAGAATCACTCCCCCTCAGTTCACCCTCTGATGCGACTGTCTCCAAAACTGTCCCAAAGAAGAAAGAAGAAAGTGGTGCTTTTGGTAAGATAACATTTAACACTGGCTATTAATGATTCGTCCGCATATTAAATCTAAACTGCATTTGACAGTAAACCCAAATGTGCTCAAATGTTCATAGATAAGATAGTTGACTCTTGTGAGCTTTAAGTCATGTTAGAATGCTGCTTTCTCATCATAAACATACCTGGAGATTTATTTCATTCACACATGTCTGAGTAACCATTTTTTTATTAGTCTGTCATGCTCAAAATGGTCTGTTCCACCTTGTGATGTCATGAAGAAGTAGTTTTCAGGTTTGAGAGAAAAACTCAGCCTAAATAAACCTGTGTGAATGAAAGGTTGCGATACAGCATTATAAGATAGATCAGAAAGTACACATCCCTGCAGCTGCAAAGTATCAGTAAAGTAATTTGTTTTGTACTTTTACTTAAGGTAGATAGTTGGATAATCCATGCTTAAAATATCATGATCATTAACCTTATTAAAAGCTATGTTAAATGGATCTTATGTACTTTGTGCTATTTAAACATGGACAAACACCCTATTGAGCTGAACGGTGATTAGGCAAAGCAGTGGATGCAAATGTGTTTTTCTTCAATTATCTCTGACACATCCTTCTCATCTCTGTCTCCTTAACGACCAACAGATTAGGGCACTGCCGGAGGACATGTTGTAAGAAAAATGTCCCACTAAACAAACAAAATTAGACCCAAGAAGAAGAAAAAGAAGGTACCGTGAGCTCCGGCGGAGAGAACACCCAACTCTCCAGACACAGGTGGAGCGATAGCAGCATTGTGGACTTTAAATAAATGATTGTATATTTGCCAAACTTAGCGTCACACTGCCATGCCTCCTATGTGTCTTCCTGCTTGAGAGGATAGGTCAGTATTTTACAACATGGGGTTTGAAATCAGGATCAGTAAGAACACAGTTTAAATCATCTTATGTATTTCAGCTTCCTGTCCTAAGGTATACAACATTTCAAGGTCTTTTTTTCCCATTCTAAAGACATTTTGTTTGAAGTTGTTAATCTTTATGGCAACACTCAGAATGTTTCATCATTTTGGACCCATAGTTAAATCCGATCAGTGAAATTTATCCTTTAAAATTTAGCATTCAAAATTAAAGATGCATTTTTGTATATTTATTCAAGTTTTTTGGTGGCGTTGGGGGGAGAGGGGGGTCAGCTTTGCTTGGAATGTTCCATAGTATGGCATTAAACTGGATCTTATTGTTGTTAGCAGGCTTTATCCATGGAGACAGAAAAGCTTAATACAAAACTTGAGAGTGAATGAGTAATGGATCTAAAATGGAAGTCGAGAAGTGTTATAATGGGACATCCATACTATATAACAAACTTTAGAGCGCAATATTTTCGATTCAACAATGGTAAATTGCAATTGAACCAATACATAATGGTAATACATTAATTTCTACTTGCTTTTAATGCCCCTCTGGTTCTTGTTTGACAATTTTCTAACAATTCTCTAATATTCATGAGGTTATGTCTTCTTTACGGTGCCATTTTGACAACTTCTGACATATCAAAAGCTATAATCTTTTGTTTTGAATTTAAGTGCTATGGCATGGATAGATATGGAAAGATACTTCATCTATTTACCATATTACAAACCCCAAGTATGACACATCTCCATTAAAAAATACTGGCCTATTTCTATGTGTTCACTGTCCCGCACAGATCTTTCCTATGTAGCACCCTGAGGAAAAAAAACTACCGTCTGAAAATACAACAACAACAGGTTTAAATAAAAATCCTTTATAATCAACAGTGAAACCACCTGTTAGAAGAAATCGCATGCACCAAAACTGGCATGATCATCGTGGCAAAGAGATTAAACTTATATTGTTTGAAATGTATTTAATGTCGCTTTTTGACACATGAACATAATAAAAAATATCTAATTTGTTTTGAAGCATTTGTAGAGGCTCATTGTGGTAATATTTGTCTAAAAGTTGAAAATTTTCTTGTGACGATGTAAAATTGTCCATCAAAGTGTCCTGGCGATGTGCCCTTGAGCAAAACATACAAACAAGGACATAGACCCCAAATCCAAGGGTTTTGGCTCTTTTTTTCTTTATAGAGATGATCGGACAGTTCTCTGGAGTGTATGGAGCACCCATTTTAAATTTTCCCTTAGCGTTAATAGTCCTCATCACTGTCGTCACTGTCCTTTTTCGTGGGTATCGAACATTTGATTGATGACATGAGTTTATCCTCGATCTGTTTTTTGGGGTTTTCCTCCAGGTCTGTTTTCACTGCTCCGGATTCTGACAACCTCCACTCCAACTCTGAAGAAGAAATCATAAAACAATTGTTAAAACCTGTAACACATATTTCCTAAAGAAGACAATGTGCTTGTGCATTGTGCTACAAAGTTATAATCTCTGATATATGCAGATCTTTACGTTATAATTTGGACATTTTAAATCACAATATTCGTCTAAAATGACTTAATAAAAGAAACAGCACAAGATAAGACTTCTACGTAAGAAAACAGTGCACTGTCTCCATAAACGTCATCACAACAAAGAGATGCACAGTTGTCAGCACCTGCCATGAATCACACCAAATACAACTTTAAGAGGTCTAAAAACTTTAACATTTTGCATAATAGATCAGCATTTTTAAGCTGGCCATCACAACACAACTTGAAGGTATGTAGGATTTTTCTTTAAATATGTCCTTAGATATGAACTAAACTTGCCCAGTACTGATTTTACAATTGTAAAAATGATTTATTCACAGTTAGAAAAACATACATTTTGTTTGTTTTATACATTTTGTTTCTCATTCATTTGCTGTGGTTAACAAGCATTCCAACCACTTAGCCACTGTCACCTCTCACTTGTAACAGCTATTACATTTAAAGAAAGTCCATTGTATATCAAAGCCATTTCTATCTTGGATAAGCAGTTCATCTTGAAATAGTGTGACCATTTACCGTCCACTTTGAGGTTCATTCCTCCGAACACGAGTGGTCCGATGAACTGTGCCTTCATGTCGCCCTCGTAGTAGACGAAGATGGTGGGCAGGTTGTGGTCAGGGTAGTTTGGGATGCAGGTGGTGGAGATGGACTTCAGGAACTTTGTCTGAGGAAATTTCCGCGCCAAAACACTCAGGTGCTGGTTTATCAATGTGCACAGAGGAATACTGAAACAAAAACAATAATTTGATATATTACACAGCACAGATTTTTAATAGACACTTAAAGCTGGAGTACTGGAGTTTCAAACTGTGAAAGGGGGAAGTTGGTAGTTTAAATCTAACTTGTTCCAAGATCTTAAAAACCTTGTGGTAATAAAAATAAAGCAGCCAATCAACTCTCATCCTAAAGTGTCATACAGGGACTCACTTAACACATTTGCAATAGATGAAATGTTTTCTTTTTGGATTAAGACAGTATACAACATACAGTATAAACACCACAACCACACAAATCACTCTTACATGTTACTCATAAAATGTAAGATGGATGCAGAATACAAACTCAAGCTACTACTAAAGCTAGAGTTACCTACCCTGGTTTATACAGATGCAAAACAACCCAGATTCCCTCCCCAGCTTGGTTGACCTCTTTGATGTAGTCCTGTCCTGAGATTTCACCCACTTCAACAAACTTAGTCTTCATCTGAGCTGCTTTCCATTCAGCAAGTCGCTTCTGTCTGTAAAACAAGAACAACTTTTTAATGATATAATGAAGATAAACAATGCTATAGGCCTATAATATTTAACGGGAATGGGGAGAGGAAAAATGACCTTAGTTATGCAGATGTTTATAACGAGTGGAAAGTTAAGTCACTAGTTTAAATGATCAGGTGATCAGGACATTTTTGGACTTTACTGTGATATTTGTGATAAAAATTCCATGTAATCAATGGGGAAACGTTGCTCTTTCCCTCCATAATGTAGGACATTATGACACTCTAGAAACCGAAAACCACCAAAACAAGCCTAAAACAAGATCTGTATCCTCGTAAAGCAGGTCATACACGACACCAGACCAGTTTTACCTGTACATCTCAATAGCAGCTTCATCGTCTTCACCAAATTCATCCTCATTCTCATCCAGTTCTTCTAAAGTCATGCTCTCATAGGTTTTCACTGTGAGAAAAATGAAAGATAACAATATATGCATATATTACCAAAAGGCCACATATGTAAAACTACATTTGATTTGAATTCATCATTAATTAAACCATTAACCCTCTTTATCATCCTTTTTCTGTTAAAAATAAAAAAGATGCTCTGGCACAATATCCATTAAAATGTTTTTAAATTACACTAATTTGGATAATAAAAGTTTACATGTTGTCAACGTGACTCTGTCTGGTCCCAGGGAATTTACAATAGTGGTCATTTTTGTATCTTTTTTAGTTCAGAGGTTTGCTCAGGATACTTAAAAATGTTAAATAAAATCAAATAATATTTAGCATAAGATAACTGTGTGAATCCATTAAATCAAATTGGACATTTTACTAATGCACACCGGACAATCGCTCAAATCGCTGCTTTGTGTTTCTGGTAATGAGTTTCGTACCGACAGACTGTTGTTGAAGAGCCAGCTCCTCCTCCTCCTCATCCTCTTTGGGGACTTCTTTTGGAGGCAGGATCCCCTTCTTACGGAGAATATCGTTCCACTCGGTGTCTTCATTTGGGTCCTAGTGGTAACAATTACAATAATTAAATCATGTGTGCCCATCAACCAAAAAAACAGCTAAAACTATTTGAGTGGTTAGTCTAGTTTGTCCATTTGGCCCTTTAGACAACCATCCCCCAAAATGACAAACAAGCACTTTAAGCCAGAGGACAACTGTTTAGCTGTTGTTGACAATTACTAAAACACCATACTCCCAAACGCCAAATCACTACTGTTAATAGCAAAAAAGTCCATAGTTAAGATTGTTCATATATAAGAATTGCGAAATCTTGCTTTGATGGGTGATTTGATGCCCCAATACGAATCTACAACTGAAAGTTTTTGAAGACTAAATAAATAAATATGAGATATTTTGAGAGAAACATTTAGAAGATAATACGCAGCAAACACTGGACAAATGGACAAGAGGCAAATGAGTGACCAAACCCACCGCTGTAACACTCGGAATGCTACGCCCATTTTATAAAGATCATTTAACAGAAGACGAGGGGCTGTTGCACACTGAAGTTTACAAAAATTACTTTTAAGACATAATATTTGTAGTTTAGGGGCTGAAGATCAATATTTAAGCTTTACAAACCTGCATTTTGATGGAAAATACGCTCCTCTGAAATCACACCGCTGCTCTACTCCAGACCCGGAAACAGAAGGACCGTTCTGTAATAAGGTCTGACTTGAAACAAGCAACATACGGTTCGATAAAACTGAAAATACACAGGGAAAAGTAAAGCATAAATGACTTTCTTATTCTATATATGGTTTTCAATATCGACTCTATTTGTAATAAGATTTTACGCCTGTTATTTGCATCTAATATTGAATATTAAAGAAGACCGCTTCTTCGGGGGACAATAATAAATGCAACACCAGATTCCGATTGACGCTCAGAATGACCATAAAAGGAGTGAGAGCGCACGTTCCATTTTTGGCACAGAAACAGGTGTTAAAACTTACTCAAGACAGATAAAGGTTTGCTTTTTGATTCACAGCGCTATTGTTCGTAATTCATTAAATGTTTGGTGAATTGTTGTTACAAACATTCATGTTCATTGTTTATTTCATTCAGATTTCACTGTTGGTATGAATTGCGTAGAGACAGCTGAGGTGACCCCAGAAGTCATATGAGGAGAAGTAGTGTGTGGGTGATTAGCTCTCAAGGCTAAAGCTAAAAACAGTGGAACACTAAGAGCTTTGGTGAATGAGCCTCTGACTGCGGCTGCTGAAGGGTTTTAGTTGAAGGTGCACTATTGTAACCTTTCTGGTAGAGGAGGGTCCACAACTTGTCTCTCTCCATGGAGATATTGATTTGCATGAAATGTTCCACAGTATGGCATTAAATATATCCACCTCTAGGGAGACAAGCATGTGATCACCAAGCCAAGATTTAGGTCAGCTCTTTGGAGAGGGGAAACTGTTTAAGGTAAATAAATAAATAAAGCTTAAGCTTAACTTAAAAACAGCTGCAATTGAATGAATGTGAATAGATGCATTTAAGGGCGTACTGTGGAACATACCAGTCAAAATTCCTCCTATAGGTACTAGTACATGGTGTTCAAAAGAACTGTAAAGTATGAGGAGGAATTGTGGTGCTCCAAAGAGGATAATCAGAAGAAACAGAAATTTCAGGACTTGATTTTGATCCCAGTAGTCGTGCTGTATAGAGCGGGTGTACAGACTCCTACATCAAGTCCTAATCCTGCTCTGGCATACTGCTATATGAAGAGAAAGAGTCCCCAGTGCTTCAACAAACTGAGTAGAGAAGAAACACAAGAGTGGACATTAGCACAAAACCAAATTTACACAATATTTAGTTATTTTAATGACACTGACAGTGATGATGACTGAGCGCCATTCAGGTGTTCAGATGCACAGATAGATGCACAGACAGAACCACGAATACCACAACCACCAGATCAGAGACCAAAGCACAGCTGCAGTGAGAGCGACCTTAGAGCTGTTCAGTGTGTGAACTTTTTTTGCCGGGGTCTAATCTCAGAACTGTCAATTAACAGACAGACCTTCACCTACACAAATTCACTAGTGGCACTTTACATACAAGATCAGATGTAGGTGAAAAACATTAATCTGATCAACCTATAAGATCACTATTCCCCGTTAAATCACAGCACTGTTCACACACGAGGGAAAAGGTGTTCATTTTGTAACAGACACACAGTAACCTTTCAGTTGCTCAACATTTGGTCAAAAGATTGCTCTATATTCACACATAGTAACACACAAAAAAGTTCATTCTCAATCTGCAATGAGGCATTTGCTCACACACACTCTCTGTTGTCATATGGGAACTTTTTACCATTATAAATAATATAGCCTGAAAACAGTGTAAACTGTTTCTTTTAAGCTCATTATTATTGATTATTTGTATAAACCTGTATATTTTATAGTCTACTTTATAAAATGTGAAATAAACTAGATTGGACATAAATCAGACATGCTTCTCATTCATAGCACACACTTATGAGCATGTGTTTGTGTTTACTAGTCAAAATGTGACTGAGAAGAAAGACTAAAGTTAACACCTGCAGGAGGAGCGCGGCTCGAGAGGAGGAAGTGACGGAGAAAGTGAGAGATGCGGAACCGGAGTGAAGACAGAGCGCTCACTCTGTGCACATTTGAAAGAACTATTGAGTTATTCGTTTTACTTTTATCAAAATGAATTATTGGCTAGGCATACAAAATACAAAGTATATATTTATTTCATTTTATTATTTTAATGATATCACCCAAAATATTACTTTGCCAAGATTTGTAAATACTCCAGTATTATGATTTTAAAGATATGATAGTACAGAAATTAACTTAATATTTGTATTAATTTTTTATTGTTCATATTTCACTCATACAGCATCACTTATATTTCCATTATATAATATATTTGTCTGCACTAAATACGGAATAAATAACTTGTACAAGATCTCAGACAAAAACGTTTACCTTTGCTAAGATATTATCTTTTTATTGTTTATATGTAAAACTGTAAAATTGCATTGCATTACAATGTAAAAAATAAAAATCGTATGTTAAATGTTCAGTAAAAGGGCGGGTAGCCTACCTGACATGTGAAAATAAAGACTGAACCTGACTTTATTCGATGTATTACTATGTGTGTTGTACTGTGTTGTAAAAGAGATTAAATTAAATTCGTTTAGACTGGTTTGAAAAGCGTTTGTATCCACAATATATGATGAACATGTTGTACAAAAACATGGTGAGGCATCGTGCTCACACACGCTCTGTCTCATGTGGACAGCTGTTGTGGATCGGCCGAGAGAAGCGGCGAGGAGGAAGTGTCCAACGAGCTCCGCATCTGTCCCACCAACATGGACAAAAGCCCAGCCCCGTCTGTGTAAGAACGACTCTGTCCTCTCCTTTAGCCGGGGCACAGGCACTCGGAGGCGGATCACACCCTCCAGAGAGCCCCGGGAGAGTGGAGGGCTTTCCCGGACCCTCCCTGCCTCCCTCCCCGCTTGCCTGACTGCTTCTGCGGGAAAAATGTGGCTAAACCCGGAGGAAGTTTTGTTGAAAAATGCGCTCAAACTTTGGATTACAGAAAGGAGCAATGCCTATTTTCTACTGCAAAGAAGGAGAGGACATGGGGAGTCTACTGGCAAGATTACAGGTAAAAATGTATATTATTTTTAAGACTAGAAGACGTGAAAGTAAAGGAAAGCTAGCAAGAAACTGAGTAAGACTGCGAACATCCAGATGTTACAGGTGGATTTGCAAAAACAATCCAAGATGAATAATTGAATGAAAATGTAAGTCTAAAGTTCTGGCTAGCTAAACATAACGGGACTTGTAATCTAATAGTTTGGCAAGTTGTTTTTGAGGACTTGAGCTAAAAAAATAACTTGATTATGATACAGTCAGGTAGGCAAGATGGAAATTAAAATAGAAATAAACATGTTTTACAGATGTTAAGTTGTGGCTATCTTACTAAATAATGGTTGCCAAGGTATTCATTAGTTTGTGAAGCTGGTTCAAACAAGATCTTACAAGTGACATAGCTATTTGTTTATGTATTTATTTAGATTTGTTTTAGATTTAAACCAAGTTCATTAATAATCTTTTTCTGATTTTAGGCTGTTTCTAAACGAATGTAAGATCAACTCTAGTAGACGTGTTGCTTAGTGTATATGTAAAAAAATTAAAAAATAAATAAAACATAGACATAAATTTTACCTAAGGCATTGCTTACGTTTGCTGTTTACTCTAACCTTACTGTGTAATATGAAAATGGTTTAAGTAATTCTTTTTCCTATGCAGTTGTAAAAATGAAAGCATTTTTTCTACTTTTAGAAGACCGCCTTCTAGAACTATTTTTACATATCTTATTTATGTAATAGGCCTATCACATGTGACACTAAAGGAATGTTTGCATAATTTCCTCTGCAAACACCAAAATATCAAGTGTGACTCTATATAAAACCCGGTAACCATAGTTTAGTTGCCTGACAGTGGCATAGCTCTATTACAGGAATGTTACATGGCAGTGCCAGGCAAATAGTTTAGACATTTCTGAAATGCATGGGATTATTGAATTAGACGAGCACTTTATATTACTGTTTTCTATCGAATGTTTATGCTCTGGGATGTGTCTAAAATGTGAAATTTGGAAACTAGTCACAATCCTAATGCTTGACAGAAAAATCACAATTATATATTTTCACCAAATTTGTGCAGTCGTACTCAAAATCAACGTTAGACTGTTCCTGTATGTAATTATTTTGTATTCATTCAATTTATATAATGTTGTACTGTAAATGCAGTGTTTACCGATAATAGAGAAGACTATGGTGCCCCCTCAGTCTAATATTGGTTCCGTAGGAAAAAAAAAACTGTTTACTAATTCAACTTTATGTCTGTATTATTGTGTTAATATAGACATACATATAGATGCAAGTATACTGTATCTGTATTTATTATTCATTTTTTTAAATCAATCAAGCCAAAAAAGTCACATTTATTCTCCATATATTGTATCAAATGGAATGATTCAAATATGGATTTCTCGTGCCGCCATAGTCTCAGTATAAACTTATGGGACAGACTGCAATGCAATGAAAGAACATAAATTCAGAGCAGTTATAGAAGATTTTAGTGCCCTATTGCGTAAAAGGCTTGTCATGCTGCAGGGGCCAGGGGACGGTCGCCTGGAACCCTAAAGTCACATGATTATAATCAGGAAGTCCAAGCAAATCTCTCATGACTTCACTTTACATCAGAATGATCTAATTGTACCAAATGTAATAATAATTTTCAGCTTTACTTTTTAACAGAACGAAAATCTGTGTTCTGGTCTCGATTAGGAATGTCAAGATTATTTGGTTAATCAATCACTGCGATTGGTCATGTGGTCACAGTAATTAAATAATTTTGATATTTTAAGTTAAAGATGCACTATGTAACTGTTCTGGTGGAGGGTCTGCCACCTGCTTGTCAGTTGTCAGTCTGGAGATGTAATTTGTTTGTCTGAAATATTCACCAGTATAGCATTATCTATTTCCATGGAGACAAGCGGGTGACTCAACCAGGCCAAGTTACAGGTCAGATCTATAGAGAGGTGACCCTGCTCCTAGTAAGAATGCTTGTTTTTCAAGGTATTCAATACAATAATATATACACTGGCAATGGAATAAATGCAAGATTTTTGAAAAGTTTAATGCAGAATCAAATGATATTATAGTCCATCAGAAATGTACTAAAACTGGCCTGTAATATCTGAGATTGAGTTTTGGTAATTGTGTTTGGATTTTTTGTGTTTAGATTTGGATTTTCATGACAGTTTTCATAGTATACTCATTTCAACATTTTTTTTAGACAAAATATTGCAAAGACAGAAAGTAATATAATGACCTATATCCTATATCATATCCTATAGGCCCAAATGCAAAACTAGCCTTTACAATTAGATTCAAACACCTAATATATTTCGTCTTTACATGAAATCTCTTGCTGCATGCCTCGTTGTTATTTCTGTACAGTGACCACAGGCTCGTAGCAGCTGCTGTCTTTCATTGTTCTAAAGTGGATCGCTGGAGCTGCTTCCTCCGTCCTGTTTCCTCTCGGAGATTCTGAACTCATGAAAATAACACATACCACGGCTACATTACACTCTACCTGAGATGTCAACATTATTTGGTTAATCAATAGTTGTGATTGGTGGTGGTGAGCTTTTTCGATGTAATTACAATTCAATCTAACGCCATAGTAATTTTATCATGTTTTAATTGAGATGAAGATGCTGTAAATGGTTAAAATCTTAGTGCGAAGTAATGAAATGAAAATACTTTGTTTGTTGTTGCAAAATTGTACCTCTTACACACTTAAAAAATGTTTACTTTAAAGTTTCACTGTGTAACTTTGTGGTGGTTTTGGATTTGCCTAGAATGTTCACCAGTATAGTATTTAAGTTGCTGATTTTTAATGAGACAATTAGGTGGCACCACCAGTAACAAGTCAGATCTGTACAGAGGCGACCCTACTAAAAGAAAGAATACTTAAGTAAAACCACTCTTATTTAAATAAATACTAGACTGATATGCTTAGTGAAGATAAGGAAGTGGACAGCAAAGTTGTGCAGTGCATCTTTAAATGTGGTAAACAGAAAATGTGGTAAACAGAAAAAACATGCTTTAAACTACTTCTTGTAAAAGGGACTTCCTCATTTCTTTTACTTTGTTTTCTTATCGTTTCCATGGCTACACAGGTGAAGGGTCATGTCTGCCACACGTATGTTGAATATTAACTTATCGCTGTAAAATACCTTCACTTTAACCAGAGGCTGTGGGGAGAATTTGAATAAAAGAAAAGATTTGTTTTTGGGCTGCACAGTATATCAGAAAAATATTGCAATTCATTTGACAGTAATGTACTGTTTTTGAAAGCTGACAAGAAGGATTTGCATATAGATCCTACATTAAACTTGGGTTGGTCTCAGTTTAGTTTCTGTCAAGTTTTGACTTTTGTACCTAAGTATATTATAATAATAGTAGCCTTGTTACAAAACAAAAGTTATTGAAAATTGCTATTTTTCTTTCTCATATGATTCAGTCCTAGTTTATTTTTGATGAAGCAGCAGAGGAGGTCAGGAGGAGATGTTCCCAGATTTTTGAGCAGGGCAGGGCATAAACATCTGTCTTCTCATTCCAGTGAACATTTATGGAATATTTATTTCTACTTCAGCTTAGGCTTTTCTAATGTTTGGAAAATATTTTGATGAGGAAATGTGCATTAAAGGTGCACTCTGTAACATTTTTAGTAGAGGATCTGCCATTTGCTTCTTTCCATGGACATGTTGCCTGGAATGTTCCACAGTATGGCATTACTCTTATTTATCTCACAAACACAGCAAATGACACCAGTGCACCACAGGGCCAAAATAAATTCTGTCACATCTGTGGAGATATTATTGAGGGAATGCGAGATGGACACGGTTAATGCCCTACTGGGACATTCCAGATTTTCAAATTGTGAAAGAAGGAAATAGGTATTCAAATCTCTTGTTCATAGCTCTCACAAACCCTTTGTATATTGCTACTACATGCAGGTATTAGAATAGACACGGATTTTTCAGATAGGAAAGTGAAGCAGGGTGGACTAGCCCAATGTGTCATTTAGTGACTGACATGGCTCTTTCTTGCAAGTTTGCAATAGATAAGATGTTTTAGAATTAGATTAGGTGTGTTTTGTGGTCTGCTTTTTTTTCTCCGACTTCTGCTTTTGCAATACTCTTTCTGGAGGATAATGTACTAATGTACTGAGTTGAGTAAACCAGATTTAATAAAACTCTCCATATACATTCTACCTTCAATACCTTATACAAGTTGGAAAGCTCTTGTACAAAGATATTCAAATTTGTACCATGGTCAGTGAGAATTCTAAGGCTAAATGCCGTGCATTATTTCCGTACTGCACAGGTAGTCCGGCAACAGTTAATCACTGTTCTGTATCACTACGCTGTGAGCATCACCATAGCAATGTGTAAGCAAATTAACTCCTGTTAGGAGGGGCTAGATTCAACGAAAACAGAAATAAGTAATGCTTTGAATATCCACCAGCAGTTAAAAGGTTGTTAGGTTAAAAGTGAACTATTTTCAGATGGTAGCACCATGGTATAAGCGGCTTAAACGACTTGAAGCAGTGCGTTACACAGTTTTAACACTGGACTGCCTCAGTGTGTTCAAACAGTGTAATGCATTGCTTAATGCTTCTTAATTCTTCTTCTTAATTCTTAATTTTCTGTAGATTGAAATTTTCAAAGATTGAAGATACTGAAAAAATGTAGGCACCAAAACTAGTAACATGTTCATTCTGGAGGTGTTACCAAATTGTTTAAAAGTACTGTAGCAACTTTCTGGAGGTAGCATGTCACCTGCATGATTTCATGGAAATAAAAAGTTAAAACCATACTTCAGAACATTCTCCATAGAGACATGAGACAGAGATATGTTTTATGCCATACAGTGGGAGATTATAGCCAAAGGAAGACCATTTCCATGGAAAAAACAGGAAGAGGCCTTCCTCCAGGCCAAATAAGTGTCAGGTTTGTGGAGATGGAAGTCATAATTCTTTCCAAATTTCTCGATTCACAAATATGCTTTTATTTTATATATTTTTTGCTAAAAATTCTGTTGCTTTAAGTACTGCTTAGTAATAAGAATGAACAATAAACAGATAGTTGTGTAAAACCCTGAGTTCATTTAACTTCAGTACTAAGCGCAAACTAGACTTTATATGGTACTTCTGCAACACAGCTCCTATTGTTTGTCTGTAAATGTCAACTCTCTTTGTGTCTATGAAGGATCCGTATAGTGTTCAGCCATCCAGTGAAAAACCCATTGGCTTCTACAGACTGTTTATCTATCCCTGCTCAGGCTTGGACTGTCTCCTTGTTTTCTGCTGACACATATTTGCGCTTGCGTTGCCAGGTTGGAGGCACTTTAGCTCCGAGTGGCTTCACTCCACTTGGACTTTATGAGGTCTAAACTGTTGGCTCGAGTCCAGTTTCTGTGTCAGACTTTTTATCACACAGTCGAGGTTGAGTACAGTTCACCAGGGCATGTGAGAAGTAACTGGGTTATATAATAGACTGGAGATCAGAAGATATGAGAACTGACTTTGAATGTGAAACACCTTTGACAATTTTTTTTCTTGCTTTAATCTGGTTTACTTTAGTGTTATTATTTTAGAATCAGAGGATTGATTCATTAGAGACTGGCAATTCCAGAGAGACAGTGTATTTATACAAAGTTGAAACTTGAGATTCATGAGTTTAATCTGTCTTTTACATAAAAAAACAAACGCAAAACATCTTCAGTTAACTCACTCGCTTCTCCTTCCTGCTGTTGTCCTATGTGAATCCTAATAATAAATAAGTAAAATGATGACTAAAACAAATCTTGGTCACCTTAGACACCATTAACCGATTAATCGACTGAACAACTAAAGGACTACAGCCTTACTAGATCCTCTAAAATGTTTCTGGACATTGATTGAAATTAAATGAAGCACTGCCAAAGAGGCTCCAGTTGTAGTGTTGAGCTTCGTCAGTCGGGCTTGTTGCCAGGTGGAAACTGAGCTTCTTCCTGCTGTGATTGGAATGGATAATGGTTTGCTAGCCATTTGCACTAACGCAAGGATTAGTAGACTCTACAGTACATGGTAAATATAATGTTAAAAATGTGTTTTGTTTTTGTGACAGAATTATGTCACGCATTCTCATATGGATTAATCATATTTTTCAATTTGGTTATTATTAAAGCAGGCCTATTATGCAAATCGGCCTTTCAGAACTGTTGACGTTTTTCTTTTCACTTACCCTCCCGAAGTTGTATTTGGAGAAATTCTTACATATTTGAGCATGTTAATCTTTTATTTTCAAGACTTAATTTTGCAGATCAACCACTGTTTTCACCACTGGCATACACCCAATGCTCTACACTTGCTTTGTTCTCTAATTTTATTTCCTTAATGTGTGAAACACGTAGGAATGTTGTGTAGTTATTTTGGTACAAATGAAAAAAAAAATCTAGCAGCAAAATGTGCAGCTATCAGTCAGAGCTGCTGAGAACTTCACAGCTATTTGTTTTGATGATGTATACAGCAACGTCAAGTCCAATTGGGCACCGCAGGTTTCTAACGTGGAAGTCAAAGTCTTCTGTTAAGTTGTTTTGGATGAATATTGTGATTTAAAATGTGCAAATTCTAACATAATGACTAACCATAACATACATTATTGACTCTAGCGATTCTCTACTAAAAAGTCCCAGTGAATGAAATGTATGGATTTTGATTAGACTTAAAATTCACAAGTCCCTAACCTTGCATGTACTGATAATTTTCCCTACAATAAATTCTATTCAAACTAAATGATTATATCACTTTGTGAAAAAGCGTGACACCATCAGAGGTCCTTATTTTTCTCCAGATCTAAGCCAGTATCTTGTCTTAGTACAGAGAGCTAGAGGACAGAGGTTTAAACTACTATATTTTTAAAACTATTTCTTCCTTACTAAAATACACATACAACTTCCATGTGGGTAATTTCTCCTCTTGGTAGACCTGGTAATTGTATGCTGTGAACCACACAATAATAGCCCTAGATTAGATCCTATCCACCCTCTTCCCTCCCAGTTGTGACATGCACATGGTAGCCAGCCAGTCAAGTTGTTTTGTCTGTTTGAGTTTTTCTTTTGTGTCACACATGTGCCTCCGGTCGGCTGTAACAGGATCAGACATGAACCTGAATATTTTTGACTTTGCTTCCCATTGTGTTTAGACTTAAAAGCAATAGTTGTTTAGGCTAATTGTAAACTGGTTTTAGTCATGGGATCTGGCAACCCAAAGTTTGGCAGTTATTCTGCTTTTTAATAGGCTAATTGGCTTGAGAACCAAAACACAAAACATAAATCATTTTAAATAAAGCAACATTACATTTATTATGAATATTATCAGTCTTTCATGTTAATTTCATGTCTGAATAATTTGAATAATCCATCTGCACTGAAATTAACTGGGTGGTATTGAACAAACTAACTAAAATACAGATTTAATAAAACATGAGAAAAAAGGAAATGGAATAATAACAATATAATAATCCTTTATATGATGATACAGTTTATAAAGTTAGTTATACCACATTATTTAACCAGATCCTGTTGTTCTTGCAGGTCTGTTGGTGGGCGCCTTGGACACAGTGCTGGACTCAAATGCCCGAGTGGCTCCATTCAGGATCCTGCTGCAGATCCCCGGCTCTCAGGTCAGCTGGGTCATAGCCAGTGGTGAGAAGACTTCAATTACTCTACTACACACTGTTACTTAAGTTCTTCTACTACACTATTGTATTGTATTAAGTTGTATTAATAATAAATAGCATGATAGCAAGAGGTTAGTTTACACCACATATTTTTAGTTTTGTGCTGGTCTCAGTGTGAGAACGATTAATGCATATTTCATAGACATTTCACATTCATTGTTGTCATTCTGTCAGTCTGTGTCATATGTGTGAAATTCCTTGCATGTGTGTGTTTGTGGTGACCAGGTGCGGCCATCGAGGAGGTGAATAGACACTGGGACTGGCTCACTCGGAACCTGCTTCACTCTCTGGCTGTGTTTGAGAACAAGGACGACCTCGCCAGCTTCGTCAAAGGAAAAGTCAAGGTACAAATTACCACCATTCAATAACAGTGTCATGATCATATCACTTACAAAAATTACTTTAAGCCTCAATTGCAACTGCAAACTGGATTGCACAAATTTCATCCCTCCTGTCATCCATGACTCAGAACTATAGTTACATTCATAACATTTGGTTACAATGGCCCACCTTTCAACAAGAATATGAAAATAATATGAAGTTCCAAATGGTTCAAGCTGTTCTATAATTAGTAGCATTAAGTTAAATTCAGAAAGTTCACTCACAGGGTGTATAACTCCTGCTTGTTGAAGGGTCTGATAGCAGAGGAGCTGCGCGAGCGTCAGGCGGCTCTAGAGGGCGATCCTGAACGCTTCAGGGAGGTTCTGCTGAAGTTTGAGCTGCACTTTGGGCTCCCGTCATCAGAGAAACTGGTGACGTACTTCTCCTGCTGCTGCTGGAAGGGCCGCGTGCCCAGACAGGGTCTCCTCTACCTCAGCACCAACCATGTGTCCTTCTACTCTTTTCTGCTTGGGAAAGAAGGTGTGTACCACAGGGTCTGTCCACACCACACTGAGGAGATATTCTGTACAGTGTTGAAATAAATGAGCATTATTATGGCAATTTTACCCATGAATCTTAAATACAGAAACAACAGAGGCTCAGTGTTAGCTCTTTAAACTGAAGGTTGGTAGTTTAATTCTCACATCTACCTGTGCACACTGCTGTTGTGCCCAGGGGCAAAACACTTGCCCACATCTGCCTTACCTCCAAGTTTGGAAGTCGTGTTAGTTTGTGTTACAGCAGTAGGGATAATAAATGGACATTAGCTCATGGCATAGTCTGGTGTGTTTGCGAGACTCATGCATGTTCAACATAACTTTCCCATCCAAGTAAACTATCATTGCAATTATTTTCATGATAATGGATAACAAAATGCAAAGTGCTTCAGAGAAAGTTACTAAAAATAATAGTTTGTTTTTGATAGAAAATATGTATAGTATTTTATTGTCAGATCCATATCACCCCCTGCTGTTTGTTTTAACACATTTTGTTAGAAAACATTGAAATTCTTCTAATGGTAAAACCTAAAGTATTATTCCATTCATTGTTTTAAAACTCTGATGGAAATTACTACTGTGAAAACACTCTGATTCAGCATGCTATTCTCGCATTCCTCTTACCCTCGTCCCCTGTGTGTCCTCTGTAGTGAAGTTTGTGATCCCCTGGGCAGAGGTGGTCCGACTTGAGTGGGTCTCCTCTGGTCTGATGCACGACGCCATTCGACTGGTGACGCGGCAGAAGATTAGAGAGTTCTCCATGTTCCTGAACAGAGACGAGGCATTCGGGGCCATCGCTCAAATGTGTGACATTGCCCTCCGCAGACTCCTTGACAGTGAGGGGCTGGAGCTGGACAGACAGCTGCTGCAGCCAGGGCACATCAACAAGAGGTAATATACACTACCATAGTACTGTATAAACTACTCACTTCAACAAGAGGTAATATACACTGCACTACTGTAGTACTTTATAAACTACTCACATCAACAAGAGGTAAGAGAGACATCACTCACTTTGTCTCGTTTTAACAGTAGTGACTTACGCACACACCACATTCATACTAGGAAATGTGGGTGAAGTGTCTTGCCTAATGACACAATAACACTTTTGCCACTATTGCCCCACTGTGGCAATTGATATTCCTAGTGGTCTCCCATCCTAGAACCATCCAGTCCCAGCCCTGCTTAATCTCTGTGATCTAATGAGATCAGGCTTGGACGAGGAGGTTTTGCAACTTTTTTTTTTTTATGTTGTTACAACCCAGTGCTAGGGACAAAGGAAAGTAACACAAACCAGATATGATGTAACGTAAATAGATTTTATAAAGTGGTGTAGGTAAATAGATTACAAAAAAAAAAAAAAACTAACGTCACAATTGAGATTTCACAATTCCAGAAATTTACTAAACCCCTCATAAACTGAGAAAACAAAAACACTGCCCAAGGGCCGAGCCAACCTGGCAAAACTAAAAGGTATAATACAAAACACACTTTACAATAACAACAAGCGAAAGTCTACAGTTGTGAGGGCGAACTGAAACTGCCATCCAGCCGCGCCAGGAGGGACAGGCGCATCGCACTTTTATTGGCGGAGGTGATTGAGGTGGAAGGATGGGATTGGAGGGACGGGACGTCAATCCTCCAACCACAGCACAAGGGGTGTCGGAACCAGCCCACATCCTCAGAACCACGGCCCACCAGTCAGACATCAGGCACCACACGGGACATGCAAACACGGAAGATACACGCGGCAATACAAACAGGGAGCGCCAGGCGATGCGGAGCCGGAGACAGGCCGCGAGCCGTAACAATGTAAACATAAGTCAGTTATCCAATCAAACAGGCAGAGTTTACCACAGCACGCAGTCACGATCTTTTACTCCTGAAACCACCAGAATGTGCAGTTTGGTTCAACTTTGATTGCACAAATAGACACTTTTACAGACAATTTCTAATTGAATCAGCTCTGCAATAACACTGTGGTTTTTGGTTTATTTTGTTAAAGGTAAGTTAGATTTCAAAAGGGTTAAAAAATAGCAACATAAAAACATTTTAATTTAACATTTTAAAGGATTTGAAGTTGTACATTATTGCGTCATTATACATGTTGACTAGACATGTTTCCAAAAAGCACAACTGACTACTCATAACCTGAGCTATTTATATGTGATGAATAACCCCTGTAAGCAAGAGGGAGTCCCACATAGAAAAAAGTTAATTTATTCCTTACAGTGCAATATTTCAGCCTCAAGAAATCTGTAGGACTGAAACATTACACTGTATTAGTGTAAGTCACTTTTTGCATGGATTGATGAGTGCAAGACTACTTGTTGCTCACTGTTTACCAGGTTGTTCTTTCTCATCCCACACACCCGTCTGTGAATTCTCCTGTTCGTTTTATGAGTAACTATAAAATAAACGACAGGGAGGATCTCTGCAAATGTCCTCAGGCAACTTTATCTACAATATGTGAACACTGTGTACTTTGGAGTCTCAATACATCGAGAAGAAGTGTGTGTAGTGAAAGTTCATACACAGCTTCTCTGGGAGTCATAGGGAACACGAGAAAGCTTTGTACGGGTAAACATGGCTAAAAGGTCACCCTGTTTAAATGAATGTGTTAAGATAATGTAAATAAGAACATGCTATTCTGGCAGTGAAATAAGTCTGTCTCTGGTAGAGCTACAGAGCACTGGCTGAGTGGTTAGCATTTCTACCTCACAGTAAAAAGGTTCCTGTGTGCATACCAGGCTGAGTGCGGTCTTTCTGTTCTCTCTGTTCTCTCTGTGTAAAGGTGAACTGTGTAACTTTTGAGGGGGGGGGTTTGCCATCTGTTCGTCTCCATGGAGATGTTAATACTTTGCCTGGAATGTTCAACAGAATGTGTCTTGGATTAATTCATTTACATATTTTTATTGCTCAAAAGTACATTGAAAAATCTCTACTGCTAGTGGGCTGGCCTCTCACTGATATGACCTGTAACCTCCAGTCTGCACAGAGAGAGTTAAATGTCATATTGTGGAAAAACATCTCATCCACCACCCTCCACAAAAATAGTACAGCTTTTAAATTGAATAGGGACCATCATAAAACAAGATATATGTTCTAAATAAGTAAATTAAGTTTATTTATCTAGCACTTTTCTCAGACCAAAATTACAAAGTGCTTCAAAAGACAAAGCAGAACACAAGATTCACATTAAAGCTATCATCTATAATTAAATTGGCCGATTTGCCCGTGTTGTATTCCTACACATCACCACTAGATGTACATTACTTCTGTCTGAGGGTCAACTTTGGCCTGATAGAAGAAGACAAGAGAGCATAGATGAGTCTGAACAAAGGCCTGGTGAGGGAAGGGGGGCAGGTTTCACATCTAACATCTACTGGTGAAAAAAGTCAAACAAATTTAAGAGATGATAGCTTTAAGATTCAGTTTTTGCTAGAATGCTTGTTTAAAGAGTTGAGTGTCGCAGTTATAGAGAATGCCCATTCCTACTGTCGTTCTTGCACAAACATATAAATGATACCCAAGTTCTCTCTCTCTTCTGTCCTCAGGGTGCTGGAGGAGCAGGCTCTCCGAGAGTATGTTCTTGCCCTGTTTCGTCTGCCACGCTCAGAGCACCTCCTGGAGGTGGCCTCGTGTTCTGTGTGGACTCCTCACGCTCGGAATCACACAGCCTGGTACACTGTATTGCACTGACCAGTACCTGTGCTTCAGCAGCAAAGAGGAGGGGCAGTGCACACTCATATTACCCCTACAGGAGGTATGGGGAAAATACACTGTGGTATTTTGTGAACATGCAGTGAGTTTGTTAGCTCCATATTGAGCTTGGGATTACACTGTCATAGCTCATAAAGTTCTCAGGCAGTCAAATGTTTAACCAATTTTAAGATCCTAAATATTAATTTAAAAGAATTCAGACACTATACAATATATTTACTTATACTGATATACTAGTGTATATATATTTTTTGACTAATGCATCTCTATGGATATTTTACATGCTTGTACACAAACTACATGAATTGTAGTGTTCTTTCTTGGACATTTGACCCTCTACCTAAAATCGCCATCTCACATAGAGAATGGATACTCGTATACAATACAAAATAAACATTTTAACATGCAGTGGGTTACACCACAATCAAAATTCCATTATAAAAATGCATTGTGTATTAAGAACAATATAATACAATGGAAATTATGGAAATACATCATGTTTCAAATAATTACACAGCTTCAGATTGCTTTTATTTACAGCTGAGGGATCCAAACACAAATTGTACTTGTTATTAACCTCTAAAAAAAACTTTAGTAGGTGGTTTGTATCTACGAGCAATAGAAAATTCAGCATGATGTTGTTCATCTTTTATTGATTGACAGAACAAGAGGTCGATATTGGAGTAGTTATGTTTATGCTGGCTGCCCTCCCATTGCAGGTGTTGTCCATAGAGAAGGCCGAGAGCACCAGTGCCCTGCCAAACCCTGTGATTGTGAGTGTGAAGAGTAAGAAGGCCTTTCAGTTCATCGAGCTGCACGAGAGAGACGAACTTGTGGACTCGCTGAATCTCCGGCTCCGAGCGCTACAGTGGAAAGTGTCCATGTTCAGAGACAAGAGGCAGAGCAAGAGGAGTGTGGTGAGGAGAGGACCGGTTTATCTGGGATTCTTACACTTTATATTCATATCAATATATCTCATTTTTACTAGACATAGATAACATCATAAATTACACACAGTTTCTGCTGGAAGGTCTGTCACTTATCTGTCTCCATGGAGACAAGCAAGTCAGGTTAAAGGTCAAGTTACAGGTCAGATCTGTGCAGATATTTCAATATTTTTTCATTAAAACACACTGTAATTTAATACATTCAAGATATATTTAGATGGATAGAAGTTTAATGCCAAAACTGTGGACAATTTCAGGCAAAACAATAACATCTCAAAGGAGATGGCAGTGGACTACCCCACCAAAAATGTTACATAGTGCATAGAAAGGAATATAGTGTTTATCTTTTTATTTAAATGTTAATGTTAATATATTAGCATTTAAGTATAGTCAGCTTAATAAACGGATTACTTTTAGTACTTTTAGATGGTGAATGTACACCCATTATACTTTTTTTCATCATAAAAATCTGCTCAATACACGAACAGATTTGAGCAAAAGTGTTCTGGATATTACTGTCTGTGCCTGCCTATTTTAAATCCATATTCCTCCTCAGAACACTCCCACTCCATACTACACATTTTACTACGACACTGGTCTGTCGGACGAGGAGGAGATCGAGGAGCAGGTCCTGAGGAACACTGTAAACAGTGAAGCTTTAATGACAGCATTTCACCAAAACCAACCAGGAACCAATGGCAACAAGGTACTTGGACCACATAATTATCTGATTGAATGTTTTGCAGAAATGCACTGATTTGCCATACATTTGACTATTTACTATTCATATAATGTTATAAAGTGTTATCTCTGCACTTCTATGGAAAATGTTTACAGTCCATTCACTTTCTGTCAATATTCCCCAATACAAATTTTCCCTTGACCTTGGTTGTCGTTTAAGGTGCTGTACCTGAGCTTTTACTCTCTAAAAATGTGAAAAACTGAGCTAGTTGATTTTAGTCCTCACTTATCTGTTTTTCCTATACTTACACTATGTTTTAGACCATGGAGAATGTGAAGGAGCGGCTATGGGAGGACCACTTCTCTGAGTTCGGTCGAGGGGTGCACATGTTCAGGACAGAGAAGATCCAGAGACTTGTGGCCATGGGAATCCCAGAGAGTCTGAGGGGGGAGCTGTGGATGACCCTGTCTGGTGAGAGGGAGGGCACTGAAGACACATTTTTGCTGTTTTATTTCCTTTAAAGGTCTTCTATTACGCCAAACTGTCTCTTGTGAGCTAAACATCATGTTATAATGTTTAGAAGATCTTTAACATTTTCCGCTGGGGTTTCAGTAGCAGTTGGCCTGTGGTCCTGTGGTTCGAGACTGGTGGTTGAGGAAACATAACCGTGTACATCATATATAGAAATTGTGTTTAAAGTGAAAGTGGTAGCATATTACAAGAAATGTTTTGTTATATATAATACAGATGCAAATAGATACTGAGCTGGTACCTATTATTTGACATGTGCATTATTTCTGTACAAACTGTACAGATTTAGGGCACATGCGGTGTCACTTCCCTCTCTCACTTCTCTGTCATGAGCAATAGTGAAACTAACTCTAAAACTGAAATCAACACTTCAGTAAAGGAAGGGCTTTCAATCTTAGAGGGCTCTAAACTCTTATATACATATGAGGGTATTATTTATAAGACAATATTAACCTAAAATGAAACATTCACTTGTTCATTGTGCATTATTTCAAATTAGCTGTGGGTAAAGAAATGCTGGCCGATTTATATCAATAATAGTGCTTTACTGATACACACAATTGATAGACACAATGCACACATTAGCCAAAAAAAGTTGTTGGATTTTTTTTATTTTTTTTTTTAAAGAAGAAGAAGAAGAGCACAGAACATTTTAAGGAACCTGTGATCAATATAAGCATTCATGGTCCAGTTGAGGAGTTTGATTTTCACAAAAAAGGTGAGAGTGACTAATTGAAAAACTTTTGGCTGTTAGCTTTTTGACTGTAATATTATTTGAGAGGGACTTGTTTAACATTACAAATCAGCTTATCTGTTGTAGTTCCAGCTAAGTCTGTTCTTTATGGTCAGATTCTGTTGAATTAAAACACTGATTAAAGTGTAATCAGACAAAGCAGTGTCTACAGTTGATGGGTCAAATGCAAAGGACAAATGAAGTGCACTTAACCTTAAATGAACAGATTGAACAGCAAAAAACAGAAGTTTAAATACAGCATTTCTGTGCACCCTGTATTTCCCCAGATGCCTGTTCAGAGCTGGATTCCCATGAGGGGTATTACTCGTCGCTGGTGCAGAAGTCAATGGGGCAGAACACTTTGGCCACAGATGAGATTGAGCGAGATTTGCACCGGTCACTCCCAGACCACCCGGCCTTCCAGAACCCCACCGGGATCGCCGCTCTGAGGAGGGTCCTGACTGCATACGCTCACCGCAACCCCAAGATCGGCTACTGCCAGGTACAAAATACTGTCATGTGTATGGACTTTATAAGGTGAATACAATAATACATTATATAAGTACAGACACAGGGGACCTACAAATACTGAACTTGAGTAATGGATTGGGTTTACAAACTTCCCATATCTGTGAAAAGTGGAAAGAAGAAATGGAGCCATTCCTTCAGTGGTAGTACAATGTAATATCCTTTCAATCTTGGCAAATGTAAATGGATATGTAGATATGATTGCATCGTAAAGTAAACTACTGATAAAACGTGTGTGCATAAGGCAAATGATACACACCACAAAGTCACACAATTGTAGCTGCACTTTTAATTCAAAATTTAGCATTTAAAGATACATTTTTATAAATAAGCAATAAACAAAGCTAGATTTCTATGAATATTACACAAGATTATGATTACCTCTTGCATTATTAGTTGGACACTTGAAACATGATCCACTACAAATTTTGCCAAAAATTCTGAATTTTCAACTCTACTTGAAACTTGGGATGTGCCTAGACATGCATGGACTATGCATGCAAACACCTTTACCACATACATTTTGTCAGGTCAGAAATCAGCATTATGGGGACATTATTTCTCATATGTTGAACTTGAAGTAGTGCATTTCATAAGTCGTGTGTCTCCCCTCAGTCAATGAACATCCTGGCCTCGGTGCTGCTGTTGTATGCTCGGGAAGAGGAGGCCTTCTGGCTCCTGGTCTGTGTCTGTGAGAGGATGCTCCCTGACTACTTCAACCGCAGAGTCATAGGTAACAACAGGGGGCAGCAGAGAGGGGGCAAAATGTAACGAAAGGGCTAAATGTAATGCTCAACTGTGTCCACTGGCCACTGGTTATTACTTATTTGAACTAGTACCAGAGTAAGTTAGTAGTAAGTAATATAAAGTAAGTAATACAAGGTAAGTAATCCAAAGTAAGTAATACAAAAGTAAGTTTATTCACTATTGACATAACCAAATCATATGTTAAAGGTGCTAAAGGTATCTCTTTTATGGTGGAGGGTTTACCACATTCTGGTCTCCATGGAGATGTTATGTCTTTGCCTAGAATGTTCTACAGTATGGCATTAAACTTATTTATCTCTGTGAAGATAAGCAGGTGACACAAGTAGGCCAAGTTGCAGGTCAGGTCAGTGGAGAGGTGACCCTGCATAGAGTAAGAACGCTTGTTTTCCAATGCAACACTATAACTGTAATTTAATACACGTGTATACTAATTCAATATCATACTGTGGAAAGCTCTATGAACATTTGGAGCTAGTGTAACCTCCACAACAAATGTTATGCACTGCACCTTTAATTAACACATATTTTAGAAAAGTCTTTGGGTAAAATAAATTTACTCTTATTAAAACTAATTACTTTCTGAACCCCCAACCCAAATCACTGTAATTATTGGCCGTGACAAACAGGTAATCCTTTTTCGGTGTTATTTTTTGTTCTCAGACTTGTGCTAATTTCCTGTGTTTGTCACGTCGTTTATTTACATGAGACGCTGCATTTGAACCAATTTCCTCTTTCTCAAAACACAATTGAGGAAAGCGACGCACGTCTCATATAAAAGAGATTTCTAAAGGCAGCTAAAACAAAAACATGAGCAGTTTTGTAACAATAATGTTTATTTTTTAAAGAATCCCAACCCATTGAAAAGTACAGCAGTGTTATGAATGAAAACGATTGAACCCAAAATATATGGCAAGTGGTGTAACAAAGAAAAATACAACGCTAAAACAAGTTATGAACAGCTCCACATTTTTATTATTATAGTTTTTTTACAGACAAAACTGATATCTTGCTATTATGTTGTGTCCAATGTCCATTATCTATAAAAAGATGTGATTATTTATAATTATTATTTGTACTGTGCAAACAATTTTATTTTCATACTTTTAAAAAACTTTTTGACTCAATATGTTCAGTTAAATTAAGCACAATATTCAGGACGTAGGCAGGACAGTCTGTATTTGAGGAACTGATCAAGAATGGAACAAATGTAGTCAAGAGAAGTAATTTTAGTTCAAAACAAACATACAATTTTAAAAAAATATATAATTAGACAATGTGAATGGAAGAAAATAAATGATTTCACATTAGTCATGGTGTCAATAGTTGTGCCTAATTACTAAATTGTAATGCTTCTTCTTGAAATTTCATACCAGTAATTTTCAGTAATGGGCCAATATATGAAAAAATCTCCTGATATCAGCAATAGCACCAGTATGATGTCCATTTCAATTCCACTCTATGCAAGATAGTTTTTAATTCATTAGAGACATGACTCGTTTTCTGTGTTTTGCCTTGTCCAGGAGCGCAGGTGGACCAGTCTGTGTTTGAGGAACTGATTCGGGAGCGCTTGCCTGATTTGGCAGATCACTTCCCAGACCTCTCCTCCCTCTCATCTGTGTCTCTCTCCTGGTTCCTCACCCTCTTCTTGAGCGTGTTACCATTCGGCAGTGCGGTGTGTGTGGTGGACTGCTTCTTCTACAGCGGGATCAGAGCCATTTTTCAGCTCGGGCTCGCCGTCCTGGAGGCCAACACCTCTCAACTCTGCGCTAGCACAGATGAAGGCCAGGCGCTGATGATTCTGACAGGGTACATCATATTTTAAAAACTGACATATTCACGGATCTCCGCTATGGCCACTATCCTCCATGGTCATAGCTGTTAAGCAATTCAAATCTAAATATTATATCTTTTGAATGGGGAAAGGTCCTGGAAGGGTCCTCACAAAGTTTTTTCAAATCAGGATGGAATTGCTCATTTGAACCACATGAATAGGCCTACATTTGATATATTAATACAACAATAGACTGTATGACAGTGGGTACAGGAAAGATTTGGTTGTTAAAATATTGCAGATTCTACTAAGCACGGTTTAGTCCTGGTTTCAGTCCTGGGATCGAGTACTGGTCTAGTCTAATCCTGGTTGAGTCCTTTATTTTATTATACTATACATATTACATGATATTATGTATTAAAATTATTGCTACTTAAAGATGCAGCATGTAACTTTTCTGGTTTAGGACCTTTTATTTATATATGGAGATTTTGTTAATGTGTCTGAAATGTTTCACACTATACCAAAATACAGTACAAGTTAGATCTGACAAGTTAGAATATGTGTTTTTAAAGATATTACTGAGAAATATGAATACCAGCAATTAAATAAATGCAAATTAGATATGTTTAAAACCATATTGTGGAAAATAACATCTCCATGGTGGCAGATCCTCCATTTGAAAAGTACCCCTTCACTATGTTTACATTTCTGTGCATGTCCATGGAGATGTGGCATTTAAGGTATCCATCTTGCCTTTACTCAATTTGGGTGTTTTTATTGGTAATATAATACCCAGAAAAACATGCATTCTTACATGGAGAATCATCACCTGTTTCTCTCTTGAATGTCCATGACAGTGATCCCTGTGTGTGTTTCTGGTAGTTTCCTGGAGCAGGTTGGGACAGAGGAGTCTCCCTGTGTCCCCCCTCCTCCTCCCCCTGAGGACAGTCATGAACCTCTACCTGTGAAATACACCAACATCACTGACCTCATCAACGAAGCCTACGAGGTCAGAATATGTACATCATCCTTTACTTTAAATATCCACAGCGCTCTCTAGTCCTCACTATTACTGAAATATCCATTCATACACTGGAAAACTGGAAAAAGTAGTAAAAGTTAGTCTCCAAAGTAGGGGTGGGTGATACTGACAAATTAATATCTTTTTATATAATATGTTTTTATACTCTCAATGATGAAATTCACACAATATTATGTGAATCCATCAGAAATGTGCTCAAACAGGGCTTTATTGTCTCTGTTGAGGTGTAAGAATCACACAAAAAATTGAATGGACTAGAAATATCACTGGACTAGTTTGTTTAATTAAATTTTTCACACATCTTTTTTAACAAATTTGCTCAGCCATAGTGCTTTTATATACATTTTTAATTGTAAATATTGATGTTTTTTAGATTAGAATATGATGATGTAAAAGTCCCAGATGGGGGCAGCAGACAGATTTGTATTGCTCATGTGCGCTTTTCTTATAAGAAATATTGAAAAGGTAAATTCTCACTTGTACTGATGATTTCTATTTGTGACTAGGCCTTAGAACTCACTGTACTATAAGAATATGCATTTTTTGTACTAAGTGTTTTTATTGAGCATTCAGTGAGATATACAATTTCAAACACATTACAATAATATTTTTTTACACCCAAACCCCTGAAAAAGGGTGTGACTGTGATGTTATCTGAAACCCAGTGTCTTAGATGTTTCATTTCTGTTTGTCTTACAGAAATTTGGTGACCTGACTGTTCGGCAGATCGAGAGACTGAGGTGCAGACACAGGATCCAGGTGCTTCAGGCTCATGAGGACACCACCAAAGAGAACGCCGTGAGGAAAATCACACATGACACAAACCACATGCCTCCTGCGTTCAGCTGCTTTGAACTGTATTTGCGCCTCTGTGTTTCAGTTGAGAATAGTGTCTCCAGAAGTGTCCATGTCTCCTGAGAATCTGTCAAATGTCTACGACCTATTCAAGGTAATATATGGAGCCATTTATCTAAAGTTAAAGGTGCACTGCGTAACATTTCTAGTAGAGGGTCCATCATCTGTGTTTTTGCTTTGCCTGGAATTTCCCACAGTATGGTATTAAACTTCTTCATGGAGACTAGAATTTGGCATCATTACGGTATCAGTAGGGGTGTAACTATATCCAATTCTCACAATACGATATTCAAGTCTCATGATACGATATCCAGGTCTCATGATACGATATCCAGGTCTCATGATACGATATCCAAGTCTCACGATACGATATCCAAGTCTCACAATACAATATTCAAGTCTCATGATACAATATTCAAGTCTCATGATACGATATCCAGGTCTCATGATACGATATCCAGGTCTTATGATACAATATCCAAGTCTCATCGATACGATATCAAGGTCACACAATACGATATTGTCACGGTATGAACCTCACGGTACGATATTTATTGCGATATTGTGGGAAAGCTCACGATTGGGGGACGCGCATGATTAGGGATGTAACAATATCCAAATCTTCTTATGATATTTTCACGATATACATCTCACAGTACGATATTCATTACGATATTTTGTGGAGACTAACATAACTGTTAATATGCAACTTTTTCCTCTTAAAATGCCTTGACAAGACTTAATCCAAAGAACTAAGACTTAAAAGTGCTTAGAACTGTTATTTCTTCATGTAGTCTACACTGAAATGAGCAAAGGATCATGGTCTATGTAGTTCCCTCTGTCCTTTTTTTAGCTGTTGCTGCACCATAACTCTTGATTTAAGCAAAGAGACTTGTAATTCGATATATTGTGATGGTCCACGATATTATTGTGAGAACTTTGACGATACGATATCACAATATTTCAGTTACTGTTACATCCCAAGTTATCAGTCAGATCTATGGAGAGGCAACTCCGCTCACATGCATGTTTTTCCAGATAGGTTTAATGCCATACTGTAGAACATTCTGAAAAAGTAATAACATCTGAATAGTTTCATAGTGCACCTTTTGAATAAAAAACATTTGAGCTAAAATAGTATGAATGAAATCTATGGGAAAAAGTGAGAACTCTTACTTAAGTACAATATTGGCAACTCTACCCACGTCCAGTTAATTCCTTAGCATTTTTTACAACCAGAGCAGAGTTTTGCTGTCACTGTAACAACAACTAGCATGCTGATAGTGTATCAGTCTCACTTCACAGTTTGAGGATGAGAAAAATGCTTTATAATTAGATATAGACAGCACACAGTGATCTCATTTTGACCCTCAAAGCTGCTTTTACAATATATATGTACTGGTGCAAAACAAATTTAACTTCATTAATTAAATCAGTTACAGCTCCTTTAATGCATTTCAGTCAAAATTCAGAAATTCAAATTGAAATTGAATTTGACTATGCGTATAAATAGATAATATGAGTATGTATTTGTTGTCAGACGGAGCATTTGGTCAGTCTGTACTGGGGCGACAGCAGCTCGGTGGCGGCGGCAGAGGCGTCATCGTGGAGACAGACGGACTCGGGACGGTCCTTCACGGAGAGGCAGTACCGTCTGGACCGCGCGCAGTTCAAAAGCCTCTACTGCCTCCTTGTGCCCTGGCCCGGGAACTCAGAGCAGCACTCGGACACACTGGGGAATCGAACCTTCACCCTGCTCAGCCAAGACACAGACAGCCTGGTGACGTTTAAGGAGTTTGCCATGTGGTTAGGTACGTGGGATAAAAAAAATGTGTAGAACTGGACATGTGTGTAATCCTCAGAGCAGTCCCTCATCACCTAGGATCTGTACCTCATTATCTTGGTGAGAGAAGGGAATTAAAGAGGCAATTTTTGTTAGGAGAGACAATCCATCTTTGAACAGGAATAGAGGCCATATTTAAGATAATCTAGTGATCTCCCCTGGCCCTGTTTGAACCTTCCTTAACTCGTAGCAGCACAATTCAGTTCAAAGCTCATCCCAAAAGTCAACGGCACCCATACTAACAATTTACCGAAAGCATGACAAACTACAGCTTCACAAACCTGATGCAATGTGCTGTTCTTTCATTGATTGTGTTGTTCTGAAGAGGGAGTGATTTAGTGCAGAGAGCAAAGGGAGGGGAGATGTAGTGTCGAAAATATATATATAAAAAAAAAAGGTTTGTAGACGGAACAACAGGGTGAGCAGGTTCTGTACATAAAAAGAAAGTTTAAATAGATCTTTAAAAATATAAATAAATATATTTTTTTTTCTTTTCAGACACACTGTACTGTGGAGAGTTGAATGAGAAAATCAGACATCTGTATCGCCTTGCACATCCCTCCAGGTAAATATTTAGTTCTACCATTAGTACTTACTACCACTGTACTACTATTTACTACTGCTACTGCTAGCACTACTTACAGTACTACTACTTCTACTACTTCTAGTGCTGCTAACAAATGTACTTCTTTCTGTTCACAGCTCTAACAGAAAGTGAAGATGACCCCTCTCTTTTGAAAAACCCACTGCTTTCGTCCAACAGACCGCTGTATGTGACCAGGCCCGCAGCAGGTCAGACTTCAGTTACCATGACTACAAAACATCTACTTATTAACATTATGTTGATATTACTTGCTGCTGATTGGTCATTTTACTCCTACACCATTCATTCACATACATACATTCATATATAGTATTTGCGATTTCATTCTCACATACACACATGCCATGTTCAACTTTAGGACTAACCAAACCAAATCTATGTAAATACTAGTATACAAGAACAACTTCTGTATTTGTCATCATTAATTTAGATTGCACACTTGCATTTCACATCACCGCATTCAAATTGGGCCTAGACATTGACTAACACAAAACCAAATCAGGTCTATATCAGGACTACACTGAACACAAACCAGAACCAAACCAGAAGTGTGGTAACAGCCTTACTACTTATTTCAAAGTGTTAAAACATGAATTCTGTTGCAATTATGCACACCACTATTTAAAAAGCCACAGTCTAGCGTGTTCTGGACGTTTTTGATGTGCATGTCCCAGTTATGCTCCGTGAGTGACTCGAGTCTGTTACAGAGGAGTGTGTTGAGGGGAAGTCGTACCAGGAGCAGCTCAAGCAGATGTTAAAGGATCTGGGCAAAGCAAAAGAGAAGGACGCCGAGAAGCCTCTGTCACTGATGAACCAGGTGACGCTAACAAAACACACTAGAAGTTTACCTTTATCTTTTTTCACTTCTTCTTTTACTTCCTTTTTTTGAATGGTTTCTCATTTTAGTTGTAATGGCACAAATAAACTATGCTTTGCTGCCCTCTACTGGGCATTTGACCAGTTTTGAAGAATGGCTGAAAGCCCTTTTTTAAATTGTGCACTATAACTTTTCTGGTCAGGTGTACGGAGAAGTGAACTAATATGAAGATTTGATAACACTGCTTTTTTTTGTTTTTCTTTGTTTTTATTGTGATTGTAATGTTTTTCTTATTCTGTAAAGCACTTTGAATTACTTTGTGTATGTATTGTGCTATATTTGCCTTGCCTTTGCCTGTCCACAGTTTAGCATTATTACATTAAACTTAAACCTTAATGTTGTACCTATTCAATTACAGGTGTTCTTTTTTTGTTTTGTTTTGGATTTTTTTTGCTGAAAAGAAGATTAGTTTAGGATTGCAAAAAGCAAAGCCCTTTCTATTTTATTTAATGTAGTCTTCTCTGTGTCTTTAGTTTTACATTTACTTTTATCTCATTCCAGCGTGAGTTCATCCAGTTCTGTAAGACCCTCTACAGCCTGTTCCACGGCGACCCGGAGGAGAACGAGCTGTTTCAGGCCATCGCCACGGTAACCAGCCTCGTACTGCAGATCGGTGAGGTGGGCCACCAGGGGTCAAAGGTCACACAGGAAGCCTCACAGGAAGCGACCACCACGGACACTTCGGAGAGCGACGACTGGACTGTCAGCTTTGCCCAAATATTAGCCTCGTTGCTGACTGAACAGGCTTTGGTGAACTTCTTTGAGAAACCAGTGGAGTTATCGGCCAAGCTCTCAACAGCCAAAGAAAAACAGTACCATCAACGGGCTGTGCTACTGTCGCTGCAGCATAAAGTCAGATGACCCTCAAAAAGGACCGGAAAAAGCAAAAAATAACAAGAATGCCAAGAATGTGATTTAGGAATGGGATACCACTTTCATAATTGTCTGTTCAAACTTGAAAAAAGGTCAAATCCTCCAGCTAAGGTGGTCCTGACCAAGCCGCTGATCAAGATCACTGAAGGATGGGTCAAATGCAGAGGACAAATTTCCCTACGGGGACGATACAATGTAGAATATTGTGTTTTTGGGGGACACTACATTGACTTAACTTTCTGAAGTCTGATCCTAACCTTAAACAGTCTCTACCTGTCTAATCTTGAAGCACATCTATTCTGCAAAATCGACTTTTTAAGCGCTTTTAACCATTTTATAGTTGTTTTCCGTCTTAGTGACTAGAGGTTGTTTGCTTATTTTGAAGACGCCATATTGCTAATCAGTTCCTGTTTTCACCGGCGTACACCCACTGCTCTGTACTTACTTCATTCTCCAATTTAATTTTCTTAATCAGTGGGATTTGGCAGCGTCTCGTTGTCATTTTGGTACAAATGGAGGGGAAAAAAAATCTGCTGCTCGCTGGCATGATCTGCATCTACCCACTGGAGTTGCCGGCTCTTTGTTGTGGTGACATTTACGGAGACAACAGCTCCCAGTGGGCACCAGATTTTTTTAAGTGGACTTCCTTCTTTTATTAAGTCATTTAGATGAATATTACAATTTCAAATGTGCAAACTATGACATAACGATTATGGATGTAATAGATTAGAGCTACATTACCGGTCAAAAGTTTTACCGTAGAACACCACACCTTTTCCATTTTTTTACTGTTTGCTATTGACCAAAACATATTCTAAACTTAAACTTAAAATTCATGAAATTGTCCACCTTTGGCAGATATAACATCTGAACACACTCGTGACATTCTTTTTACAATAGAAATCAGATATTCCTTAGAAAGTTCTTTCCCATAAATGTGTGGCACTTGTAGATTTCTTGGTTTTCACTCTTCTGTCCAGTTGAACCCCATCAAGCTGGTTTGGGATGAAATCTGGAGACTGTGCTGGACACTCCATGTTTTCAAACTCACCATCTTGTTCTTTTTTCCTGAGGTAGTTTTGGCAGAGTTTGGACTTGTGTTTTGTTATCTTTTATATATTTTTTTAACCTCTGGCTGTTCGGTTCTTAACTTTGTACCATTTCAGGCTCTTCATTGGACTTGCACGACTTGAATTTCAATAAATAACTGGAAAAGTAGGGTGTGCTAAAACTTTTGACCAGTAGTGTATATAGCAGACACATGCACAAATAGGTCTTCTTTTACAAAAACCCCAAACTAATTTAACCCATACCTAAGCTTTAAACCAAGTTGTCGATCTAATAATAAATAATTTATGTCAGCAGGACCAGATTTTCCCCCCTTTATTAAGGGAAGTGATGTGAGTGTGTGTACAGATTTAAGTCCCTACAATGTGATAAGTAAGTACAGGTACACAAACATGAGACTGGGTACACACAAACCAGTTGAGAAAAGTCCATCAGAGGAAACCGTGAGTGTCTTGCCCAAGTACAACGGCAGTATACAAGTTAAGATACTGAAACAAGACAAATGTGAAAGTGGTATTCCTGTCAACTATTCAAAGCAAAAAAGCTTTTTATTTCTGTGAAGACCAAAACCAGTGACTGTATTAGCTGTATACAAGAGGAAAACAATCTTTTAGAATCAAAATACAAGACTGACAAAAAGTGTGTAAATAGTTTTTTGAGCCAAATTGCAGCAGAAAACCAAGAATTATAATTGAATTTCCTGCAATGGACAATGCTAGTTTCTCTGCATAACTTTATGCTTAGTTTCTTATTGGTAAACAAAATTTTAATGCCAATAGCAGTTCTAGTTTTGAAAAAGCCAATCATTTTTGTGTATATATATTTCAAATGTAATTTAATCTATATGTAAATAAATTATAGGAAATGTTTGAAAGTAGAACATTTAAAGAGTAAGTTTTGTTATCAAACCAAATTGTCTAAATGACTACTGAAGTTAACATTTAAGGGATGTTTATAAATAAGAAAAGCAGCATAAAGTTAGTCTTTTTTTTTTTTTTTCTTATATAATCTTGCCTCATTTTGAAATCTGTTGTCCTAAAACAGTGTTCTTTTGATAATTTTTAATATGTTTTTCACTCTCAATCTGAACCATCAGACAATTAAATAATCTTTTATATACATTGTGTTATGCTTTATTTGTATTACTGTGTTTCCTACAGTGACTGGACACACATTTTTACTGCTCAATTGTCATAATGTCGTTAATCTAATCTCAAATCTAACTCCATTTAATAATCTTGTTCACATATCGCCTATCAAGACTAGATCTATCTAGACAAGATCTTGACCAAGACTACATCTGCACTAAACCAGGTCTACATAGTATGCCTATTTAAAGGTACGCTCAGTAACTTTTCTGTTGGAGAGTTCGCCACCTGCTTGTTTCCATGGAGATACTATTGTTTTACTTGGAATGCCCCACAGTATCAATCATTTCTGTCTTGCATTTAGTTAATTGCTGGTGTTTTACTGCTGTTTAACTTGTCCTGGTTGCATCACTTGCTCGTCTCCATGGAGACAGATAAATTCAATGGTGCAATAGTGTGGAATATTCCAGAAAAAGCATTAAAGAGCCCATATTACACTATTTTCTGATGTATGATATGTGTCCTCATTGTACCTGGAATTTTGTTTTGTTTCATTCACACAAACAAATCCAGCATATTTAGGATGAGTTCTTCTCTCCAACAGAAAACACTGTCCCACCCTGTGATGACATCAAGTGATACAGGAGTACCAGAGAGCTCCACTGTGTTTTTAAACTTTACACACCTTCACTAGAATAATTTGAATAATTTCAGCCCTGGAATTTCCAATCTATTACTGAACAAAAGGTAAAAGGTAGCAGTTATCTTACCACTACATGACATCACGAGGTGGACCAGAGCATTTTGAGCTTTAGAGATGAACATGGGACTGCTGGGAATTCCAGATGCCACAGTGGGGTGCGAGTGGCTGTGTCCTTAGGCAAGATACTTCACCCACATTGCCTAGTATGAAAGTGTTGTGTACGTGGGTGAGTGATGGTGGTGGTCGGAGGGGCACATGGCACAGATTGGCAGCCCTGCTTCCATCAGTTTGCCCCAGGGCAGCTGCGCGTACAACAGTAGTTTACCATTTCTGAGTGTATAAATAATGCACTGTAAAGCGTCTTTGAGTGTCCAGAAAAGTGCTACATAAAACTGATCCATCATTACAGTAGACAGCCAGATAATGCAGGATTAAAGTATGTGTGAATGAAACAAAACACAGTTCCAGGTATGTTTTTGATGAGGTAACAATATTCTAGCATGATTTAAAGCTCACAAAAGTCAATTTAGTGTAATATAGGGCCTTTAACATTCCCATGGAGATAAGCAGGTGGCAAACATATAAATAAAACGTAAATAAAGAGAACTAGACAGAGTATTGAGCGTAGTGTGCTTTATTAGCTACTGATCAAGGCCTAAACCACGACCAAAACATTCAAAAACACACTCTAGTCTTATCATGGACCAGCCTTCAGGAGGAAAGACTGTGGCTTAGCTTCACTTCAGTTCATTCAATCTGAACTCCTAAATCCTCATAGTTTCATAGTATTTCACGTCATCTGTCATTACAGTTTAAGGGCCTTTGGTGTTGCATAAATGAAATATATCAATAATTAATGTACAATGTGAGTGAATCTAGTTCGATTTGGTTCGAGCTGGTGAGAAGAGTAGACACAGTAGTATATTTATATCATATTTATATAAGTGTATAGGTCATAACACCCACAGATGCACAGACAAAACAGAACAAACATTAAAATAGTGCTAAGCTAATCTAAGAGCTACACATTGCACTAAGCCACGTTGGTGAGGACATTAGCAGGATGTGGATGTAGTGCCCCCTGGTGTAGAAGGTGGTATTGGGGGGTCTTTAAATGGCTTCCACATAGTTGGCAGGGAGCATTCCAGTTTTGCCGCTCCTCTGTACTGTGCCGTACATCCAGCCCTCGTCAATGGACTGAACGTTCACGATCACGTCTCCGTCTTTGAAGGAAACCTCATCGCTGTCAGCAGCAGTGTAGTCGTACATGGCACGCACCGTTTTCTGAGAAGAGGGAAGAGGAATTGGCTCAGAGATTTGTCATATACAAAGACATTTGTGCCCTAACCAAAGAGCTAGACGTTTTCAATGCTAATACTGGCAGTGCGCCGTGTTGAGGAACTAATGCCTCCCAAATTGTGAGTCTTCAAAATAGAAAAGCTTTTTTTTCTCATGGATAACAAAACATATTTTTTAAAATGTTGTCCATTCTAATTCTATTTTTTGCTCCTGTGTCTGTACTTTTACAGAAGTAACAAAACAGAATGACTCACTCCAGTGGTGGAGGGGTGGGAGGGCACAGAGGACACAGTGGTCTGCTGAGTGGCCACAGAAGAAGATCTCTGCTGCAGCTCCACGGTGCGAGCGTGCTGGTAACCTGCGCAGAACATTGAAGTTTTATAGGGAAAAATGTGATATATATTTTTATCTACTGTATAATATCACGATTCTCCGTTGAGCCTCACTACTGCATTGCTGCCTACCAGCAGAGGAGGTCATGAAGCCGTTGCTGTACAGGGACATGTGGTGGTCTGGGTCCTGGGACACTTCAGATTTCTCATCAGCCATTCCACTCAGAGCACTGGTGGAACGGGAGTGCTCCTTACTGCGCCTCTGGGCTTGAACTGGACAAGAAACAGAATCTTAGTATGAGTCAAATATGAATAATAAGTACTTGAAAACATGCATGAGGACATCATGTTGTAAGACCATTTCTACAAAGCCCTTTGAGGGTCATTACTCAAATGAATGAGAACTCAGTTTGCCACCACTCTAGTCAACTGTAGAAGTCTCCCCCCTACTGCATTTGCTTTGTTGTGCCTGTATGTACTAACCATATAAATACCAGTAATAAGAGTCTATTTTCTTTCTGCTCCTCCTCACCTGACATCATGTGCAGACTCCTAGACTGGATGTTGTCCTCAGCAGGGTCATAGTCAAATACAGAGCCAGGGTTGGTGCGCCACACACGCAGATCTGAGGAAAGAAAACAAGAACTATATTGCATATTTCACTGGCAATTCTTCCACTGCCGCTACTACTAGTGCTACTGTTACCACTTATAATTATATTAATACTACTATATAGCCTTTCTACTGCTTCATATAAAGAATCTTTACAGTGAAGCTGTATGAACCGCTAAGTGACATTAAGTGACTTTAGCTGGTGAAGTTTGACTGAATATGCAAGATCACTCAAACATATACTGTACAAATGAAATTTCACACCTCTGTATGCTCAGCTCAGAAAGGTACGTTTAGGTCTGTCTAGAGACACTTGTACAGTGTAGAGAAGTGTTACATACAGTATGTAACCATGGTTCTATGAATCTCTATTAGATTCAGCACTGAATAATTCCCTTTGCACATGCCCTGGTAATATTTACAGTAATGACTCAGCAGTTTATGTAGTTGTTACACAGATTTTTTTTTGTTTACTTTTACATTATTTTGCTAATGTATCTCTAATGATTGTATGTACTGCTGAATAAGGTCATTAGAGATACATATGGTGGATTTTCATGGTAACGTTCTTTCCCGAGCTCTAGTTAGTGGTTCTTGTATATTAGCTCTCCATACCGGTGATGGTCTCCTGGTCATGCTCGATGGCACGCCTCCTCTCCATCTCCACTACGCGGCGCTGTATTCCCCTGTAGCTCACGTCGCTCATGTCCTGAGTGTTCTTCTTCACGCGGTCCATCACTGGGTCCGTTGCGGTGGATGTGAAACTGCCTTTGGTCTTCTCAAAGTCCTCATGATACCTCACCTGCAACAACAGAAAATACACACTTTAGTACAAGTGTTTATATCTCCTTTATAATTTAATAACCAATGCCATTTGTAATGTTAATATATTCATAAATAATGTAAAAGATCTGCCTTACTTGCCAGATTCTGTGACTAAAGCCAGTTTAGTCCCTTAGTACCTTAAACCCAAAATGACTCTCTATATGATGAGTCCTCAGTGTGTGACAGCTCATTTCATCTCTGTTTCACTTATGAGTGTATTGCCATATTGGTTTCATGTATTGCTGCATATTAGTGCTATTAACATACTAGCCAGACCATTGTTTATCTTCCAAGACCCAAGATCTTGCATTCATGTACTAATATTTGAGGTGCATTAAGCAAAGAGAAAACGTAAAATGTGAAATTGTTATGCCATAGAATCAGATCAAATAAGATGAAATTGCTCTTGTAAATGTGACTGTGTAATACAGTGAAGTGTTTGTGTCTTACTCCAGAAATAATGCGCTGTGTCTCTCTGACGCGTCTCATCTCAGGCGTGTCCAGGACAAAGGCGGCTTTACCCTGGATCTGTTTACGGAAACTGTCCGAATACAAAACCTGGAAAAAAAGTACATCAAATAATAAACACATATAATGTAACGTAGAGCTAGCTTAGATTCCACAGCACAGGGAAGGTGAAAACACACATGGACAGGGATCAGAAGGGACGACATTTGGAGTTTGGGATTAAGAAGGAAGTATTAAAAGGGTTGAAACGAAATATTAGCACAAAAATATACAAGTGATTCTTGTTATCAATTAAGATTAAGACATATGTGACACAGTGTCGTTGCGTTAACAAAATCACAAATCCAAAGTCATAGTAAAATTTGTAAGACTTACCACTAAATTGTATTACTCTGAAGAAGAAATTATAATTTATAGTATATTTGTCAATTTACTCACCAATTGTTGGGCATCATATTTACATATTTACAAACATGACTAAAATATATCAGTGAATACTCTATCGTTAGAAACAGTTTTCCACCCACTTAGCCCCTTGTCCCACACTGATGTTGAACCATGACAGAGAAACAACTGTTTGGGATGATCACACAGAGAGACGCTCCCATATGGTTCTCATCAAAGAGTGGGTAAATGTGAAACAATTAACATAACACAAAGACAATTTTGCATAATATGTCCCATTTGAATGCCCAATGTAGTTTCTTTATGTTCCCAAGACAACACACATAAATACACAACAGAAATCAGACTTGACTTTGACTGGGCAGCAAGATGAAGAGGTGTAAGAGGATGGATGTTAGCACACAGCGGAGAGTGGTGGGACACAGGAAGATTAATGCAAGATTAAAGATAGGCCTGTCACAATAAGATTTACAAGCATGATATATTGCTGAAGAAAAGATAGATGATAAACGAAAATATTGAAATGAATTCATGCCACTAACAAGATAAATCTAAAGCAGAATTATCCCCCAAACTATTCTAGACTATATTTGAAAAATTAGACACCTTAGTTCTATCTATAAAGAGTAATAGAAGTTACTTATTCAAAAGTCTACAGCTTAAACCGTATCGCAGTACAATGTACCCCTACTGCAAAGTACTCAGGATACATACTGACCGCAAAAAGTATTGTTCGAACAACCATATACTGAAGTTGCTATAGTAATTATCATGACAGGCCTAATTAAAGAAAGATTAAATAAACAGCGGGGGGAAGTCGTTAGCTGGGTTAACATTGAAGGGACAGCTCTTATTTTGAAAGGTACCGAGCTAATGTTTTCCTGGTTCCTTTTGACTCTCTCCATCTCAGGAGTGAACACGACTGGGGTTCCTTTGACTGAACTGTCCTTATACAAAACCTATGGAAGAAGCACAGCGCCACCAACGGGGCAGTCAGACACATGGCAACACAGACAATAGACATGTGCAGTACAATGCAAAATAGAAATATAAACATTAGTTGAAATCAATACAGAATATGAAAATTTAAGTAGTTTGGACAAGTACTTAGTAAGGCTAGATTATTGGGCTTGTTTTAAGGTAAGGTATACTTTATTAATCCCTCATGAGTGTCAGTCGTTCTCTGGATTTGACCCATTCTTCACCCAGTACTACTGGGGCAACCTCTCAGGAGCAGTGACCTACTGCCATACAGTGTTGAGGGACCCGGCTCAAGTTCTTGAACTAGGCTCGGTAAGGCCTGCTCGGACCACACCAAAAGGCCCAGGAATCAAACTCGGAACCTTCTTGCTGTGAAGCGTGAGTGCTAGTCACACAGCCTTGAGGTATTTCTACTTGTTTAGCCATTATCTTTAAAAAATCTGCCAGTATGAAATGTTTATGTTCATTTCTGGGCCCTAAAATCCTCTACAATTGAAAAACTGCTAAATGAGTTTAATGCTAGACTGTGGAACAATATTACTCCCATGGAATCAAGCAGATGGCAGACTTTCTCATGAGGATAGCTACACGGAATAAGGACTGAAAACTGAAAAAACGTTATTCTGGCAGCAAAAATAATTTCTATATAGGTAAATAAATGTAGACTTGTCAAAACTACTCAAATCAATGGTGTCTGATTTGAACTAATGTGGATATTCTTTAACGCATTGTACATTATAACACACATTTAACAGCAGATTCCTAACAGGGTGGATCATTGCAAAGAGGAGGGAGAAAGATGGTTGTCACAGTTACATATAGGAGCACACTTCAGCAGGAGGTTGATTGTCATTGTGCTGCAAAGTGGAAATTAACTTTATTATTGGGAAGAAGCAGAGAGTTTGTGGGTTAGAAAAACAAGAGGGACCAAAAACTAAAGAAAAATACAGCAGGGAGTCAAAGGCAGATGGTGGAGAAGGGTCGAAAATAAAAGAATAAATAAAAGAATAAAAGGAGTAGAGGTGAGCAGGAGACAAGATGGTGATTTGGATTAAGATGGCGGCAGTGAAGAGGTATCACTCGATGAAGAGGATGAAGTTGAAAATCACTTTGTGTCAAGACCAGTGCAATTTGAATGTTTTATTTTTTCCTTTTAACTAAACTTTCAATTAAACATAAGTTCTGTGAGATATTTACGATACAGTCTTGGTGACCTTGTTCTGTCCTTTTGCTTTTGTTCCTTTTTGAGTTTTGGAGATGTAGACAGACAAATAATAAAGTAAATCCCAAACATGTGAATGATTTTGATGAGATTACATTATAACATGGCTTAAAGCTCACAAGAGTCACTTTTGTGTAATATATTAGCATCTTTAGGCTGGCATGGCTTTGTCTCATCTGCATTGGTGTTGACACTTTCTATGAAGATGAAGATGGAGGAAGAGGAGGAACTAGCTACAGATGACGGTCATTAAAGATGGCAGGTTCCACTGAATACTGTTAGCAATAGCTTTAGCATTAGCTTTAGCGGTACACTCCAGCTTGAGGTTCCTTGTACCGAGCTGATGTGCTTCTGAGTCTCTTTGACCCTCTTGACTTCGGGCAGGTCTGGGATGGCAATGCCCCGCCCCACGCTCTCCTTGTATTTGATCTACACTCCAAAGAAAAGGCTTCATTTACATTTAGACAAAACCAAAACCACTGAAAGACAGACAAGACACACTGTTGCCCATAGAGATAGAATAATGTGAAATATTGAGTAAAGTTTTTGGTCAGTGTTGTTGTTTTTTTGCCCATTGCTTGAAGTGCATATGACAGGTTTTTATGTGTTTCTAATTATTATACCTTAATCTGGTTTGGTAGTTCCTAAATATCTATCATAGTTTTACATCAGTCAGTCAGACATGTCAAACTCTGGCTCAGGGGCCAAAATGGCCTGTGATATAATTACATTTGGCCCGTGAGATCATATCAAATATGTATTAGAGCTGGCCCGCCGGATATAGAGACATTATATATTTAAAATTTTGTTATTTTTTTTATATTATGCTTGTTCTGGATTCAATGCTTAAGCAAAACTATTATTAAACATTTATTTTAATAAGAAAAGGCTTAACATTATACATCTTGAAAGAAGAGAAAACATGAAGATGTTTGTTTTTTTGTTTTTTTTTTGTTTTTTTTTTTCAAGAAATATCAATAAATATTTAGTTTGACCCACGACTTAGTCCCAGTTTTTAATTTTGGCCCTCTGTGAAATTCAGTTTGACACCCGTGAGTTAAGTGTAAAATGGTGTTATAAAAATGGAATCCCTTCAATATAAGAACGCTAACTGCCATATGCACTTACTAGGAACAGTAGGAGTACCTAACCTATTGTGCATGTTTTACTACCTTTGTTAGTCTCAATGAGCTTCATTTGACTTGAGCCAAATGCTTTGAGTGACATCACACTCACTTAGTCCACTTCTTTATAGAGTACTATCAACCAAACATGTGTACAACTGGCTAATCCTTCAGTTAGGAAGGTAGTCCTAACCATGTTCAGCTCAAAATCTAGAGCAGAGTCCCTGCAGTAAATAATGACCAAAGATGTGTTGATTACACAGAGGTCACTAGAAACTCAAGTGCCACCCCTATAGTCCCTATAAGAGGTAACATTATCCCACTTTATGGACGACAATATAGAAAGACAAACAACACCAAAAACAATGAAACACACAAAACATCTGGAAATCTGAAAAAGCACAATGAAGTTAGATATTATATGTGGGTCTACTGAAGCCACATTGTATTGGGGTGAATGGAGAGATCATAGGACCACTCAAAAGTCTACTCATGTTAATACTCAAAGTGTGCGATGAAGTATTTTATTGATGATTTTAGGCGCAGTTTGGGGTCACTCATGGGGATACCGTGCTTATATTTTGCTGGTTGCGTTTGACCCGTTCCATCTCGGGAGTTTCTGGGACTGAGGTGCCTTGGCCCACACCTTCTCTGTACTGATGCTTAAAACAGTGGACAAAAATACCATCAGCAATAGCTAAGGGTTAGAATCAAAAGGAAGGGAAGTTGAAAAGGAAAACTAGTAACTGTAAGAAAAATAAATGAAAGAAATATAGGGATATGGAGAATTTTGTTATTAGTTTAAATGGATATTTTGGGGTAGTAAATGTAATTTCCAAGTTGTCAGTATTGGGCTGGGATTTAGTAGAGCAAAAAGGAGTAAAATTAGATACTGAAATAGAAAATAGAAAATGTGTAGAAAAAGTTTAAAAGTATACTATGTAACATTTTTGGTAGATGGTCTGCCACCTGCTCTGTTCCACAGTGTGGAATTAAACTCTAACTCCATGGAAATAAGCAGCCCCAGAAATACTATTTTCTTTGTAAGATCTGTGGAGAGGCGAGTCCGCCCACAGTCAAATAACATGTTTTTCCAAGGTCAATTAAACATCTGTAATGGAATAACTGTAAGAATAAAACACCATTTAATGCCATACTGTGGAACATTGCAGGCAAAGCAATAACATCTCCATAGACACAAGGTAAATGGATTTAGAGCATATGATAATAAGCAGTATGGGAGGTCAGGATTCGGGTCAAAATGGAGTTTAAAATGATCACTTTTGTATTAGCACAATATGATCACTCCAGTTAAGATCTACCAAGCTGATATTCTTCTGTGTCTCTTTGACCCTCTTGACTTCAGGCAGATCTGGGATGGACGTGCCCTGACCCAGTGCTTCCTTATACTGAATCTGTGCAGTGTGAAAGTGCCATAGACAGAGACAGAGAGACAAGACATAACAATAATATGAACACAATGACAGGACTGCATTTGCAAATATGCTCACTGCGGTACATGCCAGGTAGTACCAAGCAGATCCATATTACAAAGCACACAATAATGTTGTGTTATGTTTTGTTTTAATTATGAGAAGGTCAACAAATGTAATTAAATGTAGTTAAAAGGAAGCAGGGAACGTGACTGAGTCATTAAATCATCATTAAAATATGAAATTAAAATAAATATTAAAAGAGAATTGGGAAGAGAAAAGGGGATTGTTTAGGCAGCCAGTCTCTCCTGCAACGGATTTCTTACCAATTGATTTGGTGTTGCTTTTCAGAATATGTGTAATTATTTACAGTGTTTGTCTGAAAATGTGAAAAATGTTAGTATTACTTTGATACAGACCGGATAAAGCCTTTCTCTGATTGGTTAATTTGTCTGTCAGTTAAGCCCACTTAAAATTACTTGGTGGGCTGAGACAGGAATTGAGTCTAACGACTTTGTAAAGAGTTAAAGGTGCACTGCATAACTTTTCTTGGAGGAGTATCTGCGACTTGCTTGTTTTCATGGAGATGTTAATAATAGCTTTGCCTGGAATGTTCAGCAGTGGAGCATTAAACTATCTAATTTTGTATTCATTTAATTACATTATGTTTTAGTGCTAAAAAACATATTTTTGTAGTGAATAGGATTGCTTCTCCACAGGTCTCCACAGATCTGTAATTTGATCAGGGATGTTTCTCAACTGTGGAACATTCCAGGCAAAGCAATAACAATAACATCTCCATGGAGACAAGCAATGACAGAACACCCACCAGAAACATACTTACATACTGCACTTTAAAGAATATGGCTGGCCAAACTAGGATTTTTGGTCCAATTAATTCAGTAATATACATTTAATAGTTTTTGTGTCAATGTAGAAACAATGACTCACTATGGGCTGTGCAAAGATTGGGATAGTAAAGGGTTGGGATAGGTTTAGGTTAGAGTTGATATAATGGTTAAAATGGATCACTGTAATTGATTTCTACCAAGCTGATATTCTTCTGTGTCTCTTTGACCCTCTTGACTTCAGGCAGATCTGGGATGGACGTGCCCTGACCCAGTGCTTCCTTATACTGAATCTGTGCAGTGTGAAAGTGCCATAGACAGAGACAGAAAGACAAGACATAACAACACATCAATATAAACACAATGACAATGACACAGGACTGCATTTGGTAATATGTTCACTATGGCACATACCAAGTAGGTCCATATTACAAAGCACACAATGATATGTTTTGTATTATGAGAGGGTCAACTAATGTAATAGTTAAAAGGAAGCAGGGAACTTGATTGAGTCATTAAATCATTATCATAATATGAAATTAAAATATAAAAATAGATATGATAGGAAAAAGGAGATTGTATAGCCTGGACAGGCAGCCTCTCCTACTACAGATTTCTCACTTGTTGATTCAGCATTGTTTTTCAGAATATGTGTTATTTGTTCTACAAACTTACATTAACTGCCAGGGTTACTTTGACACAGTATAGACTATGTCGTCCTTGTCAGGTTGATTCATCTGTCAATCAAACCCATTGATGGGTTGAGGCAAGATTCAAGTGTAACATGTTTGTAAAACATAGGAAAATAGTTGAAGGTGCACTGTGTAAATTTCGAGAAAGTTTGTCCATCACTTGCTTGTCTCCAAGAAGAATAAGTGCTTTACTTGAAATATTAAAGTATGACATCTATTATTTTATCTTGAATTAATCTGATTAGATTATTACATTTTTGGTCCTAAAAATCATCCATTCTTAAAGTGAGCGGGGGTCACTGTTCAACAACTTTCAAGTTAGATAAGCTTAATGCCAAACTGTAGAACATTCTAAAGCAATAACATCTCCATGAAAATAAGCAAGTGACAGACCCTCCACCAAAAAGGTTACACATCGCACCTCTAAGTAAAGTGATAGTATTGGCTGGCCTGCCCAGTTTTTTGGTCAAATTTAATTCAGTAATTTACATTTTCTAGTTTCAGCTTGTGTATCCAAAGACTTGGGTTATAAAGGGTTGGGACAGGTTTATAATATGTTAGGGTTGATATAATGGTTAAAATGGATCACTGTAATTGATTTCTACCAAGCTGATATTCTTCTGTGTTTCTTTGACCCTCTTGACTTCAGGCAGATCTGGGATGGACGTGCCCTGACCCAGTGCTTCCTTATACTGAATCTGTGCAGTGTGAAAGTGCCATAGACAGAGACAGAAAGACAAGACATAACAACACATCAATATAAACACAATGACAATGACACAGGACTGCATTTGGTAATATGTTCACTATGGCACAAACCAAGTAGGTCCATATTACAAAGCACACAATGATATGTTTTGTATTGTGAGAGGGTCAACAAATGTAATAGTTAAAAGGAAGCAGGGAATTTGATTGAGTCATTAAATCATCATTAAAATATGAAAATAGATATGATAGGAAAAAGGAGATTGTATAGCCTGGACAGGCAGCCTCTCCTACTACAGATTTCTCACTTGTTGATTCAGCATTGTTTTTCAGAATATGTGTTATTTGTTCTACAAACTTACATTAACTGCCAGGGTTACTTTGACACAGTATAGACTATGTCGTCCTTGTCAGGTTGATTCATCTGTCAATCAAACCCATTGATGGGTTGAGGCAAGATTCAAGTGTAACATGTTTGTAAAACATAGGAAAATAGTTGAAGGTGCACTGTGTAAATTTCGAGAAAGTTTGTCCATCACTTGCTTGTCTCCAAGAAGAATAAGTGCTTTACTTGAAATATTAAAGTATGACATCTATTATTTTATCTTGAATTAATCTGATTAGATTATTACATTTTTAGTCCTAAAAATCATCCATTCTTAAAGTGAGCGGGGTCACTGTTCAACAACTTTCAAGTTAGATAAGCTTAATGCCAAACTGTAGAACATTCTAAAGCAATAACATCTCCATGAAAATAAGCAAGGTGACAGACCCTCCACCAAAAAGGTTACACATCGCACCTCTAAGTAAAGTGATAGTATTGGCTGGCCTGGCCAGGTTTTTGGTCAAATTTAATTCAGTAATTTACATTTTCTAGTTTCAGCTTGTGTATCCAAAGACTTGGGTTGTAAAGGGTTGGGACAGGTTTATAATATGTTAGGGTTGATATAATGGTTAAAATGGATCACTGTAATTGATTTCTACCAAGCTGATATTCTTCTGTGTTTCTTTGACCCTCTTGACTTCAGGCAGATCTGGGATGGACGTGCCCTGACCCAGTGCTTCCTTATACTGAATCTGTGCAGTGTGAAAGTGCCATAGACAGTGACAGAAAGACAAGACATAACAACACATCAATATAAACACAATGACAATGACACAGGACTGCATTTGGTAATATGTTCACTGTGGTAAATACCAAGTAGGTCCATATTACAAAGCACACAATGATATGTTTTGTTATGTTTTGGGGGTTTTTAACAAGAGAATGAGAAAAGGCTAGATGTTTGGTTCAGCTTAATTCAGTAATTTATATGTTCTCGTGTTAAGTCTTGTGTGTCAATGTAAAAACCATGATTCACTATGGGTTGTCCAAATATAGGGATAGTAAAGGGTTGGGACAGGTTTATAATATGTTAGGGTTGATATAATGGTTTAAATGGATCACTATAATTGATTTCTACCAAGCTGATATTCTTCTGTGTCTCTTTGACCCTCTTGACTTCAGGCAGATCTGGGATGGACGTGCCCTGACCCAGTGCTTCCTTATACTGAATCTGTGCAGTGTGAAAGTGCCATAGACAGAGACAAAACAATACACAAATAAAAAGACTGACAAAGACATAGACACATAGGGAATTGCTGGATCCTGGTCTGGTTATCATTATTTAAAGGAAAGTATTCATATGATTAAAGTAATAAAAAAAACATGGTATTTCAAATGTGCGGGAAAGGTGCACTGAATGACCAAAAGCCAGAACAATGTGTATTTAGACTGACCATTATATGCAATTTAATTTTATGTAATGATGCATAAGTGATATAATACAATAATGTATTTTGGCCATCCAGTTGAAAGGGAGAGCTGCATAAAAATAATAAGTGATCAAACTGAAGAATTCATTTGGAAAAAAGGTGAAAAAGGTCACATAAGAGAAGAAGGCAAGTATTATGAGCGGGGCAGGGTCACTTCAGGGAAAAAAGATGATTACTTTATAAAATCATGGTTAAAAATATGTTTTGTGAATCAGGAGGAGGAGGGAGGCAGGGTCACTCTGCAGTGTACCGTGCTAATGTTTTGTTGGTTGCGTTTGACTCTCTCCATCTCTGGTGTTTCAGACACAGCTGTTCCTCCGCCCAAGTCCTCTTTGTACTGAATCTTTGGTCAAGAAGAGATCAAAAATATAACATAAAATAAAAATAAAAACAATTTAACTTGACAGTGATGTAGCGTTGAACATTTTCTTATCATATGCAAAAAAAAAAAAAAGAAAAAAAAAGATTGGTCCTTTGATGAGAAAAAAATCTATTCTCTAACATTGTGTATTTTAATAAAAAAAAAAAAAAAAACTTTTTTCAACTTTGATGGCACAGAAGTATAAAATGATATGATACTTGCCAAACAAACTTTCTTAAAATGTAAGTCTAAATGCATTGTACTTATTACTATTACTGTCACCATATCGGATTGAATTTTGGTTATTAATGAGAAAACCTGGACGAACAACAAATATATACACAAATATACATAGATATAACATAGAACACAAATGAACGCTGAAATAAAACAATAACAACATTTGAACAATTACACACACTGCACTCAAAAACAAGAAAACACACAAATGGGTTAGCAAAAATAAAAGAATAAAATCCCAAAATGTTAAGATAATTTTTGGGCAGCAAGTCAGGGTCTGTTAAAGTGATGGGGAAAAACAATAAAAAATAGCAGTGTTATAATAAAAAAGAAAAATTAAACACTGAACACTTTAGTTCAAATTTATACCGAGCTGATATTCTTTGTATTCTCTTTAACACGTAGTATTTCTGGAGTGTCCTGCACAGCAGACACTTTGCCTTTTATGTTTTTAAGGTCTGTCTGGTACTGAAGCTACAAGAGAACACAGTCAAGGACATATGGCAACAGAAAGACAAGCAAAACGAGTGCACAGAACAATTCAATCATCTTATAAATAAAGTTAGCAACAGTTTGAAAACAAAACACATAATATGCTACAGACATAATACAAAACAGATGTAATTCAAAACTAGAAATATTTACAATGGACACACATACATAAAGGCAATAGACAAATACTGTATAATGGACATAGCAATTAGGGTTGTAATAATTAATCGGAATAATCGTGACTAGCAGACTATTATAAAGTAACTTTAATTGTATTTTGATAATCGGACTTCTAACTATTTATAACAACAACAGTGGTATTATCAAATCAAAATATTAAAAAAATACATACAAATCAACTACTAATGGAGCCCTAATGGACAAAAATACATAAACGCAATCAAAAATACTGTATAAAGGCCATAGAAACTTACATATATGAATTATTTTTTGATGAAACCCAAGTATCTAATTAACTAAAGTAAACATATATGAGTGTATGTATGAGTGTACTTACAGTGCTGAAGTTCTTCTGGTTCTCACGGACTCTCTGCATCTCCGGAGTGTCCAGCACAGGTACATAGTGAGACATGGTCCTCTCAGCCTCCTCCTTGTACTTTTTCTGTTCAAAACAACATTTTTTGCTTTTGAGATACAATACAACAGCAATGATTTGTTAAACAGTTATGATGTCATGGGTTGATGGGGGAAAGAAACAAGGCCTGGACCAAGGCCAACCTTTTTGATGTGAAGTGAGAGTGCTTGCCAACCACAATACTATATGTATCTGTTTTAAATACCTGGCTGACGATGTTTTTCATCTGCTGAGCGTGGATGATGTCAGGAGTATCGATGACGGTGGTGTAACTGGCTCTGTCCATCTCTGCAATCTGCTTGTACTTAGTCTGAAACACAACAGACAAAAACATAGTATTCACCAATTACCAAACATGTACCAATACTACTACTCCTACCTCAGCTACTAGTACTGCTACAGCTATTTAAATAAGATTACTACTAATACTACTATCAACTAAAGCTTCAATTTTGCAGCTAATATTTAGACATTTGACAAGCTCCTCTCTACTAGTACTATACTGGAATTAAAAGTTCTAGCTGCTACTTAAACAGTAGTATTGTCACAACTGCTACCACATTTTTTTAATGAGGAAAATAACAAATAAGTAATAAATCGATACATTTACTACTACTACTACTAGTCTTACCAACTCTGTCAACATCTACTACAACCACAATATTACTATGTAAGTACATACATACATACATACATTACATACATTACATACATTGCATACATACACACACAATTCCCCATACCTGGCTGAGGATGTCGGTAGCGTTCCTGGCCCTCATAAAGTCGGGGGTGTCCGTAGCGAGAGCCAACATGCCTTTGCCTTTGATCTCCTGCTCCAGGGCCTTCTTGTACTCTCTCTGTGAACACGTGTAAATGCACATAGACAATTACAAAAGGCCACAATCACAAACGTCTCATAGGGATCTATAGAGGAGGGCTGCAGGACATCAGGGAATAAGCTAGAAAATTATGAAATAAGGTATGAAGGTGGTGATATGGGGGTAACCAAAAAGTTGTAGTTAAAGTTTCAGTTTATTTTAAATCTATTCAGACATGTCAAAGGCTAAAGTAATACAAAAAGTGCATGTGATGTAAATCTGATAGATAATAATGGATAATTAATCCATCAATCACTATATCTGCACATCAAAATAGGGCAAGTTCATCTAAAAAATACATTGATATGAAGTTCCAACTCATAAAAAATCATGTAGGTTTTGGTTAAAATTATTTTCTATCCAATTACAATTTTGCAACTATATTTGCAACATTAGATTTAATGTATAGTTCAACTAAATTAAAAAACAAAAAAAAATGTAAAAGTTTTCAAACGTTTTTCAAACTAGCATTAGCACAATGCTCAAAAGTCAATCCATGGGTCTTAGAGTGATTACTAGTATTAATTAGTGCCATTGTCATTTTTACCAATTGTTTAAAAGACCTCAAAATGTCACATATAATCAGGGACCTGAAACCCATGAATTGGCATGAAAAAACTACTAAACTACTTGACTATACTACTTGACTATACTAATTTCATCTCGTTCTACTAAAGTATCTACAGTCTTCATGGAGATTGTATTGTTTTGCCTGGAATGTTCCACAGTACGGCATTAAACATATCTACAAGCAGTTGGCACCATTCGAAGTTTCAGGTAACCCACTCACAATAAAAATCCGTGTATTTTTCAGTTATACCAACACATGAAATTGATAATTGCATGTTATATGTTTTTAATACTATATTGTGGAACATTCTAGGCAAAGCTCTCCATGGAGAAAAAGCAGTAACATCTCAACAGTGGCGGAACCCCCAAAAGAAAAGTTTCATGGTGCACTTTAACAAAAATAAAAACAACAATTAAAGGAGAAAAGGAGGTTTAAGCTGTTATGTTAGTGATGTCATCAAGCAGGGACAGACACAGTCAACCGTTTTAGTTTGATGGAGTTTTAGGCGTCATGAGTTTGTGGAGCAGCAGTGGCAGTGGACAAGAGTCACACTGATGGAAGCACAGCATCAAGAGCATCAGCAGTAACACTTTATAAGAACTACACTTTAATTAGCCTTAATAAAGCATGAACAAACATTGAACACATAATGAACAAATAGTCTATTTGGAATTATTAAGGTTTAGTAACTATTTAATTAATACCTTAACCGTAACTCCTAACCCCACCCCCCTATACCCGATATTCTTCTGTATTTCATGTCAGTGCAAATATATTCTATAAACAGCTCTTGAGGTCAAAATAAGTCAGCTGTGTACTCCGATAATAAGGAAGTGTGCATTAGCGTGCACATTATTGTTAGCTTTACAGTGACAGAAAAACAATTTGCTTTGGTCACTGAAAGTTGTGAAAAGTGCTCACTCCTCCCAGTGAATAATTAATAATAAGGTTCATAACTTTGGAATCCATAACTTTAACTGCAAACCATATAAAATTAACTTGTTCAATTATTTTGCTCATTCATTAACCAATTTGCCAATTTATGAGTTAAGTCTTTGTTCGTGTTTTATTAAGGCTAATTAAGGTGAAGTAACTATAGTGTTACCGCATTAGCTTTTTCTTCCATCTCTCTTCATTACCTCAGACAGGATCTGAGTGGCATTTCTGGCTCTCAAAAGATCAGGCGTTTCCTCCAATAGAGTCAACCCTTTACCCTTCACTCCCTCCTCTAGATCCTTCCTGTATTCTTTCTACAGGAGGCAGAGGATACACAGGTTTGGGGCAGGCACAAGCACAGGCGAAAACAAGACAATACAAGAGCTCAAAGTCTATGCTTATTTATACTGTTGCCCATTAAAGGTCCTATATTACATATTATATTACAAAATAGACTCTTGTGAGCTTTAGGCCACATTATCATGTTGTAACCTCAAAAACATACTAGAAGTTGTGTCTTGTTCCATTTACACGTTTGAATAATCCGTTATTATTAGTCTCCACAACAGTCTCTACAACTCCAAGGCTCAAAAGGCTCTGTCTCACCTTGTGATGTCATCGAACAGAGGTTTTAAAGTTAACAGCTCCTTATACCTTTAATCTAGTAGAGATTGGCAATTCTAGAACAGGAATTAGCCAAATGATTCTAGTGAAGGTTTATAAAATTTAGGAACACGGTGGAGCACTTCCTGTGTTACCACATGACATCACAAGGTGGAACAAAGTGCTTTCTGTTTGAGAGAAGAAATCACCTAAATGTGGAGGATCTGCGTGTTAAACATGTGTAAATGAAAAGAAACACAACTCCAGGTCTGTTTGTGATGAGGAAACAACATTATAACATAGATCAGAAAATAGACTAATACGGCTCCTTTAAGTTTGAATAATGTAACTATAATGATCTGAAATGGTTTTAGCGATTCATCCAGTTCCGATCACATGCTGTAGTTGTGTCCTTAAACAAGACTTTACTGCCTATGCATGTGTTTCTGCCAGGCTACCTTACAGCAATTCCCAGCAGTATGAAGAAAGGGAATAATGCAAGTTACTTTAAGCAGAAATTTCATATATGATTAATATATTTTTCTGTTCATTTCTTAAAATGGGCAGCAGTTTAGAAAGCAGGAGTTCTTGACTTTGGCAGTTTCCCTGGTAATGCAGTATACAGTTTATTGCTGGAAACAATAGAAAAAAAGAAGAATACAGAAAAGCTTGGGATGCCCAGACACCAAATTTAGCACAAACATTGCACGCAGTTGCACATGTCATTCAACATGTTTTTCTCAAAGCCAAATGTTCTCCTTATTTCATCATTTCTATTGGAAATCTAAAATAGTTCAACAGAATATAGTGATTTATCCTATAACACTACTGAGCAAACTATTTGGGATAAAACTGGTATCTGGACAACCACTCAAGAATCACATGCCAAAATGCAGCTTACAGAGAAAGTTATCAGGAATTACATGACGAGTAGACAGACATTGAATATAAAAAAATATTTCAATTGTTGTCAAGGCGACTAAGCTAGACATTTAAAAGCATTTTTAAAACAAAGCCAACACATGTAATAAATCTAGACTCTGGACAAACATAAAGGAGAGTTGAGCTGTAGTTCCAATTGCACGAAACCAAACAGCATTATATTGGTATTACGTCTGGGCACCACCAAATTTAAAACGAATGTATAATGGTATTTATCAATAATAAAATTCAAAAATTTACATATATGCTTAATTTAATCTGTTTAAATATGAACTATGCAACTTTTCTGGTAGATGGTCTCCAGGAAGATATTGCTTTGCCTTGAAAATTCCACAGTATGGCATTGAGCTTATCTGAAGACAAGCTGGTCACTGTATCGGGCTAAGTTACAGTTCAGATCAGTGGAGAAGTGAGCACTCATTATTAAGAATGCTTTTTTTTTTCTTTTGGTCATTTCTTTTTTCTTTTTTTTTAAACCCTGTAATTTAAGTTACGGCAAGTTTAATGCCATACAGAGGAACATTCCCGGAAAAGAATTCTTCATGGAGTCCAGCAGGAGGCAGACCCAACTCCAGAAAAGTTACATAGGGCATCTTTGAGGGGGAAAACATGCTGTAATTGTAGGAAAAGTATGAATGAAAAGGAAGTCACACAAGTTTGAAAAATGACTTATAAATTAAACTTAATATGGAGTGAGACATGCAAATAGACTAGACTGAAAGTGTGACTGTGGTCAAAAGGAAGGAAATTCAGTTCAAAGTGACCATGAACCATTTTGTTATTATGATAAAGAATGAGCGAGTTGAAAGAGGGGAAATAGGAAAGAGATGATGAAATGTTTTGTATCCGTTGGTTACCTCGCTGGCTATTTTGGTGGCGTGTCGTACGTGTAACATTGCAGGGGTAACTTCCAGTCCAGAGAGGTTCCTGCCTTTCATAGACTCCTCATAGTCCTTCTTATAGTCTTTCTATTGATGCAGGCAAAGACACAGGACAAGGCACTGACAAGGCTCTTATACATATACATGCAACATACAGTTCCCACAATGCAATGCGCATACCGCTCTGCTAATGCTAAAGCTAAAAACAGATATATTCCGGTCATAGCAGAAGGTGAGTGCAGGAAATCATATATGAAGCCTGGAAAACTAGAATTTTGAAGATTAACAGTTTTTTAATGGCCAAACAAATATAACTTTATCTGTGTCCTATTACTTAGAAAGGAGTTGATAAATATGCACTTTAACAGTAACTGTTCTATCTATTTGCTAGATTACAACAGCTTTACTACTAAGATTCTTATACTGTAATGCAATGTTTTCATTTTACATCAACTGTAATGATATCTTTTTCAGTTTAGCAGAAACTGTGCTAATCCTTTTTACACTAAAAGCCTTAATAAAGCTGAACGGAATCTTAATTCATAATTAAAGCCACCTGTGGAGATGATGGCCCTCACCCTGTCACACACACCCCTCCCACACGACCGCCCAGCATGCTATTACCCCTTCCCAACAGCTGCCCGGGCCCACTGATCTTTCATCAGAAAAAATTACACAGTGACCTTTTTTTTTTTTTTTTATCTTTGCACCCCTGCTGATCAACCATGAAAAATGTTCCATGTTCGCAATTTATTTTTTCGATTGTAGTTATTCATAGAATTTAATCCCTAAATTTGGTACAAGTTTGATAATGTTAACATGTCTATGGTAGGGGGCGCTATAGTGTTCAGTTGAATTAGACTTCATAGTCCATCCCATTCCGGCCAGGATCACACAATTTTTATTTGAATTTAAGCTCTCTAGACCAATGCCTGTGGCCGTGAGAAGTCATCAAAGAAACAGGAAATTAAGGTGTTTTTTGGCAGCGTGTTACGGGAAAACCGTAAGGAATATCTACAAAAATAGATATTTTTGTGAACTTATGTCTCTAGATGTGACATGCCAAATGTGAGCTCATTTGGACAAAAAAACGGGTACTATTAGCGTTTTACAAAAATGCTATCAAAACTGTGGCAAATGTTTTATCCAATATGGCTGACTTCCCGTTCATCATAGGGGTACACGCCAATTCAACTTTTGGCTTGTCTTATTGTTCGCTATCACTGTTCCAAATTTAATTTGCCTACGCCAAACTTTGCTTGTCCCCACTCCCACAGGGGTCCACTTCTAGGTGGCGGTGTTGTTTATTGAATTTTTTCACCAGACCGGTCAATACCGTTTTGGGGACTTTTTGTCGATGTTTAGGCTTAAGGTGTCATTATTATAAAGTGGTAAGAAAATGGCTTCAAATTTGTGTGAAAATAGGGGACAATAAGTGATTGTTATTTAACACCAGGTGATCATAAAACCAAAGTGATATTGTGCACAGATAAACACCAAATGTCCCAAAAGATTTTCCAGACTCCATGTATGTCACCAAACATATAAAAGACAACATAGACACATTTCTAAAAATAGTCTAAATGCCAAGATGCAATTTTCACATTGTCTTTCACCATCTGTATAACAAGCTTTAAACTAAATTTATAAAAGTGCAGTGATTACAGAACAAAAATACAAAATACCATACAAAAGTACAAAAAGCAAAGCAATAGAAATACAATTTACAACTAGTACACATTTTAAAACCTCTGTGAGATGATTGCTGTTGTGGCACGAGGCTACAACTACAGATTGAATTGAATAAATAAAACGGCAAGGTAAAGACAATGTAAAATGCTTGTATACCTCATACATCATAGTTGGACAAACAACAAGCATTGAAGCACTATGCACATTTGATTTTATGCAAATATATTATAATAGTAGCATCCAAATAGTGTTTAGTGCGACTATAAAAAGCTACTAGTTTTAGACTGGACATACCTGGCTCTGCATGTGCTGGGCCTCCTTAGCAGTCACATAAGTTGGGGTCTCGAAGTCCAGCATTGGTTTTCCCTTCTCTTTCTCATACTTCTCCTTGTACTTCACCTAATCAAAATTGTAATATTAAAGATTACACATTCGTCATTTGGACACCAACAGAGCAGTTAGATATGAAATGCCGTGGAGTACAGAAAAAAAAAAAACAGCTAATGAGAAAACAAGGATAACTGGATTACTTGACCTCTAATGCCAATCGGCATATTGTAAATCAATACATATTTTTCATTGGTAATTTAAAGGTGCACTGCGTAACTTTTTTTGAAGATACGCCGGGAATCTTAAAACAAAACTTAGCATAAAATGTATCTGTCTTGCATCACATTCAAATATAGGCGTTTCAACTAAGCCTAGCTGAATGCCACACTATGGAACATCACAGGCTAAAAAACAGAACAACAGAGAATCAGAACCCAAGAGAAGGGGGGGGTAATTATTCCTTACATGACTGGTGTTTCTGAAAAACTAAAGAGGATTTTCAGACAACATGAAATCCCAGTGTATTTCAAACCTACGAACACTTTAAGACAGAAACTGGTTCACCCAAAGGACAAAACACCAAGCCACGAACAAAGCAATGTTGTCTACAAAATTTAGTGTAACGAAGACTGTAGTGAGCACTACATTGGAAAAACGAAACAGCCACTTCATAAAAGGATGTACCAACACAGACGAGAAAGCAATAGTGGACCAGATGCAGTGGTACAGATTTGAGCCAGAGAAAATAATCGGTTTGACAGGGAGGTTTAAGAGGCTATTTTTGTTAGAAAAGACAATCCATCCTTGAGCAGTAGAAATGGAAGCCTCAGACATCAAAACAAAGAAAACAAAAGGGGTAGCCAGGTTAGGCCCAGAGGTGTGAAAGCACCCATCAGGGGCCTGAATGTTTATGTTAATATGACCCCATACTTAGTGCAGTTCAATAGGCCTAGCTAACAAACCGAAACTGTAAACAAGTGTTAGTTTCTGACCAGAACTGAAGAAGCATCTTGGATGAGCTGCGAAACGTATTCTACCAAAATGTTTTGCACAAATTAAATTTCTCCTTTGCATCGCAGGCAAAGCAATGGCAGCTCCAAGGCAACAAGCAGTACCCTCTCTCTATGTACCTTCCATCAAAAAGGTTACACTGTTCCACCTTTATTTTGTTTTTTTTATTTTTTGAATCTCAGAACCTAATTGTTATGAATTATTTTCCAATTAAAAGTGTTGGGCTCTTCACCAATCAACTATGCAAACAAATCCATACAGTTTATATACCCGTTTATATACCTTGTTCCCACTTACATTGCTCTGCAGCTCTGACGCCTCCTTGTGGTGAAGTTGTTCGGGTGTGTCGGTGATCATGTGGTAGTGACCCTTACTCGCCTCAAATTTCTTCTTGTACTGGTACTACAGGGGAGCCCCAGTCAAGTGTTATCAGAATGAGACAAAACTACTGTCTCTCAATGGCATTTGTTATTACAATTATTCAAATTAAAAAACATTTTATGTTTTAGTTTATGGTGGAAATTTAAAGGGCCTATATTATACTATTTTTTAAATCTGTTATAATGTTGTTTCCTCATCAAAAACGTACCTGTTGTGTTTTGTTTCATTCACACAACACACAAATCCTACATATTTAGGCTGTGTTCTTCTCTCAGACAACACTCAGTTCTACCTTGTGATGTCATGTGGTAATACTGGAAGTGCTCCTCTGTGTTTTCACTAGGATAATTAGCATAATTTCAGCCCCAGAACTGATAGTCTCTACTAGTCATAAGGTAAAAGCTAGTTGTTAGCTTCAAAACTACCGCTTCATGACATCACAAGGTGGAACAGAGCATTTTGAGCTTTGGACATGTACATAGACTAATAATGCAGGATTACTCAAACTGTGAATGAAACAAAATGAATATCCAGGAATGTTGTTAATAAGGTAAAACATTGTAACATGGCTTAAAGCTCACAAGAGTCAGTTGTGCGTAATATAGGACCTTCAAGTGTTAACTTTGAAATGCTAAAGCAATGGGCTTTTAATGTTAAAGGTTTAGATGTACTGGAATAAAAATAAGGTAAGTAAGGTAAGGTAGAGCTTGTTAAGATACCATGAATTAGAAAGCTAAATGCGAAGAGGAAAATTATATATTAGGAGAATAGATATTTTAATGTATTGGGTAGTACTAAGAGTAGGTCAAAAAGTAAGAGAGGATGGCTGGGTAAGGATCACTACCAGATGAGGTGTTTAAATGAAGGACTAGTGTAAAACCATGTGATGTAATGAATGTTATACATGTTAAGTTTGAAATAAAGTTAAAATATTTTTTATTGAGGTTGAGGGTAAGTGTTGTAGCTTTTGAGACCAGTCTGATAATCTTCACCTAATTATCCCTGAAATCTATTTGTTTTCTGTTTAGGTCTAGGGGTAAATTAAGGGTAAGGGTAAATTAACACCTATCACCCACCTTGTTTGTCTGTTGTTAAGATGGCTTCCTAATTTCTACTTCATGATATTTTCCAATATTTGTTTAACTAAATTGTAACAGGCACCATGCTGATTTTTAATTCTATGATGAGCACAACTGACACAAAATTTAATAATTTTATAAATAGGAATGACAATAAAGCTTGTCTAATGAAATCACATAGCCTTGTAAGAGGTAGTCCTGCTGAAATATGGAATCAAATTTTTGGAGACCTGTCACATGTTTTAGTGTTAGAGGAAACCAGAGCCCCCACAAACACAGGGAGAACACGCAGACTCTACACAGAAAGGACCTGCGCTGACCTTCTTGCTGTGAGATGAGAGCACTAACCTCTATGTCAGTCTGGCTATTTTCAGACATCTCTTTGCAACTGGTCTCATTAGATAGGCACAGACTACAACACCGGATGAGAGATATGAGTGATGAAAAAGACTGTACAGCTGCTGCAGTGTAAAAGTGAAGTGTTAATGCAGTAATGATGGAAGTAGTGAGAGGAGCGTGAGAGGAGAAAGGGGAGTACAACAGGGAGGATTAAGAGAGCCATGGAGAAGTTATAGAAGAGGTGGAGGAGGGAGAGGAGAGAAAAAGAGGAGGAGTGACAGAGAGGGGACAGAGAGAGAGAAAGAGAGAGAGGAGGGAAGAGTGAGTGAAGTGTTAGTCTTACATCGCTGGAGAGTTTGCTGGTGCTCAGACTGTGCTGCATGGACAGAGACTCGGCCATGTCTGTCACTGGTTTGTGGATCTTCTTCAGGTCACCCTTATACTTCACCTGGAATATATCATAATACAAACACAATGAATGATGGACTACATAACATGGACTACACACATTTTGCACATTAAATTTCATACACCAAATTTAAAGATAGGGAGGAACATAGGTCTGTAAGTTTTATCACTATCACAGTAAAGAAAAAGTCACAATTATATTTGACCTGGGATTAGACAAACAAACATGATAAATAACATGCTGGTAGAATGGATTGTCCATTAACTGATGGTTCATTTTTAGCAATTCAGGCAATGTATACTGTCCTACATATACAATTTGAAGCCTTATATTGTCACAACAGGTAATTACACAAATAGCTATAGTCAAAAATGTAGTTACAAATATCTCCTGTACCTCACTAGCCAGGTCATTGGCATCCTTCAAAGTCTTGTAGATCTTGGCCTCCTTCAGGTCATATTGCGGCTTCTTTCCTTTCACCTCCTTGTCAAACTTTTCCTTGTACTTCACCTGTTCATATGGCAACAACAAGTTAGAATCAAAATAATTCAGCAAGAAAATATAAAAATAACTTTGGACTCCAACACATTTATATAACATATTTACATTTTGTATAAAAAGAGATGCAAAGTCTGAGGTTTAGAATATTAGCTTTAAAATTAAGCCTGTGCTACGCTTTGTCGATGCATCCCTTGTTATACACTAAACATTTAGACAACATATTTTGAAAAATTAAAAATTTAGCATGCCATAATTTTGTGTATAACTTGTCACAACATCAATAGTGGGCAACAGTGGGCATGTTCACATCTACAGCCTTGGATTCATTATTGGTTTAGTATTATACTTTGTACAAGGGTAGCCACTTATTCCCATTAAACAAGCCACCCATTCACTTGATATGTACAGTGAATTGCTGTGCTGTGAAGATACCCAATGGCCCAGTTGCATCCAGATGTTTTGAGACTGGATCATTAATTTGAGCTGGCTCGCTGTTCAGGCATCACATTACTGACAAGACTGACCTCAAAGGACCAATGCAATCACATACAATAGTACATTTTGGTGATACTATTTTTTTTCTGACTAATTACGACTTATTATTATGTCACTCTATTCAGTCTATAGAAAGGCACTGTAAATTGAAAGAATACATTTCTGTTAAATAAGTATTCAAATTTGTGCATGTTGAAAAAAATGGTAGATAGTAGTCTTGTGAAACTCGTTTCTAATGTAAGCTCTGCAAAAACTGTAGTTACTTTTTTGTGAAAACAATCTGATATAGAAAAAAGATCAACTGATACTTTGCAGCTGATGTCATCAATATTCCCTGGGAGTGTGTTGCTAACTGTAGGCTCTGCTCTGTCTGAATCTCTATTACTAAAGTTAGACTCTAATATGAGCTTTAACACAATCTTTCAATTTATTTATTTATTTTTTATGTATTTGCTAATGTGTGTATTGTGACTCCATGGTAACACCCCCGGAGTGATGTCACTGCAAAGTATCAACAAAAATTAGATGTTATGCTCCCCCTACTTTTACACTAGAGTATACAGTCAAGAAAAAATTGTACTGCAAGAAAAAGACCTTCAATAACCAACATGAATGGCAGTATGCAAATACGTACAGCTTAAGCAGTTTGAGGTGTTATAGATGAAGATGCAATGGTTATATGTTATGAAGAACGGATCTATAAATAAAAAGGCAATATTTTGGACCACATTTTATACTAATCTGGGGCACTAAAATTTGAAAATAAAAAAAAAGACAAATCAAATGTAACTTGTTGATTTCAGGCATAACTGGGTTGTAGTTTTTCAGGATTGGGTGGGACTTGCATAAGGCATTAATGCAATTATAGGCTAATCCATTAATTTAAAGGTCCTATACTACAACTATTCATGAATCTTAAGCCATGTTAGAATTTTGTTACCGCATCGAAAACATACCTGGAGTTGTGTTTTGTTTCATTCACACGTTTTTGAGTAATCTTCTGTTATGAGTTTGTCTACATCTCCGAAGCTCAAATTAACAGCTACTGTTTTATTGACCTTTAGTTCAGTAGAGATTGAAAATTCCAGGACTGAAATTATCTAAATTATTCTAGTGAAGGTGTACTGGGTTTAAAAACATGATGGATCTCTTCCTGTATTATCACATGACATCACAAAGTGGGACAGATTTGTGTGTGAATGAAACAATAAAACAAAATTCCAGGTCTGTTTTTGATGAGGAAACAATATTATAATATAGATCAGAAAATAGTGTAATATAGGCCCTTTAAGAGACAAGTGCAACTTGCTGATTTCAGGCAGAAAAAATATCATAATCAACACCTATAGGACAATTGGATGAACTATACTATGTTTTTGTTTTTCAGGCCTGGGTGTGACCTCCTTACACAAAATTTATTACATAACATCAAAAATGCAACTGTAGTCTTAGATGTCAATTTAAACTCTGAGCATTCAAACGTATGAATCAAAAAAGACATATCAAATGCAATTTGTTGACTTCACGCAGATAAAAAACACCATGACTGACACCTATAGGACAATAGGACAACATATAAATAGTTTTTGTTTTTCAGGCTTGGGTGGGACCTCCTTACATCACTATTCATGGCACTCAATTTCTTAGCGTGGCGCATCTGAAGAGTGTCGAATGAAGAAGCTCCATGGAGGATGGGCTTGCCTCCTGCTACAGGCACCTAGAAGCGCAGTGACATGGAGGGATGAGAACAAACAGAGCCAAAGCGCATGAGGATGGATTGATGGATAGAGAGAGATGGAGAGAAGGGGGGGGGGATCAGTGGAAGAGAAAGAGAGATAGGGAGAAGAAAGGAGTGAAAGTATAGGGTTATGAGGAATAAGATAGGTGAGAGAGAGAAAGAAGGAGGGAAGGAGAGTGAGAGAAAGTTTAGGTTAAAGTGAAGAGATGATTAAAAATAGTTAGGCATTTAAAGCAATGAAGAAACAAAAGATTAGAACACTGATGAACATGAAAAGCAATAGGGCTGCACAATATGTCATACATTCAAAAATGGAAGAGAATTCAAATTGATAAAATAAGTTGCAAATTCAATAAAAGAATTGAAACTTAGTGATGTGTTGTTATTTTATATTTTGCTTGTAGAAATGACTTAAATTTGGTTGGTAAAACTAGATATATGTTATTGTCATGTTTTGTAATTAATTAATAGGTAACCATTTTGAGCAATTCCACAGTTGTAAAAATAAATTAATATAACCTATTTTTTTCACTGCTATGATGTACAATTATCCTCTATTGTGCAGCCGTAGAAAGCATCCCGAAAATGCAGGTTGCATGAAATGAAAGCCAAAGCGTTGCACCTAAAGCAAGCGCCATAAAAGAACATGGAAGTGGCACCATCTCCTGGATACAACCACAAATGACAACACAGATAACACAACTCTGTCCCTGTGAAACAACTAGCTTTAGTTCATTGAGAGTGGGATTCCATCGGACTGGCCCAGAGGAGCTGACTGTTTCTTTTTTTTGGGGGGGGATACCTGGCTGGTCAGCTTGGACACTGCAGTGGCCAGAGCTATGTCTGGACGGTGGGCCAGAGAGCCTCCTTTGCTTGCCTCCTCCCGAGCCTTATCCCGGTACCCAATCTGATGGAATATACCAACCATTAGACAAGACACGACAGTACAGGCACACACAGGACAAAGAGTACAAAGAGTGTTTAGATGCACTTGGGTATGCAGAGAATGGCTTTGATAATTCATATATTTTGTTTTCGTTGGACTGATTCAAGGGAAAGCAGAGAGAAATTTTGGTTCCTGTTGTTTTTTAATAATGTATAAAAGTATCTGCATTAACACCTAGTTTATCTGTCTAATTATACTTACTTCAACATATTCTTTTTTGTTTTTAATTTTTATATATTGACATAAACATCAATAAGCTATCTATCTAACTATATTTGTAACTGTTTATTTCCTTTTGTTTTTTCTTACCATCTGCACTTTTGTATGTAAAAACTGCCAAATAAATGTACAATTATTTTATTCAATTTGAGATCAATACACTTTTCTCTTAACTTAATGGACCATAAGGAAATAAACAGTTTTGCCTCTCACTTTTGTACTGTGCTTCTGACAAACTAAGCTTAACTATAGTTTGAATAGCCTCTTTATAATATTTTCATAGTCCTTGCCATCTTATTCTAGTTTACAACTTTATCATCACTAACAGTTTACTTACTATAGGTGACCATGTACAATTTATAACTTCAATGTTGCTATTTGAGGCACTGCACCCAAATTAAACTATATTAAACAATCACAGCTCATAGCAGTTTTTACTACCAAATGAATTAGAAAAACGTATTCAATGGGTAATGCTAAGCCAGTTACAGTAAAATGGTCTTTCTACTAAAATGACATTGCTGCTTGTTCCCTCCCATCTGAACCTCACGATTCTGATATAAAAACTGAAAATATCCAAGTGCATGTAAACACAAAAGTAACAACATTATAACATTACATGACAGATTGGAGACACATAGACACGTTGGTTCTCATCCTCCAGAGCTTTTCTGTAGAGCTTTAACCATGCAGTCAAGCAACATACAATTTTACAGGCATTTAAAGAGAGGGTGGCCTCCATTTCAGGGCCACAGTTTGATTCAAGCATTCTGTTATGGAACCCAACTTGATAATAGCATAGTAATAAACCATTCAAGAGGTAATAGTGGTTTTTACCAAAATATTTCCTGCAATAACTACAACAAGAAACTGATAGAGGAATCTCCGGATTCTTTAGTATAGTTTAATCATAATTTGTAGAAATACCAAAATACTCAAATTACAAAAACTAAGTATAAATAAATAATTAAAACCAGAATTATTATTACGATTACTTTATACCTATTGTTTATTACTGCGCTATTCCCAAGGAGTTTTACATTTTTTTCCAAGCAAACCAAAGGTCGGATAGCTGATTATATAAGAAAAAAAGAATTGGTCTTAGTCCAAAAGTCCTTCTTTTGGAGTCGACCAATGAGAGAAGTTGAAAAAAAAGAGGAAGGAAAAGGAAGGAACAGGTTTTTTAAAATAATATCAAAATTTCACACTAGCTTCATCTTAATATTGATAAAGACTTAAGGTTTAATTTCTATCTACATGTTATAAATATATTTAGATAATTATTCAAAGACAATATAGGTTGTATACATACGTGACTGATGAGTTTGGCAGCCTGTGTGGCCTTTCTGATGTCAGGACGGTCAACTACAGTGGTATAGGACAGGTTAGCCTTAGCATTCTTCTTGTACGAGTACTATGGGTGAAACAAAGAAGTGAGATTATTAAAACCATGACCACATACAATATACAGTGGGAATCTAAGAACAACAACTTTTTACAGAAAATATTTAGGAGTTAAAGCATACCACTTAAAATCAGGTTGTGTTGTCAAATATTGTTTACTTTTGTTGGCAAAAATAATTAATGAAAGCTAAATTCTGTTACATGCAATCATATAATAAGTATTTGTATGAATTCCATTTCCTCTTGATGCCATAATTGCTCTTCTTATTTTTGTAAAAAATAAATCAATTCAAAATTGTTTTAAATTCTACACTATGTATGTCTGCTCACTGAGCCTTGAGATGTAAATTTGGTTCAGTCAAGTTTTTTTTGTTTTTGTTTGTTAACATTGCTCTGGTTGAATAGAATGAATATATATATAACCTTAATAATACTTGTAATTTGAGTATTTGCACTCACATTGCTCTGGCTCTTGGCCACATCCATGGCGTGCTGCACGTCTGGTGGAACAGTCATGTTGTTGTACTCAGACTTGCCCTTCTCCTTCTCAAACTTCTCCTTATACAGTTTCTGCAAAGAACAAATAAACATCAGCACCCAGCAATATTTGAACTTCCATATATCCAGACATACAATACTTATTAGATCCTGTTAATTTATGTGATTGACTAAGTGGATTCTGAAAGTTTTATTTCAAAGTTGGATGCTAACCCTTTATACTAACTAACTCCAAATCCCTTAATAAGCCAGTTACCCGTTGAACTCATACGTATGAATCTATTAGTGTCACTTAATTACATAATAATTCAATAATGTTGTTTGTTCAGAAGTCATATAAATTTGTTTCTAATGACACTGTGATATCCCGATTTTATAAAATGAAAGTTTTACCCCGCTGATGAGTTTGTTGATCTCCCTGCTGTGCTGCGTGTCCCTGGTCTCTGCCAGAGTGGTGAAAGATCCACTCTGCATCTCCTTCTTACTGGCCTCTTTGTACTTGCTCTGTGGGAAGAATAAAATGTATGAAATATGTATTGAATATCACTAACCCCGCATAATGTCAATAAGCAGTACAAACCTCTGAAGCCAGAGTGCGCACGGACTTGGCGTGGAGGATTTGAGGCGTGTCAGAGACTGGGACATAGTGGCCCTTTGCCTTCTCATACTTCTCCTTGTACTTCACCTGTTATAATTTGCAATAAAATAAATCAAAGAAGTGTAATTCATTCAAAAAGTAAATATAACTTGGTAAATACTATACTCCTCTTCAGCGTTTTTTCAGATGAATAATAAAATAGATGAGTTGTGGTCGTACTTACATCACTGGCCATTTCAGCATTCTTCTTGCACAAAATCGTTAACTTGTCATCAACAACTGGGATGACACAGCCCTTCATGGCCTCCTTATCATATTTGTACTCAACCTTTAGGAAAAAAGGACAAATATATTACGTTTTTATAGTAATTTTACACAATATGAAGTAAATTAATATATAAATTGCATGCTCACATCGCTCTGTTGCAGAGTGTTCTTGGCAGCGTTGACAAAGTCGGGTCTGTCTGCAGTCCAGATCCACTTGTTCTTAGTGGCTTCGTATTTCTTCTTATAATCCAGCTGTAATCAAATGAAACAATAAAATTCTTTCTTGACACTTTAGAATGATATTTCACAAATGAATAAAAATGTATGCAAACTATACTGAAGTGACTAGCAGATCCTCAGCTGTTTTACAATGCATTGTTTTGAAATTATTTTGAGTTGATGTACTGGATGTGAATGATTGTGTGTTTTTGACACAACAACGAACTGAATTGCTCTTTTGTGACAGATAAAGTTGTTTTGATTCCTAATGTGTCTTCAGGTAAATACTGTACATTTAGCTACTAGTGAAAATCAATCAGGTGAAAATGTCCATACAAAACCATGACTCACGTTGCTGATGTTCTTGTAGGCTTCTTTGGCGGCGCGGATCTCATGAGCTTCAGGGTCCATGTTGATCTGGGCTTTGCTTTTTTCATACACCTCTTTGTATTTCAGCTATAAAAAAGTAAGGTATAAATAAAGCAGATTTGTATTCATCAATCATCATCACCAATCATTTTCTGTCACAAAAACATGATTCTACATTGCGATAAAATAGCTTACACTGCTGGTGATTTCCTTGACTTTCTTCATGTGGTTCTGGTAGGGAGTGTCATAGGGGAGAGTGTAGCCCTTAGCCTTGGTCTTGTTGTACTCCATTTTGTAAATAATCTGTGAAGGAACAGACAAAAATATAACAATTAAAAACAAACCAATTCCATCCATGAAATTATAGCCAATCACTTTCAATGTATTTGTGGATTTATTTTTATTTTTAAATTGTTTTAACAATTTGTTTTGCTATGGATGGTAGCTTTAATTGCATGGTAGCGTGTTATTTCTGTCCACTGCCCAAATAATGCCTGTTGTTTTGTAATGTATTTTGCCTTACAGTTAACTTTGTGTATGGCAAAAGGCAAAACTGTAAACAAGTACATGTGTTGGTTTCAGAGCATTTTCATTGTAGTTAGAAGTGTCCACCAGCATTCCGACCAGAACTGAAGAAGCTGCCTGGATGGGCTGCAAAATGTATTCGACCAAATAAACTTTTGTTCAGTTGACAAATTGAATTTCTCCTTTTGCCATGGATTCTACCTGGACAACTGAGGGACTTTACACTATATTACTATTAACTATGTGTAGTCAATAGATTAGCTATAATTATGAGTGTTGTTGATGGCTATGAAACCACAATAAATCAAATAACAAGCAATATGAGCATAAGATACAATGTGTTAGATAATATAGAGAATATAGTATTACAATCATTAAAAAATAAATGAATATAGACAATATGCTGGGATTTAATACTTTAAAATAGCAGCTATAGAATAATTGTAAACATTGTCCAAACTTACGTCGCTGATCTTCTTGCTGCGTTTATGGGTCTCATACTCTGGAGTCTCCAGCACTGAAGTGAACTTGTCCTTGGCGCGTTCATACTGCTCCCTGTACCTCCACTGAAACACCATGCAAGATTAACAGTTAGCATAGCACAAATCATATTAAATTAGTATTGAAAACACTAGCACTGACCTATGATATGATCCTAGGCGAATTATAGTTAAGATTTACAGATATCGACTAGTGCAGTATTACTATCACAAACTATATAAAAATGCTACTACTTTTAATCACATTATAATTAGCTGTACTGAAATGACAGCTGTTTTAACATTAATTATGTAGGGCCAGGCCTACCTGTAATTTAGACTACCTGAACACTAACCATTAACAGAATTACTTACATATTCCAGTATTATATATAGTAGATAAGAACTAAAAGCTAAATAAATTGAACTAATAAATATACTTGCATCTATTTTGATCAGCATCAAAGCAAAATCCTATAAAACTACACATGTGGTATGAAGGACACAAATGGTGGCAAAGAGGTTACACTGTAAAAAGTAAAATCTAGACACATTTAAACTTGAATTGAGAATATTATATTCTGATTAAGGACTAGTTAAGTAAAATTAAATCTGGGTAATACTTTATAAGTTTAAGAACCATAGATTAATAACTAACGAAAGCAATAGTATATGTGGTCAATTAAATCCTATTAATGCATTATTTAAATTTTCTGAATAGCCATTTTTTAGTATTCAGCCAATATTTTTTCCCCATTCTTACAGATAATTACAATTTATTTGCATTATTAGCAATGGAGAAGCAGTAATAAGTGTTTAATAACTAACTAAATGCTAAATACTCACTAACTGATATACTAATCACCTTGAGTAAAGAGCCCTAGAGTCCTATTGCCTTTGAAATAAGAAAAAAAACACATCTTATTCATTTAGCAGATTTTGTACTAGACGACTCCAGGCAACTCAAATCAATATAAACCTTCTTCAACTCATAATGTGTTTAAATATAACTTTTTCTACAGTGTAACTTTGTGAATGAATTGATAAAGCCATGCATAAACAGATGGATCACATGCTCAATGACATATGGGGACACAGTGAGGGTTAATGGACAGATGAAGCAGAGAGGGGTTACCATGGTTACTCATGAGTGTCTGGGGCACTCATGGAGTCGGTGATGATCAGCAGCAAAAGTCCATCTTAGGCTAAGATAAAGAAGGGGACTAAAGCTAACAAATAACTGCTATATACAAGGAGGAAATAACTACTTTTGCTGTTATGATAATTCTTGTGATAATGGTCCATAAGGTTTAATAGACATTCAATGGTAGTAGTTTCCATATGTTTCTCACCCAGCAACTGTTCCAATCGGATACATTTGTCTGTACCTGACAGTTCCATATAGTTCTCATTCACTGAAAACCATTATCTAAAAATGTAAACATAATATCTTTTTTGGTGTAATTAGTTTTAAAATAGTTAAATTTCAATCTACAATGGAGTAAAACCTGTGTATTTAGAACAATAATGGGTACTGACAGTTAAACTCTAGTAATGAATTGTTATGAATGATATTAGAATGTTTGAATGAATTAAATTTCATGATGGACATAAGATGAAATGATGATGTCCAGAGATGGCAAGAAGCTTGATTTTAGCAAGAGTGTTTTTGCTAAAATCTTCTAGGATGGAGGATGGAGCGACTAATAAACTACTTTCTTGTGGTTTACCTTACTGCCCAAAGTGGTACTGTACATGGCTGTGAGGATGTCAGGCCTGTACAGCTCATTGCAGCCAATTCGGAGATGCTCCTTTGCTTTGGATTGATATAATTTCTGTTTTGACACACAATAAAACACACAGCATGCACAATGTGAGTGAAAGAAGACAGTAGAAACATAGAGAGGAAAGGAGGAGAAGACTGGAGATCCAATGAAGATTTGTTGCGCTGGTCTGTGCCTTCAAAGTTACATATGAGTAATTCCTCAGAGTGGATTAGCACTGATGACTGAATGACTGCTATGTGTGCAGTAATAGCATCAATAACTTCACAATGCAAAAAGCTACATTTTAAAAGTCATAATATGTGTATTATGTGTGTTATTGTGAAAAATGTTGGCTATCAATCAATCAAAAATTAAATAAACGTACAGATGATAGCTTTCAAACTAGAGACATATTAATTATAAAGGAATTGTTTTTATTATTTTGTTCTTTCTTTCTTTTTAGCTGTTGTGCGGTGTTTAGTCAGTCCAATCTAAACAGATGTATTACTTATTTCAATAATTAATTTCAAAATGTGTGCCTAATTCAACTTGTGACAGTGCAAAGTAGTGGTGGTAGTAGTAAATAATAGTTAGCTATGCCATAGTTTTTAATAAGAGCTTTAAAAGCCCGATAGATTCATTAGATCATAATAAGTTCTTTAATAGCTGCAGTTTGTTTGCTATATAAAAGTCTGTATTATACATGCCTATCCCAATTTTGAAGGAAATGTCCTGGTTGTAGAGATTATCATTTTGATGGCACAGAGAAGGCACTGTTCCAGCTCAAAACAACCTGTGTGAACTAGAGAGAAATAGACAAGTTATAGACAGCTGTAGATGCCATGCTGTGTAGACCATCCGAGGATCAGGACCAGGTTTTGGGGGTGGTCCTTCATGCAGCATAGCCCAAACTCGGACTTGGTCTTCCTGGGTTTACCTGGCTCATCTTGCTGTTCTCTCTGGCCAGCTGGTACCTAGGGTCATCTGTGGTGATGGTGAACTTATCTTTGGTCTTCTCATATTTAGCTCTGTAGTGCCTCTGCTCACAACGTCAAAAACAGTTTAATACAAATGCACACAAATGACAATTCAAACTGCCACACGGGACCTAAGTGGGATTCAATCAAAGTTAAAGTTTGAAAAAACAATTACATAGATTAATAAATAGATAAAATAGTATATAGCAACATGACAAGATACAACATAATCTAGTCTACAATGTTACAAAGTTAGAAATGAAAGAACAATACAAAAAGTAAAATACAAAGTTACAAATGAATAAAATACAAATAATAAAAAAAAATAGAAACAAAAGAATTAAAATAGTAAAATGCTAACAATTACAAAGTGGACTAGCAAGGGGGACCTTTTTGCTATTCAAGAAAAGTTAACAATAGAAATAAGTACAACTATAATAATAATAATAAAACAAAATTTCACACACAGGTCAAATTAAAGCTACGTTATGTAATTTTCCAAAATCTGTAATAATAAAATGGAATCATAGTGCTATAATCTTTAAAAATGAAAAAAAAATTTGCTTTGGAAAAACAATGAGAGACAACACCAACAGGTACCTCTAGGCTGGAAAAAATGTAATTACAAGAAATGCAAAAATATTAAATTTTAAACAATATCCACAAAAAATACAACAGAAAAATACTTAAAAATGTTGGTAAAATTATAATATTGTAATGGTAGAATAACACTTACGTCATTGATGAGCATGGAGGCGTTCTTGGCAGCCTCGAAGAACGGTGTGTCACAGGTGTATTTGAAGTTTCCTCTGTTCTTCTCATAGGAAGCTTTGTACAATCTCTGTCAGTTGCAAATATGTTTATTATTAGAAAATGTGCAATGTAAACCTGAAAATGGTAATTAAAGTAAAATAAACAAGTCTTACCTCACTGTAAAGGGCCTTGTTCCTCTCGGCCTGTACCAGCTCAGGAGTGTCCCACACGAAGCAGCCAATGCCCTTCAACCAATCCAGGTCCTCCTTGTACTTGACCTAAACCGTTCATTATAAAGAGATCTCATTGGAGGTGTTGTTAAGGCAATAAAAGCAAAATAGACTAAATATGTATGATATTGTATAATTGTAAGCATATATTTCACCTATGAATTAACAAAAGATGATAATAATGGCTCATTATTAGTCTAAAAGTAAAGTAAAACTAATGCTAAGATATCTACCACCATTGTATTCATATTCTTAGCTACATTTTACAACACAATCATTGAGTAAATAGAAATGAATGTATTTTTAATCCATGAACAAAACTATAAAGGGACAAATTAAGTTAACTGTTGTTCAAAGTGACAAAAATATACCCAAGTACACAATCACATATGTAACTTTAAGGTAAATTAAAACCTCTTTTGAAGTGTTGATATTTATCTGTTAACATGGATGACGATACAACATATGAAGACATTTGTACTTACATTGCTGACATTATCGTTGACAATTCTGCTGAAGAAGAACTCGGGGCGATCAGGGATGGACTTCCAGGTTCCCAGAGAGTTAATGTACTTCTCCCTGTATTTGACCTGGACAAATTAAAACAAATTGACGGTTAAAATAGCAGTAAGACTTATTATAAACTATAGACATAAAAAAACATTATGTTAACTAATTTAGCTAACTTGTTGCTATTAGCTAATTAGCATTTTTTACAATCCACAATTGGAATAATGCTTACATTCTTTGCATATAGATTATAATAAATTAAAAGTAGGCTACAATATGATGCTCTTGTCTTAATTAATGCAAAAATAATAAACTGCGAACTAAAGTGAAAATGTTGCAAGCCAAAACATAAATCAAGCATTATTTGTCATGATTTCTGGTGTTGTCAAGCCCTGTATATAGGTTATACACATTAATACGAAGGAAATACAGATTTTTTTTGTACAACTTACTTCACTGATGTCATCTGTGACTCTGCGATGAATGATAATGTCCAGAGCATCCTTGACGGTTCTGTAGTGGCCCTTAGCGAGTTCAAAGCTCTCCTTGTAACGAAGCTAAAAACAGAAACATAAGATTACAATAAGCTCGACATACTTTACACATTTGTCCATAATTAGCATGTTTAAACTAAAAGTGTATTTAAATGTTAGCTTACATCGCTGGACTGCAGGTAAGCTTTCTTGGCGCGGATCAGGATGGGAGTATCAGCAATAGCAGTGTATCTGTGCTTCATCTTCTCATACTGGTCTTTGTACTTGTTCTGTAATACACACAAAACAATATGGCATTTAGAAAACAATTGTGCAAGAAAACTATCAACTGTAAACTAAAATAAAAGTGGAATTTCACGGGAAGTGCAGAGGAACAATAATGGAGGGGAATCAGTAGCTTTTGTATGCATTTTAAGATTTCTGTTGGCCAAAACAACTAAATCTCCACAAATCAAACTATACAAAAAAACATATAATTATTTCCATTCATGTTCATTTAAAGCAACATTACATAAACTTTCTTTTGGCTGTGTTTTTTTAGGTTTTGATGACAATAGAAAAAAATCACCTATTACCTAAAATTAAGAAAAAGGATTAGGATTTCTACATTATACAGAAAATTATATTATTATTATTATTAGAAATAGATTTAGATCGAGAGGATTAATACTTACGTCACTGTAGACCACTTTCATCTTTCTGCAGTGACCCATAGTTGGAGTTTCCAGCTCAGGAGTGAAGAAGGCCCTCTCTTTGGTAGCCAGATTGGTGTACTGCCACTAAAAACAAAACAAGATCATGTCAGATTTTTAAAAATTCATTATAAAAATAAGTTTAAAGATGTTTTGTTATGCGTTGCTGTGTGGTGACACTTGCCTTGTTGGTGAGCTGCTGGGCCCACTTGGCTCTCTTGATGTCGACACAGTCCAGAGTCGTGGAGACTTTGGCCATTTCCTTTTTGCTCTGAGATGTGTAGATCAACTGAAAAAGGAACAACAAAAAATCAGTATTCTTAATATTTGCATCATTATATAAGTTCATTATAAGTCACTATAACTGCTTTTCTATTGCACTATGCCAGTAGATTTAAGTGCTAGCAATGCACAAATCACACTATGTTTTGTTGGGATAAAATAACAAAAATATTTTTTGTTATTTAAAATGTAATATGCACAAGATATAAGAAATGTACTGGCAAATAGTAAAATATGTTAACTAATAATTAAATGAATTAAAATGAATGAATGAATTAAATCATCAAAAAAATACTGGGAGTTGTGTTGTTTTGTTTCATTCATATATGTTTGAGTAACCCTTCATTATTAGTCTACATCTCCAAAGCTCAAATTCCTCTGTTCCACCTTGTGATGTCATGAAGCTGTAGTTTTCCGCTAGTTTACAGCTACTTTTTACCTTTAGTTCAGTAAAGATTCCAGGGTTGAAATTATCCAAATGATTTTAGTAAAGGTGTATGATGTTTAAAAATGTTTCTGTTTGAGAGAAGAACAGCCTAAATAGAGTTTGTGTGTCAAACATGAAACAAAACAATGACACAAAACAGATGAGGAAACAACTTTATAACATAGATCGTAAAATTATATGAACTCTTTAATTAATTATATTCTAGTAATTAAATAATGACTAAATTATAGATGAATGCATATTTTAAATGTACGTTATTCGATGCCTTACGTTGCTCATGTGTGTCTTGAGCTCAGTGACGCGTTTGTACTCGGGAGTGTCGAGGACAACAGAGAAGTTATGCAGGTTCTTCTTGGCCTCCACCGGGTAGTTGGCCTAGACACAAAATACATTCAAATTAGATAACCTCAAAACAGTGTAGTTTAGATATTAAAGTATTTATTAGCATAGATAAAAAATAATTAAAACCACGTACCCTGAATTTGCTGATGTTGCGAACGTGGACCATCTCAGGAGTGTTGTACAGGAAGCAGCCCAAGCCCCTCAGCCAAGACAGGTCCTCTTTGTATTTCAGCTATAAACACAATTGGACATTTTAAATTTCAATATACAAATTTCAAAACCATAAATACATTTAAATATATTTATTAACTATTTAAGTATACTGATAAAGAAGGCATTAGCAATTTTTATTAGCTAATTTCGATAATAGTTCAAATAGTTTAACATAAGGCATATTGATCATAATCCTTATTTTTAAATTAGATTAATATAAATGGGGTATGGGATGTGAAAGTCTATACAATAAATATAAAATAAGTTTAATATATAGACCAAACATTTTATGAAAAATACTGATAACATTGTCTGAATAAATGTAATCACATAGGATCAAAATATGGGATGATTTTAAAATATGAATAAAAATCACAAAATAGTGATGATTTTGGTCTTACATCGCTGGTGATCTCGTTGACATGGTAACAGTGCATAAGTTGAGGAGTGATGGGCATAGAGATCAGCTGACCCTTAGCGGCATTGTGCTTCTCATGGTACCACAACTATAAATGAAAAATGAAAACTTATTAAAATACAGGACCAAATACACAATGAAAAGTATAATTTCATTGTTTCTTTTATTATATTTTTCTCACGTCGCTGAGATGATTCTGGTTCATCTTGACTTGCTTGATCTCTGGAGTGTCGTAGGTTATGTGGATCTTGTCCTTGGTCTTGTGCCACTGCTCCCTGTACAGACGCTGAAGGAAAAAATACAAAATGCACAAATTAATGAGCAATCAAAAACCTTTTTCCCCATAAGTTTTATTTACTTTTGGAAGATAAGGCACAATTTCATGCATTGTTTTAATGACAGTTTTTACCTAGAGTAGACTACATATTTTTGTACCACTCTGGTACCACTCATTTGTACTGTATTGTATCACATTCCTGGCACCCTTCTCACATATAATTTCTATATTGCAATTTAATTTTAATGCATTTAATTGCATGCATGATTAAAAGTGGGGTACAATGATTCGGTACATCAAAAAGTATTCCTTTTTTGGTTTCATATATATATATATATATATATATATATATATATATATATATATATATATATATATATATATATATATATATATATATATATATATATATAGGCATGTGTGTATGTATGAGCTATGTAAGAAAACAAAACAAAGCTACTATGTGATCTTTTTCCATGTACATTTAAATATTGTAAATATTGTAAACCCATAACTCCTATCCACAGACTGTACAAAAGAAGTGGACTAAGCAAGTGTGATGTCACCCATAGCATTCAGTGCCATTCAAATGAGGCTCATGATGCTCATGGTTACAGGAGCAAATCTGGAGCCAGGCTCTGTGTTATGAATAGGATTTTTCTGTTGGACAAAATAGCGAAAAATAAATTCAGGATCATGTAGAGCGGGTTAATATGAACATTTTAAGGCCAAAACGACGAGACTCACTGCTGCAGTTACAGACAGAGGAGCGATAAGCTCCTAATGTGTGTCAATTGGAGCCAGAGTCAGAAGGACCCGGAAGAGCCTCCTGGCAAACTTCCTATATGGCATGGGGCGGCTAGTATGTTAGCTATGTCCACTCTCACACTTATCCCCATATGGTCTATGCTCCTATCATAGCCACGACCTGGTCTGTCCAAATACAGCATGTTAAGGCACTGGCACACTAAGTTCAGTTGTGATAGTAGTTTTTATTTTTAACCATCTGCACTTCCAACATGTGAATGCTAAATATTTCAGTTCAGACTTATATCTTTATTTTTACAAACAATATTTTTCTCACCTCATTAATGATCTTGTTGGCCTTTCTGGTCGTCACAAAGTTGACTCCCTCGGGATGAAGAGTGTATGCCTTGGCCTTCATCATCTCATATGCTGCCTTGTACTTGAACTAAAAAAAAAAACACAATTACACAACGTTTATTTAATTTATTGTTCTAAATTTCAAAAATTATACTAAAAATGTCTTGAATACTTACGTTGCTGGTGACGATGCTGTTGTGTTTGACCTGCTTGTGGATGGGGGTGTCATAGGGGAGGGAGTACCCAGTAGGCATTGACTTCAGGTTGGCCTCTTTGTAATGTTTCTGAAAAATAGTAAAATGTGTAGTTAATAAATATATGGTTAATTTAAAGTTATGAGCTGTTTTAAAGTTCCTTACTTCGCTCTGGATGTAGTTGGCCAAGCGAGCTCTCTGTAACTCAATGGTCACAGCAGGAGCAGTGTTGGTTCCCTTCACATTGGTGTTGTAGTCGTACCGGTAGTGGAGCTGAAATAAGCAAAAGTAGAAGGAATTATTATTAGCAAATATCTATGAGAAAACTAGAACATTAGCTTAAAGGGGCTGTACCGTCTTAAAAGTGTGAAAAACAGTACAAGTTCATTTTAAACAGTTTGCAGCAGTCCACAGTTATCTTTTTTTTTTCTCTTTTTTTTCATTTGAAGCTGTTTTACATTTGCTATATATACAATAAAAAGATGATTTGGATTAAAACTATTTACTCACATCACTCAGGTTGACAGCATTTTGTTTGGCCACTTCATAAGTTGGAGTGTCAGTCACCACAGTGTAATCCTTGAATGCCTCAATGCCCTTTGCTCTGTATTTGGACTGGAAAATGAAAGAAAAAATAAATATTAAACATTAAAATTCTGAAAAATGTGCAAGATTGTTAAATATTTGTTTGTAAATTGTGGCTTACCTCACTCTGCAGGTTGCCTGCATTTTTCACTCTCAGGATCTCAGGAGTGTCCCAGGCGTAGCAACCAATGCCCCTCAGCCAGTTCAGATCATCCTTGTAGAAGATCTATGCAGAGTATACAAAAGACTTGTTAACGGCATGTCAATATGTTGGATAGTATTTTTAACAATAGATTACACATAATAAAATTGTACAAGGTTAATATTGCTCATGCTAAAAAAGTAAATGTCTATTGTAGAAGCAAATAGGCAAAGACGTGATGATAATATAAAGCGCATACATTGAAAAGTTCCACTTAGGATGCAGGAGGAGTCTTGAAAATGATCACAAATTCTAAAAATAATTAATACAAACAAAAATGGGCATTTTCTACTTTATTTTATGAAACTTACTGTCCATTCTAACAAGCCCTTTATAAGTTGATATAACAAAAATATTCATCACGAGGTCTTTCCTTCACATTGACATCTTAAATCTTATTAAAAAAGCTTTCAATATTAACTTCCTGAACATAAACATTACAGACTTTTAATCTCAGTCATATAACACAATAATGAGAACAATTTATTATTAACTGAAAATTGGCTGTATACCTTGATTTAAAAGCCTCAAGCATTTTGTTGGTTTCAAATTACTGAATCTTGATCTTGATTCAAATTTGTCTATTAAATTTTACATAGAGTTTTTAGACACAGTTACTCACATCGCTGAGCTGCTCGTTGACCTTGCGGGCCTGTCCAAACACTTGCATATCTGGCAGACACATCCACTGGTGCAGGTACTTCCTGTAGTGGATCCCGCTGACCGTGGACTGAGTCTTCCGGGCGGACAGGATCTCCAGCATGTCAGGAGGGATGTGGTTCTTGGCTTTGGTCTTTTCATAGTCGTGTTTGTACAGACGCTGTGGAGACAAGGCAACACAACATTAGAATACAATAAGGCTGAAATAAGTTCATTTATTAACTGCAACTAAACTAATCAATTATTGAGATCATCATCATTTGAGTAATCGAATAATCTCTTCTGGACTATACACAGACTAACAATGCCATGTACTGAGAAAACAGGCTTATGACTCAGGCAAAGATACTCGAAAATGACAGAGGACACATTTAGATGTTTTGATGATCTGGGTCAAATTGGGTAAAAATGTTATATGCTTTTCTCAGTCTTTTTAATCAATTAATCAAAAGAATAATGTCTATACTAATCTATTAAGTTAGTTATAGCCCTAGAATACAAGCATCATTCAGGATCCATACTTCTATTTTACCAAAACTTTAATGTTTAGAAATATGAATATTTTTGTATGTAACTATCTATGCACTGACCGTCTCCACCTTCCTATCCCTCGATCACCTGATCTCCTTCCATCCATCTGTTGTGCAATATTTAATACAGTGCAATATCTTGACTGAGAGACTGGAGAGTGAATTGCTTTTAATCTCGTTGTGCATGTGTATACTGTGGATTGTATATGTGTATAGTGACAATAAAGGGCATTCTTTTCTATTCTATTCTAATAGCATGCCACTTTTTATTGAGAATGACGTGTCAGTTTTCCAGTCTTTTAATTTAGTTTCATATTGATTTATTTTTCATCACCTCAGCTATGATTGGAACTATGTACATGGGGGGATTTACAAAAATAGTTATCTTGTTGCTCTGTATAAAACATGTAACTTGAGACATAACTTTCTTATTCATGAGATGTAAAATATAAACACAGCCATACAACAGTAAAATAGCCTGGATTACCTTAGCTGGAAGATATGACCTACTGTGCATGTTTAGGCTTGATATGGAAAACTAGAGTGCTCACCAATCACAGTGAATTAGAATCAAATGTATAGGTTATACATTGTAACTTTAAAAATACATCTTGCTAATACAAACTGCTACAAAGAAAAAAATGGCAAATTCCATTAGATATACCGCATAAACTGCTGCTTACTACAGAAATGAGGGTTGAATTGTGTAAATATAATGGTTTATGTTATAATTTCCACTTTCCACTATAATTTCCACTTTGAATGTGTAAATATAATGGTTTATGTTATAATTTCCACTTACATCCAGGACAAGTTTTCCGGTCTTGACACAGCGAGCCGTGTTGGGATCATCCTCCAGACACTTGGGCAAACTGTACAGAGACTTGAACTTCTCATAGTCCTCCTTGTACTTGACCTAAAGATAAAACATAAATGTACTTTTACTTCAAAATGTCATATTATAACATTAGAAATCTAAATATTGTACTTACGCCGCTGAGGATGACTTTCTGATGTTTGGCGTGTTGCAGGGCCTGAGAGTCTTTAGGAATCTGGTAGCTCTTGGCTTTGATTTTGTCCCAAGCAGAAGTGTAATTTTTCTGTTATAAGAAAAAATAACAATAAATAATATACACAAGATAAACTGATTTAAATTGCATGTTATGTTATATTTGTTAAAGGAGACATATCATGTGAAATCTAGCTCTTTGTTATAACAGTATTCCCTCATCATTAGCTTAGATTTGTATTTTGATTAATTCATCCATGTTACAGTGACATCTGGGGCTTGAGCACTCTGAAAATTTCTGTTTTCACCTACCCCCTATAACTGCCTACTTCCCTACACTAACTTGCATTTATTTAAAAAATGCACTCTGGGTCCAAAAAAAAAATAAATAAATAAAAATAAAAATTCATTTGTTAGGGAGGAATGCAAGGCTAATCAATTCTGCATTTTTACCAGGAAGTTCACATTTTACAATGAACACAAGTTAAAATTACAATTTTATAGTTTATTACTAATACTAGAAAATAAGCATAATATGTCTCTTTTAAGAAATATTTTGACATGTACCTGGCTGAAGAAGTACTTGAAGTTGTGGCATCTTGCGTAGTCATAGGTGTCGAGGACAGTGGTGTACATATGCTTCTCTTTGTGGTAGGCCTCTCTGTAGGCGAGCTGTGGACAAAATGAGAATATAAATATGAATATGAAAGTATAATTAAATTAGTACAACTCAAAATTATTATTGTACTGTTATTCTAAAACTCTAATGTATAACCAAAATTGTACAACTAATTGATTTAACTAATCAAATTTCACAAAAAACATCTTAGAAAATATCTTCAGAACTATCATTATTTGAAAAATTATTCAAATGTAATAATAATGAGAACAGAAAAATCTAATATCAATTCAAGCATTCACACTAAAACTATTATACAATTTGTAGATGTAAAAGACATAGGATTAGATCCACATCATATAGTTTTCCTTTTAGGAAAGTAAAATTCTAGACATAGATACAAAATATAAGGGAATAAAAGAATATTACTATAAATTTTGTATAGGGTTGTACATTTTTAGAAAAAAAAAATAATCTAATTGCAATTTTTCTAATAAGATAGATTTGAAATGTATTGTCCAGCCCCAATTTTGTATATTTAAACTTCTTCTTTAAATATCTATATCTATATCTATATCTATATCTATATATCTATATATATATATATATATATATATATATATATATATATATATATATATATATATTTTTTTTTTTTTTTTTTTTTATGCTTTTTACTCACATCACTGGCCCAGGTATGTCCCAGTACAGCAGTCACATAAACAGGAGTATCTGTCACAATGGAGTAGTTGTTGAACTCCTTCTTGGCTTCATCTCTGTATTTCAGCTAAAACAACAAAACATACAAAAATACACAATTTTAGATACAAATTTTAACAATTTTTTTACAATTTGTAATGGTTTTAAACTTACGTCGCTCTGCAGTTCGTAGGCTTTCTTGGCACGGATAATCTCAGGAGTGTCCCAAACATAGCAGCCAATGCCCTTCATCCAGTTCAGGTCATCCTTGTAATAGACCTACAAGAGCAACAGATATTAGAATTGAGTGTCTAAAATGTCTAACATGATGACTTGAGATTAAGATGAAAAGCTGGCAAAGGATATGAACAGCTAGTTAGAAATAATTTTTTGATTCATGGAAAACATGCAAACAATTAATAGCATTAGGCTCTAGTGAATGTCTCTACCCACTCTTCACCCTGTCTACAAAAAAAATAAAAAATAAATAATAATAATAACACACTTGTATATATAATTAATAATTAATAAGTACTTATTTTTGGAATAACAAGCTGGCTATAAATACATTTGCAATATATACAATAATTAAAAAATAGTAGCTCTAGTTATTTTAGGATAGCTATGCATGCCTGTACCTAGTTTCATTTAGAGAATGTTAGTAAATTATTTAAATGTAAGTTGCACATTGGGCGCTTGAGTAGGCACATGTTGAAATAACTATTTAGCATGAGTATTATCAACATGACAATAAAATATAAACCCCCTAAAAAACAATTGAACTCTTAGAATAAGTACGCTCATACATCACTGAGGATCTCGTTGGTCTTGCGTGCCCGGATGGCATCCTCCTGTTCGGGGTGGCAGGTCCACTGGTGCAGGTACGTGCGGTACAGCACGTCACTGAGCATGTCCTGGCAGCGCTTGGCCACTTTGTTGGCGATGATGTCCGGAGGCAGATGGGTCTTGGTCTTGGTCGTGTGGTAGTCCTTCTGGTACAACCTCTGGAGAAAGGAAAATACAAAGCAAATGAATTATGTTATGTTTTATGCAATTTTATTATAACATGACTTGAAAGTATACTAGCAAGCAGGGAAACTGATGCTGTACACAAGTAAAATTGGACACAATGTTATTTATGTTTTAGTCCTTTAGTCCTTGGTCTAGTTATAGTAGCACTTCAAAAGCCAAAATGTTTTAAAATTTTGAAAATATTTTTGAAAAGTCAAATATATTAGTATATTTAAAGTACTTTGCATAAAAATGCTGGCATGCATAAATTAATGCATTTAAAAATACTTGAAATAAAAAGTTTAAAACAAAAAAACAAAAAAGGGAGATATTATGAATTGTGAAATGTGCCACTGACCTTACAATATATCTATTACATAAGAGAACTTCCTGTGGCTATCTTATGATATTAGATTTGAACCATTTTAAAATGGATAATATACAAAAGGAAACTAACTTTATCGTTTCTACAGATGTTAAGGTATATTAATATTACGGTATGTAATATTATTAAAATTACAATTATTTATTGTAAGTTATATAGTAATATTGACAATGTCTTACCAGCCCCTTGTTCTTCTCCTGCTCTCCACACCTCATCACATCAGGGAAGTCTATTAGGGTTCCAGCCATGTAGTGTCCCTTGGTCTTCTCATGAGCATCCTTGTACTTAACCTAAAACAATAATATATTTAGTTAGCAATAATATAACATTTAGCTTGGTTACAATAAGGTGATAATAGGTCATTTAATAAGTAATCAGTATGACAAAATCGTTACATCGGAAGCAATCTCTCTGCCCTTCTTTCCACTCAGCAGAGGAATGTATTCATGGTTGAGCTGGTAGCTTGTTGCCTTAGTCTCATCCCAGTGTTTCTTGTATAATTTCTGTAAACATAAAAAAACAAAACATGTTTAGAATATAAAAATAAGAGCACATTTTGAAAAGTTAAAAAAAATATATATATATATAGAGAGAGAGAGAGATAATTACACACCTCGCTGACGTTCTTGGACACCTCTCTGCTGTGGGCGAGTTGGGGAGTGTCTTCAGCTCCAATGTAGTGTCCCTTCTCAGCGTTGAAGGTTTCTTTGTACTTCAGCTGTACAGAAAGTGGACAATATTAGTTACTCATTCATTAATTTTGTAGATTGTAATTTATCCGGTGTTTAAATTATTATATTTAAATTCATTCTACTTACGTCACTGAGGTTGGCAGCGTTGACTCTGGCCAAAACAAGCTCAGGGCGGTCCACGATCAGAGTGAACAATCCAAAGCACTCCTTTGCATTCTTCTTGTAGTTCCTCTGTGGGTTAGAAATAAAATAAAACAGTTTCATATGTGGATAAACATTTAATCATGCACAAATTATTCAATTAAATAAGTAGTAATACTAAAGTAATAATTAAACATGTTATACGTACATCATTGAGGATTTGTTGGGCCTTCCTGACTTTGACATGGTCCACTGACTCTGCAGGCATCCAGCCACATCCACGGAGCCATTCCAGATCTGATTTGTACACATTCTATGAACAAGTGACATTTGGGGTTTAAGTATGACAGAAATGCACTGACAAATGTAATAGTATCAGTAATACACATAAACTGTATAAAAAAGTAGACAAAGAGAGTATGACGTCACCCGTAGCATTCAACTCCAGTGAAATTTCACTGGAGCTGAATGCTAGATGCTGGATAATATTTCAGTAAGATGGTAACAAAAAGAAAAATACTTTTTGCCAAATTTTCAATTTGGAGAAATCTTTTTTTTTGCAAGTGAATTGTTCATGTATTATAAAAGTTGTTTCAACAGATCAGCCTCAAAGTATAAGCAGAGTTTATCAGTCACCACCTGCTGTGGATTCTACAAATATATGAATTATCCATGAAAAACAACATATTGGTCTATCTCCACTTACGTCACTCTGGAGGTCATAAGCCTTTCTGGCCTGGACAACATCATTGGAATCGGGGAGGCAGGTCCACTGGTGCAGTCTAGTTCTGTAGTTGAAGTCATTCACTTGGATCTGACATTTCTTGGCCAATTCAAGATTCAACATGTCAACTGGGAGGTGGAACTTGGTCTTGGATTTGTTGAAGTCCTTTTTGTACAGAGCGTCACTAGCGATTTTGGCCGAGTTTATGGCCAGCATGATCAGAGGATCATCCTGAACACATCTGGCACCAATGTGATGTCCAACTTGCTTGCGGTAGCTCTCCAGATACTTGTACTGCGAATAGAGATAGATTTCAATGTTGTTAGTTAGTTATCATTATTGTGATATGCAAATCAAATTATCACAAAACTAGGTCAACATACTGGAATTCACATGGCAGAGATCTACAAACACATGTTTAAACTTTTTTTAGAGCTTTAAATGAAAATATGCTATGACAAAATAAATAAATTTTAATGCTAAATTCATATACATTCATCAAATATTAAAGTTTTTATTGTCATTGTCACAGTGAACAACAAAATTATGTTTAGAGCATCAAACACTGCATAGTTTTAATGTAAAGTGCAATACAAATGGTACAGTTTGTATAGTTCATATTTTAGTTAATATTTTAACCTGACAAAAAAATCTGATATTACATCAACATGCTAATGCTAACAAAATGCGATTAGTATTAAAACAACATACTAGCTAGCAGTTGTGAAGAAGTGAACATGATTTTTGTACTCACCTGGCTCTGGACCTTAGAGGTGGTGATGCACTGTTTGATTGGCACAGCATCTCCAGGCATGAAGTATCCAGTGGCCTTCACCTTGTCCCAGTCTTTGGTGTACAGTTTCTAAAATAACAGAAAACCTTAAATACATGTATATAATTGTGTAAAAATTTCACACATCATGGCTTACTATTACTTATTAGGTATACTATTTTGAAGCACCCAAAAATAACCTCTATGTAGACAATCTATCCACATCTATATCTACAGTATGTACTTACATATGCATAAGTTTGTACCCTTGTTTGCAGATTACACTGCAAGTTTTAAATGTATTATTTTTGCAGGTTTAAGGTACTTTTTAAATATTATTTTTATAGATAAAAATCCAATATTCTTACTTTGCATACTTTCAAAATAATTATTACTTTTTTTTTTCAATATTTCCGCCTCTAGAAATAAAGTTTATTTACAAATTGCTAATGTACTTATTCATACTTACTTTTTAGTTCTATACATAACGTAAGGTTCAAATAAATGTAAGAACTGTATAAACATTGAAATAAAAGTCCATACCGGGTGAATGTGCTTGGCTGCCTCTCTGGCTGAAGCCATGGTTGGAGTGTCCACCAGGGAATACTTGATCTTATCCCTGTGCCAAGCCTCACGATATTTGGCCTAAAAACAAAACAGAAATTACCAAATTAAATTTAATAATAATTACAGTTTTAGCAAGTTTATCAGTTTGAAATCATTAGTTTAGTTCCAGACCTCATTGAGAGCAGCAGCAGCAGTCTTGGCACATTCAAGGTCCACTCTGTCAACGGGAACAATGTATTTCTGTTCATCCAACTTCACGCGGTAACCTCTCTGTAACAAAAAATAAGTACATTAAATCAGTAATTACCATCAATATAACATTTACAAAACAATATCATATCAAGGGATTAAAATCTAAAGGCTGCTATATTTATTCTGGTATTTTGCAGGAAAGGCATAAATGAGAAAAATGTTATATTTAAAATTTAACTTGGACAGATGACAAAACGCCAAAGAAAACAACATTGTATTGTATTGTATCAGTATGGTGTATGGCGAAATTTATTAAATTTTATTATTATTTAGATTTTGTTTATTTTACTTACATCAGCCAGGATCTTCTGGGCATGTTTCACCTTCATGACTTCCACAGACTCATGGGGCATCCAGCCACAACCACGGAGCCACTCCAGATCAGATTTGTACACAGCCTAAACAGATGTAACAATGAACATGTGCAATAAGAATTAGTGCAATACAGAGATATGTGCAATATAGGGGAATGTACAATACAGATTAATTGGATTTTTAATGTCTTTTGTCTTTATGGCTAAACACTGTTAAATGTTTGTAATAACATGAAACTGTAGTTAGTGTTTCTGAAACATTATCCTGCATTGCTCCTCCTTTCTTAAATAAATAAATGTGATTAAATAAAAAAATCATATTTTGTTATGTTACACCGAAAAAAACATAGTGACATCTACCAGTGTTAGCTAGTGTTAGCGGAAAGTGCTGCATAAAAAGTGGTTGTACATTCTTTTGGGATGTAACTAACCTTTTTAAAACGAAATTCCATTGGGTAAATTAATATATATTAAATATGAATGCTTTTTTGTTTGGTGGTTTGTTTGTTTGTTTATTTTCAGTAAACAATTCTGACACTGTTTTTCTTTCTTTTGTCACTTTTCTGCAAGAGTTTGAAGAATTCACTGATGTGACAGTTTACTAATAAATAGTGTTTAAAAACAGTTATTATAAGTTATTGTGTTAAATATTTAGATTATATGAGGATATTGGTAGTATCTCAAGTCATGTTTTGCATATCTGATAAAAAATTGTTCCCTGGCCTAACTGTTAATAGACTATGAGTTGGTAATGATAGGATAATTTTAATAGCCTAATCCCTAAAATGTATGAAGAACTATTTATTGATCAGTGATTGTTTTTAATAGATTACTTACATCGCTCTGGAGGTCATAAGCCTTTCTGGCCTGGACAACATCATTGGAGTCAGGGAGGCAGGTCCACTGGTGCAGCTTGGTCCTATAGTTGAAATCGTTCACTTGGACTTGGCATTTCTTGGCCAACTCCAGGCTCAACATGTCAACGGGGAGGTGGAATTTGGTCTTGGATTTGTTGAAGTCCTTCTTGTAGATGTTGTCACTGGCAATTTTCACAGCGTGCATTGCCAACATGATCAGTGGATCCTCCTCAACGCATCTGGCTCCAATATGGTGGCCAACCTGCTTACGGTAGGCCTCATGGTACTTGTACTAAAAGAGGAGAGATTGGTTAAACTCAATTCAGCAGTTAAAATGAACAAAAATAAATATGTGAATAGGTCATGTTAACAGCATTCTAATATGGCATTTCTGCATTCCAGATGGAGGGCAGGGGCCATTTTAACTCTATGGGAAATTTGCTTGCTTTGAAAGAGACTAAAAATATACAAATACTTATCTTATTATTTGTTAGAGATTGGGTCCACAAATTTGCCATTTTAATCTTGTGTTTTAACATCGTTTTAACTGACAAAAAGTCTCTTTCTTCACAAAAATAGCTTCCTTCACTCCTCTAGCAAACCAGTGTTTCTCTCTGCTTAAAATCTGCACCTCACTGTCTTCAAGTGTCACTGTCTTTGAGTGATTTGTAGTAGAAGCTGGACAATTGAGTTATGTCTTCTGTGTTCAAATAGTCTCTTGTGTAGTAGTTGCTTAATTTCCCTGATGTATTGTTCTTTATAGCCTAAAGATCTACCACATGATGTAAAAGTTGTTTCTGTATATATTTTTAACAGTATTGCTTTGGCGTTTGTTTGTCTACGGGGGTATCCCATAATGCTTTTTTATCTATTTTTAGCAACTGTGAAAAATTATTTCACTTCATGATTTCATTTCATTTGACGAACTTACATCACTGACGATATCTCTAGAAGCTTTGGCTCTGATTACAGACACTGCATCCTGCTTGATGTGGTACCCCTTGGCCTTCTGGTCATCCCAAGCTTGAGTGTAGAGTTTCTGTGGAAAAATAGAAATAATAAATAGGGTTAAACATGTTTGAGCACTTGTTGAATTAGTGAAATGTTCCAGAGTATAACTTACATTGCTGATAGCCACAGCATTGGCCTTGGACAGCTCAAATGTGGGGGCATCAGGGGGAATGTGAATGGTGAGCTTGTCTTTATCCCAAACCTCTCTGTACTTTCTCTGTAAAAGCCAAAGGAAAAAAGTGATTTAAAACACTACCTTGTGATACTCAAAAATGTACTTAGCAAGGTAAATACAATGACAATACAAAATATGTTTTACATAAATAGATTTAAAATTGTAAATAAAATTATCACGACAAAAGATTAAAATTAAAAATAAAATTTCACAACAAAATGTATTACTTACGCTGTATTGCTACTTACACTGACACTACTGCTTCTAATATTTTCAACTATAACTACTATTACCACTACTAGTATTAGTCCTGCTACTTGTACTGCTGCTACTACAACTACTACAACTACTACAACTACTACTACTACTACTACTACTACTACTACTACTACTACTCCATTGTTTCTTCTGTCATCATAACTTTAATTGATGCAATTTCTATGCATTTTTGTAAGTGTATTTGAGTAAAACCACTCACATCACTGATATTGTCTGCATTCTGCTTGGACAGGACGATGGTGGGCAGGTCCACAATGCTGGTGAACTTGACAGTGCTTGGGTGCTGTTTGTACAGACGGTCATTCAGAATCTTTTGGGCATTTCTCACTTTGAGGACATCAACACTGTCCTGAGGAGACCAACCGCAGCCTCTCAGCCACTCCAGGTCTGACCTGTACACAGCCTGGAACACAAAATAATATGTTAGTGTTAAACTACTGTAGTAGTTATAACTGGTATAGAGCAATCATCATTTGCATATTCAGATTCAAATAATGTTGAATTTGGTAAATAAATATTCAGAAGCCAAAATTTGCTTTGGTCAGTAGTGAATATAGTGAATCATTATTTCCAGGTCAATGGTAAAAGAATTAGGAACCTGCAGAACACTGTTTAATTAATTATTCATTCATTCATTCATTCATTTAGATAACTGATTACTGGATTGGTAATATTCCTCAACTTTTGTTGAGTGGTGCCCCAAAACTCTTCTTCTATCTTCTTCTAGTCAAAGCTTCTCACACACATATAAGTATATATATATATATATATATATATATATATATATATATATATATATATATATATATATATAGAGAGAGAGAGAGAGAGAGAGAGAGAGAGAGAGAGAGAGAGAGAGAGAGAGAGATATAGATATAGATATAGATATAGATATAGATATAGATATAGATATAGATATAGATATAGATAGATAGATAGATAGATAGATACAGATATAGATAGATATTACATTACATAGGATATAAGTTTAAAGTATACTCACATCACTGCGCAGATCATAGACTTTTCTGGCCTGCACAACATCATTGGAGTCGGGGAGGCAGGTCCAGTTGTGCAGCTTGGTCCTGTAGTTGAAATCGTTCACTTGGATCTGGCATTTCTTGGCCAACTCCAGAGACAGCAGGTCCGAAGGGAGATTGTACTTTGTCTTGGTCTTGTGGAAGTCCTTCTTATAGATGTTGTCACTGGCGATCTTAGCTACATGAGCCGCCAGCAGACACATGGGGTCGTCATTGATACTGAGGGCTCCAATATGATGTCCACACTGCTTACGGAAACCGGCTTTGTATTTGTACTAAAAAAAGATAGAATATTACAACCTTAGATGCTGAAAATGACTGCTGATGAGATTAGGAACTATAAAGGTTATTAAAGAAGATCAAAATAGAACTATGATTTGGATATGACATTCATGGAAGATATTTTAGTAATAGTCAAGCAATTATCTTTGCATGTGGATACTTGGTTTAGTTGAACTAAAATATTCCATAAATAAGGCTTCCAATCAATCTGTTTTATTTTAACCCCAAACTATAGCTCTGTTCATGTGCAGGATCTATATAATATTTCTTCTGTTTATTTCTGTGTATTGATAAAATGAATGATAAACTGATGAAAATACTTTCAAATCATTATGTTGTGTTTCTAAATTGTAAGGAGCAGTGCATTGAACTCACATCGCTGACAATATCTCTGGAGGCTTTGGCAGCCAAAACTGACACAGCGTCCTTGGGGAGGAAGTATCCTTTGTTGATCATGTTTATGAAGCCCTCCTTGTAGAGTTTCTGTAAAGGTAAAATGAATAAAAGGTAAACGTCATAAAAATAGCACTGATTACAGCATTTTAGGAGGAGGAAACATGTCAATTAATAATTATTACATTATATATGTATTTACCATAGCATACATACATTCTGTATATGTGCTATGTTAAATCATTTGTCTACTGACCTTACTATTTTATTCTTTTATAAATCAAAACATTCATTCAATGTTTAACTTTGCACTTTAAGTTGTCTGCTGTTTATAGTCCAAAGTGTTTTTTTCATTGTTTGTTGTATTAATACATGGTACGTTACATAAATTAATATAAAATAAGTTTTTGAACAATGAACAAAAGCATTTGAACAAAAGCATTTTTGAACAATTTTTATAACATATTGCTCCTGATTTTCTCTCCATATAAATAATATATTTAATAATTTGTGAGTTAAAAAGTTTAAATGAACATTACCAGGCTCATGTTGATCTTGTTCTGCTTGGACAGGACAATCTCAGGAGTGTCGGGCTGAATGTGAAGCTGTGTCTTATCTTTCTCCCAGGCAGCAATGTAGGCTTTCTGTAATCACAAAAATATTACAGTTAATTTCAATGTAGAATTCAAGATTTACAAAGGTTATACATATTTATAAGACTAAACACATTTTATTTGCATAATACTATATTTGAAACAATTTTTACTATTACTACTCCTACTGCAGTGACAACCTTAAGGTGCACAACTACTGTGCCTATTACAACTAAGAATTTTGAATGATACACAATGTTTAGTCCACACGAAACAGGCTTTGGACATTGATGTGTTTTCAATTCTTGAGACAGCTGAGATTAAGGATGCATTCACATTAGTTTAGTCCTGGTTTAAGCCCGGTTTAGTTGAACGGAGACTTACATTGGTCCTGTTTTAAACCTGGTTTATTCCGGGTCTAGGCCAGGATTAGCATTAATTTTAGTTTAATTCAAATTTGATGTGCTTTCAGTGTGAATGCACTGTAAGTCCCAATGGAGCTCAACAGTGACCATCCACCCCTCGATACCAGTAAATTTCATTCATTTTTCAAAGGCTTTCCTGTAAAAAATATATATATATATATTAAATGTTTGAAACATCGTTTAGGGCTAATCAGCTGTATGTGGTAACTGACGACAAGACCTATAATTTAATTTAAAATCATTTTTTGAAATGTTATAAACTGTAAAGTTATTAAAGCATTTCACCAAATCTTTTGTTTTAAAGGTTGCTTTTTGGACCTAAAACAACCACATTACAGATATCAGTTACCACATAGCTGGTTAGCCTGCTGAACCAGAGTGGGCAATCACTGTTGAGCTCCATTAGTGAGAAAAAAAGAAAACACAGCTCTTGCAGTGGGTGCGTGTGTGATTTTTCATTCCTAATTGGGCATAAATAATTGCATAACAAAACAATGCAACAAAAATAAAGCTGTTTGTGATTATATGCCATGTTTTTTACACTATAGTATAATCCAACTCTGAGTAAAAATATTCCAAATATTCAGAATACAGTACTCTGACTGGACTGTGTATTGCAATACGTTGCAAAATACATTTTAAAGCAGGTATTCAATATTCTAACTGAAGACATTTTCAAAGAAGTCTTCCCATCACAGTCCATTACCTGGTTCATGATCTCAGCGTTAGCTTTAGCCAGTGCATAGGGCATGTCTGTGGTCTGAGCTGTAGCTTTGAACAGGCTTGGGTGTTGGCGATACTTCCTCTCACTCAGGATCTCCGCAGCTTTCTTTGCCTTTTCCACATCGAGAGACCCAATGGGCACCCAGCCACAGCCCTTGATCCATTCCATATCAGCCTTGTACACAGCCTGGAAGTAAGGAAATAAACAACATAATATCATTTACTATTACAATATAATATAATTTACTATTTTTACCTAGGTTTTGTCAGCTTATTATTATTGTTGTTATTAATTTCTTGTTTAAATCCTAGAAATAATGTAAAACTTTCAAATATATTAACAAAAGTAAATAAATCAAAAGGGAATCCTAGTCTATATACTTCACATTTGTTCTTTTTTTTTTTAAAGTCCTATATTAAGTAAAATTCACTTGTGAGCTGTCACCTCATCAAAAGCATACCTGGAGTTGTGTTTTGTTTCATTCACACATGTTTGAGCAACCCTGTATTATTAGTCTGTCCACATCTCCAAAGCTTAAAATGCTCTGTTCCACCTTGTGATGTCATGAAGCGGTAGATTTCAAGTGAGCATGGAGTTTAAAAAATGGAGCATTTGTATTACCACATGACGTCACAAGGTGAAACAGAGTGTTTTGTGTTTGAGAGAAAAACATAACTTAAATATGCATAGTTAGTGTGCTAAACCTGTGTAAATGACAAAAAAACACAACTCCAGGTATGTTTTTGAATAACATTATAACAGAGATCAGGAAATAGCAACATATGGGCCCTTAAATCTTAAACTGTATTTATGGTGTCCCAGACCTGTTGAAATCACTGCTTTTTAATAATTTAATAATCGTCTTACTGTTAAATTGTTCACTAATGCTAAATACATATTTTAACTCACATCACTGCGCAGATCGTAGACTTTTCTGGCCTGGACCACATCATTGGAGTCGGGGAGGCAGGTCCAGTTGTGCAGCCTGGTCCTGTAGTTGAAATCATTCACTTGGACTTGGCATTTCTTGGCCAATTCAAGACTCAACATGTCGACTGGGAGGTGGAACTTGGTCTTGGATTTGTTGAAGTCCTTCTTGTACAAAGCATCACTGGCAATTTTGGCGGAGTTGATAGCCAGCATCATCAGAGGATCATCCTGAACACATCTTGCGCCAATGTGGTGACCAACCTGCTTACGGTATCCTGTCTTGTACTTGTACTGTGGTCAGAAGAGAGAGTACAGCATAATATAGCATAGGTGTACATTCAAAATAATCAGATAAAATGTAACAGCATAGTAAGATATTAGTAAAGAATTATTAATTAGCAACTGAGGATTTTCAATATACTATTTTTACATGAATACATTCCTGAGTAATAAAATGTACTGTACCTGTATGTCAATGCACAAGTACTAATGGGTTTCAGAAATTAGGACCGCTGCCATTCCAATTAACAATTTAAAACTAACAAATCATTTTAATGGAAAAAAAAGTCCTCTAAATGTTGCAAGAAGTCCATGAATAGGCATTGATATTAACTGCTATAAATTATTCATGAACATCTTGTTATTACATTTTTATTATTCCTTTACTGCTGTTTAATCATCATAAAATCCATGTTACTTACATCACTGATGATTTCTCTGCCATGTTTAGCAGCGATAACAGAAACAGCATCAGGTTTCATATCGTAGCCTTTCCTGAACATCTGCTCCACAGCCTCTCTGTAGATTTTCTGAAATGTAACAGATTCATTAAAAGACAAGTTATTGCAATTGAATTAAAACAATATTGTAAAGTTACTGAGTAGTTAATATGTACTGCTTGAGTTAATATAATGTTATAGGTGCAACTTTTATGTGTGACAAAGGCAATCAATACTTTTACATTTGATGTATTTTAGTTTATAGTTTATTCTTGTTTCATTCACTACTATTCTATATATATATATATATATATATACATATATATAAAGCTATAAAACTTACCCTGCTGATGTTATAAGCATTAGCCTTAGAAAGCAAAATCTCAGGAATATCAGGAGTAACATGGGTCTTGAGCTTGTCTGCTTCCCAGGCTGCAATGTAATTCCTCTGTAAGGCAAGAAAATATAACACATTAGGATTTTTGGGTTGCATGATTACAATGCATGTGTAGTTGTTTATCAGCACTAATTTGCTTATTAATAAAATCATGAGGCCATCGCTAATGTTCTGTACTCACTACTACACTGACACTACATTTGTTTGTTGCCATTTAACAAAACAGCTTATGGACATATTTATTAGTGGTAGCTGTGAGGAAAATACAAAACAAAAATCAAGTTTTTTTATTTATTTTTATTTTTTTATTTATGTATTTATTTAAGTGAATACATTTCAGCACTCATCCAAGCAGCTTCTTCAATTCAGTGCAGTAAGGAGTATGGGTTATTAGTTAAGTCCATTAGGGGCATGAATGATGATGCAAAATTGACTCGAGTGACAGCTCACACCTTTAAAGAGTTCAACACACTAATAACAGATTCTCTTCCTTACTGTAAACAACTAGATTGTGTTAGTTTCTGTGTAGTTAACTCCTCCCTGTAGACAGATAAAAGGCAGTGACTTTCCAGAATTCTGTCAAAACTGAAGTAGCTACTTGGATGAGTGGCAAAACATTTCTAAAAAATGTGAGTGCTGCATATAGGTTGCAAATAAATGTGAAAATATGTTACCTTGTTCATGATGTCAGCGTTAGCTTTGGCAAGGACCATAGGGATAGCTTGTGTATCAGAGGTGAATTTCAGAGTGTCTGGGCTCTGCTTGTACAAACGGTCACTGAGGATTTTGGCAGCGTTCTTGGCTTTCAGCACATCCAGTGACCCAATAGGAACCCATCCAACACCAATGACGTCTTCCATGTCTGCCTTGTAGACAGCCTAAAGAGAAAAAGTGCACAAAAGCATTCATAATTATATATTCCCAATATTGGATTTGGTTGAAAACATGACATTCAGAGAAGAGACATTTAAATCATATATTGTATCAGTACTGTTACATTTGAAAGAATGGCTAAGATATCTATTGATTGCTGGTTGATTACTTCATCGCATTACTTACGTCACTCTGGAGGTCATAAGCCTTTCTGGCCTGGACCACATCATTGGAGTCAGGGAGGCAGGTCCACTGGTGCAACTTGGTCCTGTAGTTGAAATCATTCACTTGGATCTGACATTTCTTGGCCAATTCAAGACTCAACATGTCGACAGGCAGATTGAACTTGGTCTTGGATTTGTTGAAGTCCTTCTTGTACAGAGCGTCACTAGCGATTTTGGCAGAGTTGATTGCCAGCACGAGTAGAGGATCGTCCTGAACACATCTGGCACCAATGTGGTGTCCAACTTGCTTACGGTATCCTGCATGGTACTTGTACTATTTGAAAGAAAAAAATATATTATGCAACTTTAGACATACAACACAACAGTAATTAAATAAGTAATAAATTGCCAATATTTCTCAAAAGCCCAATAGCCACAACGATCAGTTACTAATTATTACTACTTCTTCTCTTAATATTCTTAAACCACATTTAAACATTAAGTGCACTTATCGCACTTAACTTAAATAAGTTAAAATACATTCATTTTCTCAAGTTGGTTGACCGTACAATATACTAATATACTGTAGTAAAAGTATCAGATAATCAGATATTACATTCATAATAACTTTTCAATCATATCCATATTGGTTACAGACAGATAAATGTAAATGGAATTGTACAAGATGTAATTTTTTTTTTAAATCAGTACATCTTCATGGTTTATATTGGAGACACTGTATAAGTAGTATAAAAGACATATACATGTAACTGAGAAAAATCCTATTTACTCACATCACTGATAATTTCCCTGGAAGCTTTAGCGGCCTTCACAGAAATGGCATCCACAGGCAGGAAGTAGCCCTTCTTGATGGTCTCCTCAAATCCTTGTCTGTACAGTTTCTGCAAGGAAAGCAGACAGTTGGGGAGCTCATTTTAGCCCAATACAATGGCAATAACTACTATCTTAAAGTGGTAATATGCATTAAATCTAATATAACTGTGTATTTAGTTTAGCATTAGCAACCATCAACAATTAGTCCTATTTGTCACCTGGCTCATATTGATCCTGTTTTGCTGAGAGAGGATGATCTCAGGAGTGTCAGGCAAGATGTGCAGCTTAGTCTTGTCATTCTCCCAGGCTTCCACATAGAGGCGCTAAAAACACACACAAAATTCCAAATCATTGTCACAACAGCAAATAAAACTTAGAACACAGTGCAGCTGAAAGAATTAAACAGGAGGAAATTTTCATACATTATGCCAAGTCGCATTGACCTGTAGCGTGCTCCAAGGGTTAATCTTGGGGCCCCTTTTATTCATCCTTTAAAGGGTTCATCAGGTTACTTTGGCTAAAATCAACAAATCTTTTTTGTTCAAGTCCAGGTTGAAAAAGAACCACCCATGTGTTTTATCAGCTATTTTAAATTTAATTTTTAAGCCTATTTTCCTGCTTTGGTGAACGTGTGTGGTTCATTTTTCGTTACTGTGACTTACACTATGTATGAACAGTACTATTCAAATAAATATGACTCGCAAGGTAGTCTTATTCTAAAAGAAATATCCATGTACATTACAAGTTATATGTACTTCTTAGAGTTTTTAATATTACTGTGTTTAGTAATTTAAATGCAGCTGAGTTGTACCTGGTTCATAGTTTGGGCATTGTTCTTGGCCAGGACAAGATTCATGGCATCAGTGGGGCTAGTGAAAGGCACAGTGCTTGGGTGCTGACGATATTTCCTCTCACTCAGAATCTCTGCAGCTTTCTTAGCTTTCTCTACATCCAGAGACCCTATGGGCACCCAACCAAGACCCTGCAGCCATTTCAGATCAGCCTTGTACACAGCCTAAAGAAAACAAGAAAACATTTAACAACTAAACATATTTTAGAACATTGGAGAAAGAAAAAATTGTTCATGCTTACGTCACTCTGGAGGTCATAGGCTGTTCTGGCCTGAACAACATCATTGGAGTCAGGCAGACAAGTCCAGTTGTGCAGCCTTGTGATGTAGTTAGCGTGGTTGACTTGAATCTGGTTCTTCTTGGCCAGTTCAAAGGCCAGCATGTCCACAGGCAGGTGGAACTTGGTCTTGGACTTGTGGAAGTCCTTCTTGTACAGAGCATCACTGGCGATTTTGGCGGAGTTTATGGCCAGCATGAGCAGAGGGTCGTCCTGAACACATCTGGCACCAATGTGATGTCCAACCTGTTTACGGTAGCCTGCATGGTACTTGTACTAGAGAAAACATAATAATATAATGAGGAATAAATAAGAGTTGGGCCTCACAATTAAGTTAACAGACCAAACATGCTATTGTTTTCTTACATCACTGGCAATGTCTCTTGAAGCTTTGGCTGCCAAAATGGGAATGGCATCTTGGCGCATGTCATAGCCCTTCTTCTTGGACTCCTCATGGGCCTGTTTGTACGCTTTCTGTAAATTAATATAAACATAATATACTTAAATATCATATGGCAGAGTGTGTAAAACATTATACCAATTATACACTTACCAAGCTGTAGTTAACATTGTTGGCTTTGGCCAGGAGGATATCCATGGCATCAGGCATAACGTGGATGTTTGTCTTGTCATTGTTCCAGGCTTCAACATAAGATTTCTATAATGCCAGAATATAAGTTTATTTACCACATATTATACTGTACTGATTTGTTGCTCTGAGATATATATATCTTTGAAAAAAAATATATACCTGGTTCATGATTTGGTTGTTGGCCTTAGCCAGAACCATGGGCATGTCTTCAGTGGTGCTGGTGAACTTGAAGTTACTTGGATGCTGGCGGTAGTTCCTCTCACTGAGGACTTTACCAGCATATTTAACTTTCTCAACATCAATTGAACCAATGGGCACCCACCCAAGACCCTTCAGCCACTTCAGATCTGCCTTGTACACAGCCTGTAGGACACAGAAAAATATTTTACAGCTTAAAAAGAAAAGAAATAGTTAAATTGCTACACTTCCATCAGTCTGCCCCAGGGCACCTGTGGCTACAATAGTAGCTTACCACCACTGGTTATAGAGTGAATGAATAATTGAATAATGCTCTGTAAAGTGTGTTTGAGTGTCCATAAAATTGATGCATTATTATTATTATTATTATTATTATTATTATTAATATACTTACGTCACTCTGGAGGTCATAGGCTGTTCTGGCCTGAACAACATCATTGGAGTCGGGCAGACAAGTCCAGTTGTGCAGCCTTGTGATGTAGTTAGCGTGGTTGACTTGAATCTGGTTCTTCTTGGCCAGTTCAAAGGCCAGCATGTCCACAGGCAGGTGGAACTTGGTCTTGGACTTGTGGAAGTCCTTCTTGTACAGAGCATCACTGGCGATTTTGGCGGAGTTTATGGCCAGCATGAGCAGAGGGTCGTCCTGAACACATCTGGCACCAATGTGATGTCCAACCTGTTTACGGTAGCCTGCATGGTACTTGTACTAGAGAAAACATAATAATATAATGAGGAATAAATAAGAGTTGGGCCTCACATTTAAGTTAACAGATCAAACATGCTATTGTATTCTTACATCACTGGCAATGTCTCTTGAAGCTTTGGCTGCCAAAATGGGAATGGCATCTTGGCGCATGTCATACCCCTTCTTCTTGGACTCCTCATGGGCCTGTTTGTACGCTTTCTGTAAATTAATATAAACATAATATACTTAAATATCATATGGCAGAGTGTGTAAAACATTATACCAATTATACACTTACCAAGCTGTAGTTAACATTGTTGGCTTTGGCCAGGAGGATATCCATGGCATCAGGCATAACGTGGATGTTTGTCTTGTCATTGTTCCAGGCTTCAACATAAGATTTCTATAATGCCAGAATATAAGTTTATTTACCACATATTATACTGTACTGATTTGTTGCTCTGAGATATATATATCTTTGAAAAAAATATATACCTGGTTCATGATTTGGTTGTTGGCCTTAGCCAGAACCATGGGCATGTCTTCAGTGGTGCTGGTGAACTTGAAGTTACTTGGATGCTGGCGGTAGTTCCTCTCACTGAGGACTTTACCGGCGTATTTAACTTTCTCAACATCAATTGAACCAATGGGTACCCACCCAAGACCCTTCAGCCACTTCAGATCTGCCTTGTACACAGCCTGTAGACAATAACAATAGTATATTCTTCAGAAATTGAAATTCAAGGAAGTATTTAGAATTGTTAAAGAAACTGGTATACTTACGTCACTCTGGAGGTCATAGGCTGTTCTGGCCTGAACAACATCATTGGAGTCGGGGAGGCAGGTCCAGTTGTGCAGCTTTGTGATATAGTTAGCATGGTTGACTTGAATCTGGTTCTTCTTGGCCAGTTCAAAGGCCAGCATGTCCACGGGGAGGTGGAACTTGGTCTTGGATTTGTGGAAGTCCTTCTTGTACAGAGCATCACTGGCAATTCTGGCAGAGTTCAGAGCCAGCATGAGCAGAGGGTCGTCCTGGATGCTGCGAGCACCAATGTGATGTCCAACCTGCTTACGGTATCCTGCCTTGTACTTGTACTACAGACAGAAACAAAATAATGATTACCACAGGAATTTAAAACTACAGCTCTCCATTCTACAGTTTAGAGAAGAACCTATTAAATGTTTTCTTACATCACTGGCAATGTCTCTTGAAGACTTGGCAGCCACAATGGAAATAGCATCTTGGCGCATGTCATAGCCCTTCTTCTTGGAGTCCTCATGGGCCTGCTTGTATGCTTTCTAAATTGAAAAATAAGGGAAAAGAGACAGCTATATTGTGCAAATACTGAAGGGTTTAGATGAACTTAATAAGTGCACATCAAAAACATACCACACTGTAGTTGAGTTTGTTGGCTTTGGCCAGGAGGACATCCATGGCATCGGGCATAATGTGGATGGAAGTCTTGTCCTTCTCCCAGGCAGCTGTGTAAGCACTCTGCAAACATGTTTAGAAGCATTTAATACAAAAATGATCAACAAAATATGCAACAAAAAAAATGCATAAAAATAATAGTAGAAAATATTAATGCTGCTCGAACACCTTGTTCATGATCTGGTTGTTAGCCTTAGCCAGAGCCATGGGCATATCCTCTGCAGTACTGGTGAACTTGAAGTTGCTTGGATGCTGACGATAACTCTTCTCATCAAGGATTTTACCCGCATATTTAACTTTCTCAACATCAATTGAACCAACGGGCACCCATCCAAGGCCTTTCAGCCACTTCAGATCAGCCTTGTACACAGCCTGAGAACAAAAATAGCAGATTTTTTAAAACATGTTGTCTTATGCATATTAAATAAATTGCCTGCTATACTTACGTCACTCTGGATGTCATAAGCTGCTCTAGCCTGGACCACATCATTGGAGTCGGGCAGACAGGTCCAGTTGTGCAGCCTTGTGATGTAGTTAGCGTGGTTGACTTGAATCTGGTTCTTCTTGGCCAGTTCAAAGGCCAGCATGTCCACAGGCAGGTGGAACTTGGTCTTGGACTGGTGGAAGTCCTTCTTGTACAGAGCGTCACTGGCAATTTTGGCGGAGTTCAGAGCCAGCATGAGCAGAGGGTCGTCCTGGATGCTGCGAGCACCAATGTGATGTCCAACCTGCTTACGGTATCCAGTCTTGTACTTGTACTAGAAATACATCAAGGTTTGATCAGAGAAAGAAAATTAAGGTCTATCTACCATTCATGCTTTTTAATAGTACATTTTAATTTAATTGCTTTACATGTAACTGTCTAACTTGAACTACCACTCTTGATCTCACTTAATTACAAATTTACTATTTAATTCTGTTCTATTCAGTATACTGTTCAGTGCCTTATAAACTAAATTGTAAACCAAGAATTGTCAGATGTATTGTGAGTACTAAAGCCACTGTTCTAAGGAGTGGGTTGACATTTATTCTGTACTTACATCACTGGCAATAGCTGTGGAGGCCTTAGCAGCCTGGACAGCAATAGCATCAGCACGGAAATTGTGTCCTTTCTTCTTTGCCAACTCATTGTCCAACTTGTATAGTTTCTGGAAACCAAAACACAAAGAAATGAATAAACATCTAATTGTGATGCAGAAATCAATTGTGTTGTAAATAAATTATACTGTACCACACTGTAGTTCTTTCTATTTTCACGAGCCAGCACAACATCCATAGCATCAGGCATAAGGTGAATAGTAGTCTTGTCCTTCTCCCAGGCTTGACTATAGGCTTGCTATTTACACAAATGGAAAAAAAAAAATACTTATTGTCCATAGAATTCATCAGTCGGAGTGTGTGACATTAAGTGTTTGCACTTATTCTATACTACACTAAATACATCGTACCTTTTAACACAAAGTAAAAGACAGCCTGTAGAAACATGTACTTGTAGGTTTATGTGCTGAATTACATGTTATTATTGGTTACAAAGTGTGTTACATTCAGGTTACGTGTAATTACAGATTGTTACAAAGTGGAATGAAAAAACTGTCATCCAAACGTGTGTACCTTGTTCATGATCTGGTTGTTCGCTGAGGCCAGTGCCACATCCATGGACTGCATGTCTTTGGTGAATTTGAATTGGCTTGGGTGCTGGCGGTAATTTTTCTCATTTAAAATCTGACCTGCGATTCTGGCCTTTTCCACGTCCAGAGACCCAATGGGGACCCATCCCAGGCCTCTGAAGTAGTTCTGGTACTCACTCTTGTACTGATTCTGTGGAAGAAAACATTAACAAAAAAATATTTATTATACAACTCAATTTGTCAATGTAAACAATCTTGCTTACTTGTAATATTTTTGACTAAATTGCTTGCTTTTATGTCCAATATGGGCTAATATAAGCAAGCCAATTGATTCATTAAACTAAATAAGACATATAAATATACTCTATAACTAGCTATTATTTTTCAGGGCTGGGCTTTATAACAAGAATACGTATATTGCTAATTCTATTTACTTAATCCAACCGATTTAAACACAATAAAATATTTTTTGAGAAGTCATTCACAACATATATACTCACATCACTGGCAATGAACTGCATGTTACGAGCCAGTTCCAAGTTCATGGCATCAGGGAGGAGCATGTTGCTGTGTGAAATCTGTTTGTAGCCAGCATTGGTCTGAGCTTTGGTGGCCTGTTTGGCGTGAACAATGCTCATCATGTCGACTGGGGAGTGGTACTTCAGCTTGGACTTGTGGTAGTCCTTCTTGTAGTTTTTATCGCTCTGGTGTTTAGCCACCTCCATATAGTGAACCAGGAGAGGATCGTCCTGCAGGCTGCGCAAACCAACATGGTGTCCCTTGGCTTTCTCAAAGGCCAGCTTGTACTTGTACTGTCAAATGAATAAAATACTTTTCATTTAGGAACATTGTATTGATATTTCAGATAGCAGTATCATTATCACAAGGTTCTATGAGATGCTTTAGTTATGCAACACTAACCAACTAGCCTAATTATTGGTTAGTAGTTGAGAAAAAAACATAGTGGCTGTTAAATTCCTGTTACTGAATACTAGTATATATGCTACTGCTGTGTCCTTAGGCAAGACACATTTTACCAGCTTGCCTCCAGTGTTACTTTTTGCATATTTATGACCAATTACTGTGCATTCTCTGTAAAAAGTAATGCTGAATAGAAAAACATCTTATATTAGAATTAGAATCTTATTTTTAAAAAAAAACATCTTATAGACAAATATCCAGAAATACTTGAGAAAGAGTAAGAAAGACATATTGATATTACTTACATTGCTAGCAATAATGGTGCCAGTCTTAGCGGCCACAATTGGGATGGCATCTGCCTTCATGTTGTGACCCTTCAGAGCCATTTCCACCAGTCCAGCTTTATAAAGTTTCTGTAAAAGAGAAAAAAAACATATATTAACCAAAAAGTATAAACTTGTAATTTGAAAATATGTAATCAATGACTAAAGTGTAATTTTGGTTTTTACATGCAACTGCTACAGAGTATGTATTGACAAGAGGAAACTAAGCAGTTAAGAAAAGGGTGTTTTTTGAACTATTTTTTGGCTAGTGTAACCCTTGACCCTCTATTAACACATTAAGACTCATTAAGTGCAATGTAACACAATATAACTACCTGTAGCAACCTGTAGCAACCAGTATCTAAATGCAGTGTAATTACACAGTTGTTACATGGCACATTATACGGTAGTCATTGTTGTAGGTAAATAGTATTAAGTGAAGTGTGAAATAAATTCTGACCTAAATTACAGATAGGCTACAGTATATTATAGCTATAAATATGATTTCTGTTTTTAAAAAAAATACATTTACCATTAAGTTGATTATATTTTGCATTTTATTTTCTTACCTGGTTCATGTTGAGAGCATTAGCTTTAGCCAGGAGAACATCCATAGCATCAGGCATGACATGGATAGTGGTCTTGTCCTTCTCCCATTTCTCAGTATAGGCTTTCTGCAAGTAAACAAATTAGAGACATTTTTACAGTTTGCTATTAGTAAATATTGCCATTATAATGTAAATAAAATAACAATGCTATACCTTGTTCATGATCTGGTTGTTGGCAGTGGCCAGAGCAACATCCATAGAGTCCATGAGTTTATGATATTTGAAGACAGATGGATGAGTGCGATACCTTCTCTCACTCAGAATGTCTCCACCAACTTTAGCGGTTTCCACTGGGAGTGACCCAATGGGCACCCAACCACAGCCCCTGACAAAGTTGTTGTATTCTGATTTGTATTCCACCTATGGAGAAACACAATGAACATATGTCAGTAATATCCCTTTAAATACAATGTAACAGACAAGTAACAACCACAAATAACAACTAATAATTGCATGATATTTAGTACTGTGTTGTGTTGAAGTTACATGTTATTAGCAATTGTTACACATGTATTCATCTTAATTCTGGAGGTTGAATTACTATGTAAAGCTTGTAGCCATGATTTAAATCTGGTTCCAGACTAAAGCAGTCAAGAGGGTCAAACAAAATGCCTACTTACTAAGTCAAAAATCTCTCAGCATCAATTGTTATAGATTAGCATCATCTAGCCGATATTTGCACTTTTAGCTCATCAGCTATCTGCCTTAAATTTTCAACACAAGCCAATATTTGGTTAAAGAAAAATACACATAAAGCTTTATTTAAATGCTTTAGTGCAAAGAGATAACTGTTGAAAACTTGACTATACAATCCTACATGACTACAATTCTATAGATTTATGGTAAAAAAAAAAAAGTGCTGTGGGTGATTTATAGTAAATTTAAATAGCATAATTTGGGGAAAATTATCAAAACTGGGCATACATATCAGCGACAAAATCTTGATAGATAGATAAGACAAATACTTAATTGATCCTAAAGGAAATTACATTTTTGGCAAAGGTTATGGATTTTAAACATTTGTAAACTGGTATAGGCTTTGGCCATGAAAAAAATAAAATAAAAAAGGGTCGCTCTCTAATAGATATTGTTTTAGATTGATTATTATTCATATATTCTTGCTAAATTAGAAGGATGATAATTATTCATATATTCTTGCTCCATTAGAAGGATGATTATTATTCATATATTCTTGCTCCAAAATGCCTTCTGTACACTCTATCAAGATTTGTTGTGAGGCCTTCATAAGCAAAAAACTATTTTCCAATTTCATTATGCTATCAGTGGTCAGAACTTTAATAATCTGAGAACTATCCAGAACATAGATGAAACCCTATAATTTTAAGGGTATAATTGGTGCTATGTGACCATAAACTGAAACTTACATCACTGCAGATGGTGTTCATGGTTCGTGCCAACACCAAGTTCATGGCATCAGGCATCAGCACGTTGCTGTGTGAAATCTGTTTGTAGCCAGCATTTGTCTGAGCTTTGGTGGCCTGTTTGGCGTGGGTAATGCTCATCATATCGACTGGGGTGTGGTACTTCAGCTTGGACTTGTGGTAGTCCTTCTTGTAGTTCTTATCACTTTGGTGTTTAGCCACCTCCATGTAGTGAACCAGGAGAGGGTCATCCTGCAGGCTGCGGAAACCAACATGGTGTCCCTTGGCTTTCTGAAAGGCCAGCTTGTACTTGTACTGGAAATTAAATTCAGAAAATTTAGTAAACAAATATGTAAATAATAGGGTTGCAACTAATGATTGTTCCGGTAGTCAACAAGTCAAACAATTAACAACAATTAACCAAACAATTGATTTTGTCCATTTATGAAGATCAGTAAACTGAAACACACTGGCATCTCAGGTGATGCCATCAGTGTTTTCTTTTTTTTTTTTACATTGCAATTTTTCAGATTCAATAATGGTGCTGTCTATGTTATATATTATAAAAGGTTTTTTTGTCTTAGCTTCTCTAGTTTCATTAACGATTAGCAATGTCTAAATATAAATATGGATATTATAATAGTTAATTAATCACTAGTCACCATTCACCATTCACCATTCTGATTATCACTGCAGCCCTAGTAAATATATGTTTTTTCTGAATCAAAATGATTAAATACTTACATCACTAGCAATAATAGTGCCACTCTTGGCAGCCACAATTGGGATGGCATCTGCCTTCATGTTGTGACCTTTGAGGGCCATTTCCACCAATCCGGCTTTGTAAAGTTTCTGGAAAAAACAGATAAACATATGTTACAATACCATACACTGGCAATGTTTACACAACAATTTGGTCATTATTGGATTTCATTACCAAATTATTAAAATGGCATGTAAGCAGTGCCTATGTTAACATGTATACCAAAATCTGATTATAATCTGGTTTCTTAACCTGAAAAATCTGATGATGATGATGAGTATTCAGAGGGACCATGATTAGATTATTTTAATGATTTCATAACAAAAAAATCTGATAATAATATGATTTAGAGTGCCAACCACTTACACTACCAGGCAAAGAAAATTATGCAAAAAAGTGCAAACTAATGTGGTAAAAACAAAAATAAAAGAGAAAATGTTATCTTAAAATTGAATTGTACTTTGTTTTCAAAATAAAACTCAAAATATCCATTAATAAACTAACACATGTCGCCAGGTGTTTTTCTATGATCAGATTTCTCTTGTGCATGTGAACGTGCACCAAAAATTGAATCTAATTATTGCATTATCTCTTCATTCTGGCTGATTGTTTATTTTTCTTACATTTTGTATTGTAAAATGACCATACCTGATTCATATTGAGAGCATTAGCTTTAGCCAGGAGAACATCCATAGCATCAGGCATGACATGGATAGTGGTCTTGTCCTTCTCCCATTTCTCAGTATAGGCTTTCTGTATGTGAATGAATTAGACAAACAGTCACACTTTGAATAATTATTGCCATTATAATGTAAAATAACAGTGCTATACCTTGTTCATGATCTGGTTATTGGCAGTGGCCAGAGCAACATCCATAGAGTCCATGAGTTTATGGTATTTGAAGACAGATGGATGGGTGCGATACCTTCTCTCACTCAGAATGTCTCCACCAACTTTAGCGGTTTCCACTGGGAGTGACCCAATGGGCACCCAGCCACAGCCCCTGACAAAGTTGTTGTATTCTGATTTGTATTCAGTCTAGAATGGAAAAAAACAATATTGCCATTATTTATTATATTGAACAACAGCAAGCATAGTATACACAAACCAGGTCTAACACAGTGCTAACCCAGAACAAAACCAGATCAAACCAGAACTAAACTGGGTCTAATCCAGAACAAAACCAGGTCTAACCCAGAAATAAACCAGGTCTAACCCAAAAATAAACCAGGTCTAACCCAAAAATAAACCAGGTCTAACCCAGAGCTAAACCAGGTCTAACTGAGAATTAAACCAGGTCTAACCCAGAAAAACATCAGGTCTTACCAAGAATTAAACCAGATCCAACCCAGGCCTAAACCAGGTTTAATCAAGGACTAAACCAGGTCTAACCCAGAATTAAACCAGGTGTAACCCAGAACTAAACCAAGTCTAACCCAGAACTAAACCAAGACTAACCCAGGACTAAATCAGCTCTAACCCAGGGCTAAACCAGGTCTAATCTAGGAATAAATCAGGTCTCACCCAGATCTAAACCAGGTCTAACTAAGCACCAGATTAGGTCTAACCAAGGCCTAAACCAGGTCTAACCCAGAACTAAACCAGCATCACTAACAGATACTGATCACTGCAGAGACTTCATGATGGATATTATTTTGTGGGTATTGTTTATAAGATATAATGAGTTAAAAATTTTGTCACTTACATCACTAGCCTGGGTGTTCATGGTACGGCACAGCTGCAGGTGCAAATTGTCAGGCAAAAGCATGTAGCTGTGAGGGATCTTCTTGTACCCAGCCATGGTCTGAGCTTTAGTAGCCTCTTTAGCATGGATCAGGCTCAGCATGTCGACTGGGGTGTGGTACTTCAGCTTGGACTTGTGGTAGTCCTTCTTGTAGTTCTTTTCACTTTGGTGTTTAGCCACCTCCATGTAGTGAACCAGGAGTGGGTCATCCTGCAGGCTGCGGAAACCAACATGGCGTCCCTTGGATTTCACAAACTCCTTCTTGTACTGGACCTAAAACAGAAGAGATGGAGTTAGGAGCCATAATGTTTTCGAACTGAGAGAAAATGTATCCAAGAAACTGCTTTTGTTAGATTTAAGACTTCTGGTATTTAAGAGAAGATTTAGACAGTTTACACCCTGATTTTGATTAAAAACAAAAATTGAATATTCAGTACAGTTTTGTCAAAATTAGTTAGTCGTTTCCCATATAAACACTGATCTAAAACAAATAGTAGTGTGTAAGTGTAATAACCAAAATCCTTAACTCTCTTAGTGTAATTACAAGTCCATAGTGTGTTACAGTGTACTTAATAAAATAAATTAATAGTTTTATTGATTGTGTTTAGTTCATTAGAGATAGTACCACTAGAGATGGTACCACTAGATGTCTCCCCCATGCATTATTTGGGTTATCCTAGTATTGATTAGTGTGTAACTAATACGTAACAAATGCATGTTTGCGTTATAACTGCTTAATATATATTACTTGTTATACTTACATCACTAGCGATGTGTCTTCCCTGCTTGGCATGCAGAATGGGAATAGCATCAGGCTTCATGTCATAACCTTTAGCAATGGTCTCCAGCCACTTGTGCTTATAGTAACTCTGTGGACAAAAAAAACCCCAAAACATATGTTATTAGATGGTTTAAATATTTTTAGATTTTTGTTGTACTTTATTTTTAATACTTACCTCGCTAAGGGTTTGGGCATTGAATTTAGCCTGGAGGAATTCAGGGCTATCCACAGGGAGGTTGTAAGTGTGCACAAACTTCTCACCAGAAGCCTTGTAAGAAGCCTAAACAAAGTACCGTTATCATTATTAGCAACATATGGAAAATACATACATATATCTGTATAAAAAAAAGTTGAAATTAATAGAATAATTTTATCTGATATACGCACTTTAAAGTCAACATTTCTATATTTCTGAGTGTTTTAGTGGACCAATGTTTCTTTTTTATGAGCTTATTCTTACTTTATCCATGATCTTGGTGTTGGCCAGGGCGAGAGCCATGTGCATAGCATCAGTTTTGCTGGTGAATTTGAAGTTGCTCGGGTGTTGACGGTAACCTTTGTCATCCAGGGCAGTTGTGGCAGCTTTAGCCAATTCAACCGGAATGGAGCCAATGGGGACCCACCCAGTGCCTTTGCTGTAGTTGTTGTACTCAGACTTGTACTGGTTCTGTAAAGAAAGGGAAATGGTTACAGTAATTTTGTTATTACATGGATAAGATAAAAGATAAAAGGTGACATACAGTTTAGGGTTTAATGCAAAAAAAAAAATACCGTGTGCTATCCTTTACAATTTGGACATAAATTTTTTCTACACTTGTGTTTGCTGTCAGTAGTGAATGGGCACTTTTTGGACACGTAAATATGCATTACAAGTAGTAACTTTCCATAGAATGAATGCAGAATTAGGGATGTCACAATACTGCATTTTAGTGTTATGATAATTGTGAGAAAAAAAACACCATGATTTAATGATTACTCAATTCAATAATAATAATGGTAGTAATAATAATAATTCAGTTATTGACACCATGATAAACAATGGTGGAATCCCACTTTCTTTCATTTCCTTTATCTAATATGTTTCAGTTTGTGACCAACTTTATGAAATCAAACTTTTTGAATGACGAAGTAAAGTTGAACTGACATAAACAGCCAGATTAAAAAGAACTTTACATTCAATGTACTTACTGGAGTATAGATTAAATGGAAATGAGTAAATTTTGCTTTTAAAATTGTTACAATTATTTTTTTTACTGTAAGGATTAGAAGTGTAAGGCATCATCATGCAGTAATTGTGTTAAAGATCTATGAACTTGCACTGTTTTGTCAAATTCCAAGATTAGAAAGGAGTTTGTATTCTGACTAATACCTCACTAAACTGGATGTAATAGGCCGTCTCATGATGAGCGTTCATTGTAAATATATATCAAATTTATACCTAAAATTTCACTTATGAAAATTTATAAATGATATAATTATATAGACTTGTACTCACATCACTCTGGATATCCATCATGGTACGGCACAGCTGCAGGTTCATATTGTCAGGCAGGAGGCAGTAGCTGTGAGGGATCTTCTTGTACCCAGCCATGGTCTGAGCTTTAGTAGCCTCTTTAGCATGGACCATGCTCAGCATGTTGACTGGGGTGTGGTACTTCAGCTTGGACTTGTGGTAGTCCTTCTTGTAGTTCTTATCGCTCTGGTGTTTAGCCACCTCCATGTAGTGAACCAGGAGAGGGTCATCCTGCAGGCTGCGGAAACCAACATGGCGTCCCTTGGCTTTCTGATAGGCCAGCTTGTACTTGTACTGTCAAGTGAAATAAAAACAGTGTCATTGCTTTAGTGTTATATCTTTAATTATGCATAGATATTTCATATTCTCCTCTGTTTGAACTCTGCCTTGTCAAGTAAAATATTTTTACCACAGGTTCAAATAAATATGCTAATCTGATCATTGTAATGTTAAGTAATTTTACATGTGTAAATACATAGAACTTGCTTGTACTGGAATTTTACCAGTTGTACTAAATGTACAATGCTTTTTCATATGATTATTTAAGATATTTTCAATGTGTGCACGTTAATTAATATTTACTCAGTTGACACTTATACAACACTTTTCATTTATAAATAATGTGCAATGCATTTTATATTTACATTTAAGATTTTGCTTAACCAATATTAGTTTTACTTACATCACTGGCAATGTCCCGGGAACTTTTTGCAGCAACCACAGGAATAGCATCTTCCTTCATGTGATGTCCTTTCAGGAGGTCCCGGCGGTGAGAGTAGGTATAGAAGTTCTATGAGAATATTACAAAATGTATTTCTTCATTGTTTCATTTAGATAAAAGTAAAAAAAAAAAAAAGAAGAAGAATTGTACCTGGCTGATGTTGACAGCGTTGTATCTAGCTTGTTGAAATTCAGGTGCATCAGCAGGAAGGTGGTAAGTGTGCATGAACTTCTCTCCACTGGCTTTATAGTCTTTCTGTAATTCACACAACAAACAGCTCACAGTTTATAATATAAACTATCAACTATAAGCTAATATAGTTTGTGTTGTCCAGTATTGTAAGGTATATTGTCTGTTTTGTTCTTATTGTTTCAGAGCACACAAAGATGGAGGATGAATTCTAGATTATGCAAGGTGCTTCACCTGCATTGACTAATATGAATATGGTGTGTGCCTGAGTGACAGGTGGTGGGTGGGGTGGTCAGTGGTGCAGATTAGCTACCTCATTTCCATCTGTTTGCCCCAGAGCAACTGTGGCAATAAGAGTAGTTTGCCACCACCAAGTGTGGAATAAATAAATAATCACTTTGAGATGCCTCAACATGTTTGTAAAAGTGCATCACAAGTCCAAGGCAACCTCATGGTGGATAGATATTGCGTTTTGCAGAGTATAAATCTTCATGAAATATTTTCTTACCACATTGAGGTTCCTGCTGTTGGTCTTGGCAAGCTCCATCATCATTGAGTCCATGCCACTGGTGAATTTGAAGTTGGATGGATGCTGTCTGTACTTCTTCTCATCCAGTGCTGAGGCTGCAGCTTTAGCTTTCTCCACCTCCAGAGACCCAATGGGCACCCAGGCACTGCCCTTCACCGAGGTCTCATAATCCATTTTGTAGTTCACCTGGAAAATATATTTTTTTGCATTGATAACATTGTACTTTACTATGAAAAAGAAATACATTCATAAATGTATGGGATGGAATTTGAAACATCTTGATTTCAAAAGCAGTATCTAGATGACTACCTTTCAAACTTTTTGTATTATGGATCAAACTATCAAAACTATGCAAGAAAGGTCACAATTTGTCCTACTGATGTGATTTTTAATAGTACCAGGGTTCATAGGAAAATCAAAAATCAATGTACATCATCAAGGGATACCTGATTTTTTCCCATGTATCTGAGCAAATTTTATCTTGTACCAGTACAGATAAATTGTTTAAGCAGCTCTTGGGTACAAAAAATGCCTACATGCGCACTCCCTGCATCTTATTTGAAAGTATTTTATTAGTCAATATTCACAAAGTGCCCGTTAGCATTCTGGTTGTTTTTAGCCTTACTGTGAAAAACGCTCATAAGCTCATCGCAGTGAGTAATTATGATGCTCAGAATACATAAGCTAATAAGGAATAACTTTGGACCACTGCAAACCATTTAAAATGAACTAGTTCTGTTTTTCATGTTTTGAAGACAATAACCATCAGTTACAGCACCTTAAAGGAATTCCCTAATACTCACATCACTTTGGTTAAAGTTCATAGTACGGGCCAGTTCCAAGTTCATGGCTCCAGGCAGGAGGCAGTAGCTGTGAGGGATCTTCTTGTACCCAGCCATGGTCTGAGCTTTGGTGGCCTGTTTGGCATGGACAATGCTCATCATGTCGACTGGGGAGTGGTACTTCAGCTTGGACTTGTGGTAGTCCTTCTTGTAGTTTTTGTCGCTCTGGTGTTTAGCCATCTCCATGTAGTGAACCAGGAGAGGGTCATCCTGTAGGCTGCGGAAACCAACATGGCGTCCCTTGGATTTCACAAACGCCTTCTTATACTGGACCTAGAGGCATACAATAGGGGGTAGGTGTGAGTGATGCGGCAAATAATTCTTTAAAGAGTTTTAAATATAAAGCAAGTTTTAGTTTTAATTCATTCATAGGTGTGATGCCTTCAGCGAGAATCTACAATGTAAAAGTCATGACATGTAGACAAAAATAAAGTAAAAATTGTGCACAAAATTTTGATTGGTAGTGTACAATTGTAAACTTATATTACTATTTCTGTACAATAACTCACCCATGTAATAGATGACATTAGGCCTTCTGTCATGTCAAGTTACAATTTTCATCTTGCACCACTTACTGCATACAGCCGAAATATTTTTTAATATGTACAAATCTGTACCGTACACATTTTTATTTTGTATTCACATTTATTCCCTTTTTGTTATCAAGAACTGTATTGTTATTTGTGAGATACTGTGTCCATGTAGATTTTGCATAGTCATAATGAGAGGTACTATATTGCATAACATATCACAATAACTTTTTAGTACATGTTAAATGGACTTACGTCACTGGCAGCGTGGCGAGCAGCTTTAGCAGCAATCACAGGGATGGCATCAGGTCTCAGGTCGTAACCCTTTGCAATATGCTCCAGCCAGGCCTGCTTGTAGTTTTTCTGTAATGACAACACGTACATAGAATGTTTTTATTAAAATGCAAGAAAAACATTTGACATTGATTTTTAAGGTTAGTGATCTCATTTTCAATATTGGAATGATATGATAAAAAAAATCCCCAAATATCACAGCTACAGTAAAATTGCTCTTCTCTAAATAAAATAATATTGTTACTGCTAGATAATTAACCACTTGATAATAAGAAATATCATTGTAAATCTAAATACCTGTGATGCTAAAGATGGGTGATATATCCGTTCCTATATCGGCCGATATTGATTACTTTATAGCAGTATCGATACTTGATACTGATATTCAATATTTTTCCCACTGCCCCATTCTCTTTGTGCCCTTTTTGAACAGACTAATGGTTTACAGTTTAAAATCTGGTACTCACGTTGCTCATGTTGTAGGCATTGCATTTGGCCTGAAGGAACTCAGGGGCATCTGGAGGCAGAGAGTATTTCTGATGGATCTCTTCCAAGCCTTTCTTGTAAAACAGCTACAAATATACAACATAATACAAGTTTAATTAACATACAATTGTAACTTAAAATATATAGCTACAGCAGCATTTTTTGCACCCATAACATTGTTTAATTGTTCACATAAATAAGTTTGTATATGTTAAATCTTACATCGCTTCTCTGCAGCTGGTTGACCTTGGCCTGCATCATAATTGGGTGATCATCGATGGCAGTGAAGGGAATAGTGTCTGGGTGCTGTCTGTACTTTTTCTATAGGAAAAAAACACAATAAACATGTTACATACAATATTATAACATAGAAATAAAAGTCAATGAAGGCTTAAAGTGTAATTGGTAGGTAATTATGTTTTTTCAAATTATTACTTGGTTTGGTGAGATAGTACCTGTGGTAAATATTTATCATAGTTTTACATCAATGGTGGGGAAAAATGTACAAAATACAGGAAGTAGCATTAAGATCTATAAATAAATAAATAAATAAATAAATAAATAAATAAATAAATAAATAAATAAATAATAAATAATATATATATATATATATATATATATATATATATATATATATATATATATATATATATATATGTGTGTGTGTGTTTTAGTGAAATGTACAAATGCTGAATGTACTCTACCTCATCGAGGATTTCAGCCGCCTTCTTGGCCTTCTCCACTTCCATAGAGCCAAAGGTAACCCAGGGAGAGCCTTTCACGTAAGTGTTGTAGTCAGATTTGTACTCGTTCTGTGAATAAAAATAAAAAATGAAGCAACATTCATTCATCAATGGAGGGTAATTTTTCTCAAGAAACATTTGAGAAGAAAAACTTTGAGAAATATAAATCTAAACCACAGTGTTTCTATCTAATACTACAAACTAATGCATAGTAAGATACTGTAAAATGCTCTTTTTCATGTGGTGTGTAAATTGAAAATGCCTGTTTCTTTGTTTTGCTTTTTTTTACATTGACGCTCCCTTTACCGAAGAGCACCTCTTTAACTATTTTACTACTTTTCATCACTACCCGGAGGGTTTTCTTTTGTACATTATTCCATATATCTTGCATCATATATTTGATGTCTTCTGTATGTATATAAAATGAAGAAATTAGTTAACATACAAAAAAACACTGAATGAGATGGTGTGTCCAAATTTTTGACTGGCAGTGTATCACTCATCAATAATGTACAAATTCTGTTTCTATATAATAAATGTACTCACGTCACTCTGGATGATGTTGGCTTTCTTGGCCAGGTCAAGCAGCACACTGTCATAGGGCAAGAAGTAGTTGCTGCTGATTTTCCTGTATCCGGCCATACTCGCGATGGCCTGGTTCTTTTTGGCCGTTGTCAAGGAGATCATGTCCAGAGGGGTGTGGTATTTCGTCTTAATCTTTTCATAGTCCTTGATGTACTCTTTCTGCAATGATAAATTAACATGTATTTATCTATACTTAAAATGGTTTAAATCATGTAAACTATAACAGGGCTGAACAATACTAAAATACAATAAAATGCTACATTCCAAAAAAAAAGGGGGGGGGGCTCATTTTACACCATTTTCTGATCTGTGATAATGCTGTTTCCTCATCAAAAAAAATAGTTGTGTGTTTTGTTTCATTCACACAAGTTTAACACACAAATCTTGCATATTTAGAGTTCCTCTCTCAAACAGCAAACACTCGTTCCACGTTGTGATGTGGTACTGTTTTTACACTCTATTCGCCTTCACTAGAAGTGCTTCTTCACAAAATGGAACAAAGCATTTTGAGCTTTTGACAACTTCACATATGTTTTTGATCTCACAAGACTCAATTTTGCGTAATATAGAACCTTTACAGTTGAATTTAAAAACAAATGATAAATTGCTTAAATAATTAGTCAAACTCTTTCAAATTAGAAACATAACATAAACCAAGGCAAAAACCAGGCTAGAACTAAAAGATTAAATGAATTAATAAACTGTACTTCAACTGAAAAAAGATAAGGATATTGCATTAACCCTTCTTCCAATATACCCTTCTTCCAATATACTTTCTTTAATATAATGTGCAACCCTAATATATAAATTACAAAGTTAAACTGACTTACATGACTTTGAATCTTAGCCACATGAACTGAATGCAAGATCTTAGGGTCATCATTGATGCTAAGAGCGCCAACCATACGTCCTTTATTCTTCTCATACTCCTTCTTGTATTTAACCTAAGAAGGAAAGCAAAAATATAAGCAAAAAAAAAAAGAAAAAAGAAAAAAATTTTAAAAATAAAGAAAATAAAAGTGCTATACGTACATCACTAGCAATGTTAGTGTGGGCGCGGGCTGCCAGGATTGAAATTGTGTCACCCTTAACTTCAAACTTCTTGGCTTTAGTTTTCTCCCAGTCATACTTATAGCAATTCTGGAAAAAAACATAATTTATGAATACAATTATTAAAAAACAATATTACATTTTAAAATATCCCCAAAATACATAGTAGTCTGGTTGCTTAATAATAAAGGCGTATACTTACATCACTGAGGTTGTAAGCGTTTACTCTGGACTGGACAAAGAAGGGATAGTCTGGGGGAAGGCTGTTCTTGAACTTCATCTCCTCGTACTGCTTTTTGTAGTTCAGCTGCAAAGAAATGGAATTATTGTTAAATATTTAGCCTGTTTGGTCAGATAGATAGCTAGATAATATTCAATTCAATTTTTACTTCTTTGAGGATTACATTCAGAAAATATTATGAAAATATTATGCCAACCAATCAGAAATTCTAAAATGTGCTTGAAAATGCGCTGAAACATCAAAAATATCAAAACTTCACCTTATACCATTTTTATTGGCTGTTTTTGCAATTGATGTTTTGCAATAATAGAAAATAGACTTGATATTCCAATTTGACATATCTCTAAGTGAATAACTGCAATTAACAATTTTCAGTAGATCTCCCACTTTAATATAACACGTCTTAAAGGTGCACTGTGTAACTTTTTCTTTGTCTCCATGGAGATGTTATTGCTTTGCCTGGAGTGTGCCACAATATGGTATTAGACTTGGCCATTTCCATACAAACAAGCATAGGACGCCACTAAGCTAAGTTACAGGCCAGATCTATGGAGAAGTGACCCCACACAAAGTGAGAATTCATGTATATAAAGGTATTTTTGAGAAATAAAAACAACTTGAATTGAATGAATGCAAGATAGATAGGTTTAATGGCATATTGTGATGGAATATTCCAGACAAAGCAATAACATCATCACAGAGACAAGCAGGTGGTGGACCCTCCCCCCAGAAAGTTACACAGTTCACCTTTAAATAAGATTTTTGTGGTGTATATATGAATTTAATTTAATATTTTTTAAAGCTTTTTGTAGTGCAAGTACACAGTGTTCCAAGTGAACCCCCTGAACCTTGAACATGTGATGTACTATTCTATATGGGCGGTACAAGCCTTTGATCAAACTACTGACAGTCATTTCTACCACTAGAGGTTGCCCTTGTCTTGATCACTGTTCTGAATGGCCCACAGGTGCCCCCTCCCTGCTCCGGCCCCCCTCTCTGATCACTGGGTTTATTCTAGGCCTGCCTGAATGCTCAGTGCTATTTTTACGACTCTGCGAGGGCTCTCCAGTTTCCATGGAGCCCACAGAGACAGCTGGGCCTCTGCTCGCATGATTGGGCACATTTTAAGGTGATCTGCATAACCAGGAGAATACGATCCACTCCGTTAACTACCACAGGGCTGCCGGTCAATTAGTAATGTATATAGTGTACCATGGAAATGCAGTAATTATACATTTAAATGACCTTAAAGTACTGCAGTTGAACAATTGCCCAAAAATGAAGTAGAAAATGTGATGTTGTCTGGTTAATTCTACAAGATTTGTCATAGCAAGTCAAATTAAATGGCCCATTACTTTATATATTGGCTTGAGGTTTGATCATACTGTATAGGGATATTTTGTTTAAAGGTTCAATGTGTAAATTTTCTGGTGGCTGGTCCACATTTGCTCAGAGTGTTCCACAGTATGGCATGGTCACTGACTCAATTACAGGTGTTTTTATTGCTGAGAAATACTTTGAAAAGAATGTTTTTTTACTGTGAGTTAGCTCGCTTCTCCACAGATCTGTAACTTGGGCTAGTGGTATCACATATTTGTCTTTATGAAAATAGATAAGTTGCCATACTGTGGAACATTTTGATCAAGACAAACTATATACTGCTTTGTTGTTAAATGCTATGGTGGATTTTTCATCACTCAAACTTTAAATGTGCACTATGTAACTTTTTGGTTGAGGGTCCGTCACCTGCTTGTTTGCATGGATATGTCATTGCTCTGCTTGGAATGTTCCACAGTATGACATTAAACCATACTACCTTACATTTATTCAATTACAGGTGTTTTAACTGCTCAAAAACAGGCATTCTGGCTGTAAGTGGAGTTGCCTCTCAACAGATCTGACCTGTAACTTGGTCTGGATTGATCTCCATGAAGATAGAAAGGTTAAATTCTATACTGTGAAACATTCCAGACAAAGCAATAACATCTCCATGGAGAAAAGTATTTGATGGACCCTCCACCAGAAAAGTTACACAATGCACTTTTAAACATTTACTGTATGGATAATATTGGTTCAAAATGTAAGAAATGTATGAATAAAACTTATTGTTATGCTTTCAGTACTATGTTGAATCACTTAAGTAAAAAGGGTAACTATACTTACATCGCTGAGTTGTTTGGCGTTGACTAACGCTTGAACCATGACGGGATTATCTGTGACCTGTGTGAACTTCACTTTGTCCGGATGTTGTCGATAAACTTTCTGCAAAACACACAAAAAAAACAAATATTCAGCTATTCAAATCATTTTTTACAAGATTATAAAATTATATAAATTATGATTAAAATGACTTACATCACTACAACTCTGAAGCTTCTTGGTAGCTTCATACTCGGGCGTGATGGTTTGAGGGAAGAAACATCTCGTCTTGATGTCTTCATAGTCTGCTTTGTATAATTGCTGAAATGTGAATTAATCAATTAATTAATAGAGTAAAATGTAATATATTATATCATACATATATTTTACATTAAAAAAGAAATAAGTAATTTAACCCTTTAAATCCCAGCCAAACACACCAAGGCCCCGTAGAATATTGGTCAAAATGAATGTAAGCATATGTTCTTTAATTGTATTGCTTGTTAACCTTTTATCTGTGAGGACTTGAATAGAATGTATTCTTTAAAAACTATATTTTTCCAAAATAAAAAGAACCCAAGAAGTTAAAGTACATAAGAAGACAAAATTAACATTTTTGGCTTAATATTTTGCCAAGTTAGAAATACAAATTATCCTGCACTCCCATTAATTGACACTGCAAAAATCAGCTATATGGGCCTTGTACTTCTAATATTAATTACATCATCCAGTTTTCACCAGATATAAAGCCACTATTATTTGAGTTTGACACCAACAACATATTATTTTGATACTGTAAGAATCTGGAATCAAATTGAGTTGATAATACAACTACTACTTTGACTAACAATACTAGCCATATGTATCAAAATAATCAGACAAATAATAAATATTTAATTACATCTTTCTTAAATTCTTCAACTTTCTGGCAGTGAAGCATGTACAGATCCTCATAGCTGCCGATGTAGTGTCCCTTCACCTCGTCCTCATACTTGTCTTTGTAATGTGCCTATAGAAGAAACAAACAGATGTTGAAATAGTAAAGTAGTTTTTTGTATTTTATTTATTTGTGTGTATGTATTTAGGTTAACATTCTTACGTCTGAGAACTTCTTAAGAACCGAGTCCATCTGGAATTTGGGCGTGTCACAGTAGTTGATGCTGAAACCTCTCGACTTTTCATAGCTGGCTTTATACACTTTCTGTAAGAAGAGGTCATGGAAAAAAAAAAAGTGAGTACCCGACACCCATGGAGACAAGCAGAGGCTGGACCCTTAACAATTCATAAAAATAGCGCAAATTGTTATTACAAATATTTATAGAAATTTAATCATTCAAGCAATGTAATGTTATGTTAGGTAACAGTAATTGCAATGGCATTATATTGTATTAGCATATGTACTTAAGGCCTTGACTGGCTTATAACCTTTACACAACAATGTTTTTATTATAATATATACTTTTTTTTTTTCTCGCACATACATCACTGAGGATCGTGCCGGCGTAACGTAGCTGTCGTAGGAGGGGGTTTTCTGTTGCGGGGAGCGTGTTGTAGTCAGACTTCATTTTCGTCTTTTCGTATTCCTTCTTATACTGGACCTAAGGGGAAAACAGAGAATATTCTATAGGTTTGGTTCATATGACACCAACACATCAACTGAGTAGTTTAAAGTAGTTTAAAATTCAACAGGTCATATATATGTATATGTATATGTATATGTATATAAATATGTGTGTGTGTGTGTGTGTGTGTGTGTGTGTGTATGTATATATATACATACATACATACATACATACATACATACATACATACATACATACATACATACATACATACATACTCATGATTAATATGTCACAATCTCTGACAGACAATGATATGGTTGAACATGTGTGGATTTTGTGTTTGGGTATTTCTTTCAACGCAGTGGATCTCCCATAGAGTCATTACATCACATTTTGAAAGCATCAAATAGAGCCTGTTTGTAAGTGACTCATGTGAGTGTAGAGGTTAGCCATGACCCAGGAGCTCATGCTCTCATTGTTGCATTGATTGAGTGACGTGTGTTTATCATTGTGACTCATAGTACAGTGGGTGGGCTTAAAAGATCAGGACTGGTCACCTGAAATTGTAAGCTACTGAAGTGAGTCAAGCTTTTCAAGATTATTAAAGAAATATTTCATTCACCATCCCTCTTCCATACTATATACTCACTGTCCCTCCTCTGTGCCATATATTCACTGTTCCTCCTCTGAACATATATTCACTCTTCCTTATTGAGCAAATGTATTTTAAATTGAAATACTGAAAGAACTGTTATACTGTATGAATGAAAGAGGTATTGTCATGAAGCTCAGGCTGACTGTCTGCAATAAATGCAATATTAGAAGAATTACAAAGCTCAACTGCTTTTTGGAAATCAGTTAAAGATGCATATGTATATTTAAAGAAATGTTACAAAATATATTGCGTAGAAACAAAAATTTCAGCTATTGACAGGTCTATCTATACCTTTTATATAACTGAGAGCATGACAGGACAAAACTACATCAAAAGGACAAGGGCAATGACTCATTAGGTTTTCTCCGTATTAGATAGTGCTGATAAAAATACTACTCCAGTAACTGGTATATTTAAATACTTGTGTACTTAATACTGTGTACTTACCTCGCTGGCGGAAATGCGAGCCTTCTTTTGCGTGTCATAAACGGGCGTCTCTGTTTGCATGAAATATATTTGGTCTTTGATATTTTCAAATTCTTGCGTGTATTTTCTCTGTAAAAGACAATGCCACATCATGAAATTAAAATGTGCACTGTTACTGTCTAAAGAATGCAGTACTGAAAAACTACGTATAGGAGAACTGGACTTACATGGCTGAGGTTATCCATAGCGACTCGGGCAGTGGCGACGTCAAAGTATGGCGTCTCACACCACTGTCCCCTCACGTTTTTATTATAATCCTCCTTGTACTTCAGCTGTAGAAGACAAATACAGGTTTACTCAGATAGTTTGATGCATAGTTTTAGTGTTTTACTGATCAAATACAAATAGTATGAATAGCAGCATCACCAAACTGTGTTGTAGTAACCTAGTTTGTCACAAAAAACTTAAGGATATCTTATATATATATATATATATATATATATATATATATATATATATATATATATATATATATATATATATATATATATATATATATATATACATATTATTATTATTGTTTTTTTTTTTTTTTTATCATGAAATTCAGTTGGAAATAACAAAATAGCCTTACTTAGTACTTAACATTTTCATTTAAATTTATATTCATGCCAAGCTAATAGAACAAAGCATAAAACTAAAATGGACTGCCTATAGATTTTAGAGAGCAATTTTCCCCTGGCATGTAGCTGATTGAGAACCACAAGAAAACAACTGCTTGCAACTATCACAGGCAACTGTTTCTCTGTCATGGTTCAACATCAGCATAAGAAAGAACTAAGGGTCAGGGCTTTGGTATAATTTCATAAAAACTACACTTTAATTTGCCTTAATAAAGCATGAGGAAGATTTAATTCATCATTTTGATTTATTTTTTTTTTTTAATTAAGAATGATTCAGCCTTAGTAACTACTTAATTAAGAATAGTATTAATTACCTATGTTATAATGGAGTTGTGTTTTGTTTCATTCACACACAAACCCTGCATATTTAGGCTCAGTTCATCTCTCAAACTAAAACTATGTTCCACCTTGTGATGTCATGTGGTAATACAGGAATACAGGTGCTGCACTGCATTTTTAAACTGCATATACATTCACTAGAATCATTTTGAAATTACCAGTACGTGACATCATAAGTTGGAAAAGAGCATTTTAAGATTTGGAGATGTAGACAGATTAATAATAAAGGATTACTGAAACATGCGTAAACTGAACAAAACACAACTCCAGGTATGTTTTTGAGCAGGTAACATTATAACATCACTTAAAGCTCACAGGAGGCAATTTTGTATAATATAGGACCTTTAAGTACCAGTAGTCACTAATCCTGAGTGAGTCTGAAGTGTTCAAAATTGGATGCAAGCCATTTAACTTCAGCTTGTAAAGGAAAAACCATATTGAAAAAATCACTGTTAATAAAATGAACAAAGTCATCTTTTTATATCCTCCCCACATGTATGTTCGTGTGTTACTGAGAATAGCTGGGGAATGCTATTGTTGCTTTCACATGCTTGGCTCATTGGGTTTAAAGAGGCAGTCATATAAAGGAGCAGGTGGAGGGTTACAACAGTAGTGAAGCTCTGGTTTTCCCTTGGCTTCACATGAGGGTGTTTCAATAACAGTGACATTAATTGTAATTACTGCTGATTTACCACTAAAAAGACTAACTTGAATAATATTAATTCTTACTGTGATTGTTTACATCGAGACAGATACATTTAATGCCTCTGTATGGAACATTCCAGGCTAAGTACTGTAATAACATTTCTTCTATTCTTCTATTCTTCTATTTAAACACTCAAAATCTTTACATATTTATTTGCTAGGGGCATCTCTGTTCTTTCTCAGACTGGTTTAATACACGCTTGTTAAATGTGTCGTAGACTACAAAAACAATGCCATTATTTTGAATTTTAATATACTGGAGATACTGTGGTGCTTTCTTTTGGGTAAAATGTTTAAAATATTTCCTCTGCTTTTTAAATCATGTTGAAATGTGCAAAACTGTTCTCATGTACTGTATTACTACAGTATACTTCTGCATCCTATTATATTGTATGTTTACAAACCTTTTGAGAAATGTCTCTATAACTGGTTTAGGTTGATCTGGTCCTAGTTCATCCTGATTTATTCTCAGTTCAATGACATTTCTATGTAGAGTAAGCCATAAACCAGTACAATTACAAAATGCTCAAAAAAAGTTTTTTTTTTTTCCTTACATCACTGCGCTGAAGAGCCACTCTCTTGGCCAGTTCCACTTCAGGAGGATCAGCCAGCGAGGTGTACTTGGCTTTGCGTTCGTCATGACCCTTCTTATACTGAACCTATAGACAAACACAGCAAGAATATACATTTACCAAAGGGCTGCAAAATTAACTGCAATCAAATTGAAATTGTGATTTGAATAAAGGCAAGTTTCCGTCAACACTCTCACTCCACCTCTGCTTAGGTGTGGGCCATTTCCCTCAAACAGGTCCTCCCTTTTCCAAAAAAGATCAAAGTTCTCAATGTAGTGCACAATTAGCAAACAAACAACAAAATATCCTGTCTCATTCTAGATGAAAACTGCTAACCATGTAGTTTAGATTTGTACACACATGTACTGAAATGTGATTCTTGTTTCAGTTTGTCGCAATGTCAGAAAAAAAACACAATTTTATATTTTCCCCAAATTGTCCAACCCTTATTCACTATGGTCATTAATTCCTCAAAAGCTGACAATATTTGACCCAGATCCATTGTCCTATAATAGCTTTTATGTGTCCTCTATCACATCAGTAAAAATATAATGTCTCTAAGGAAAATTGGACGATTTAATTACTTTGAATGGCTACATATGACACATCTGAGTCAGCATGAACCAATGGACTGTGAAGACATTATAATAGCCACGCTGAAAATGTGCTAGCTAAGTAATTTGGATTTTGCAAAGTTAAGAGCAGCTAAAGCATTGCCTTAAGTGATAAATTGCATATGATCAATGAACTGGAAATTGCAGAGTGAATTAGTATTTTATCCATTCATCAATCTAAAATGTTGTAAGCATATATGACTTTGCACAAAATTTGTATAAAAACTGCATATTTTCAAATTTATTAACTATGTAAGAAAGTTATGTATTAAGATAGATACTAAAAAGGAAAAATGCTGCTACTTGCTGCTACCTCAAGAGAGCATATTATCAATCAGTCTCCACTGTCACTGCCACAGGTGCACGCCCACTTCTCTGTACTTACTTCATTCTCCAATTTATTTTCTTAACCAGTGATACACACAAGATTCAGCAGTGTTATGTAGTTCTTTTGGTAGAAATAAAAAAATAATAATTTTTGTTCCCTCGCACTAATCATCCACGGGTGTCATACATTAAAACTATATACCAAACAAAAGCACAATATGTTTTTTTAACTCAACTACTCACATCACTGAGGACCTCCTGAGCCTTGGCCACTCTACGCAGCTCAGGGCTGTCGCTGTACGGGAAGTACGTGGTCTTCTCCTCATTCCAGTCATCAGTGTACAGTTTCTGAGAAAGAGGAAAAGAAGAAATTTTGTTATTAACCAACCAAGAATTTTAAGTGGTGGCAGTAGCTCAGTTGGTGGAGTTTGTTTGAGCCAGTGAATTTTAATAAATATACCTGATACTTATACATGCAGTAAACACTACTAAGAGGTCATTTCCAAGGTGGGTGAAGTGTCTTGCCGAAGAACACAACAACAGCCATAGCCACCTGCTGCATGGTTAAATGTATGTCTGTTACTTACTTTGCTGTAGTTAGCAGCATTCTTCACAGCCAGAACCAGCTCAGGAGCATCAGGAGGCAGCAGATAGCGGTCCTTGGTTTCATCCCACTTCTGCCTGTACAGGACCTACAAACATAAAAACAATAAACATATACTCTCTTAAAATCATTCATTGTTTATAAACTAGATTAGCATATAAAAAACAACACAATTAGTATCTCTTTAGAATCTCATTCTACATGGAAAAGGGGAAATTATCTTACAGAATTTAACTAGTTTATGTTCCAATGAGATTAATTTGATCTTCTTCAACTTTAAATATTCTGATTTGATTTAAAGCAGTTGGGTTAGATAATTCTATTTATAAAATCACCATCATAGTAAAATAGGGCTATTTTATTAAGAAATATTAATTAACACAAAATTAACCAATGTATGCAAATCAGCAAAAGATAGTTAGATGACTGGACCCTAAAATAAAGACATGTAACGATGGTTAGCTGTCTTTCCTTTAAAAAAAAAAAAAATCACAAAAGGTATATATTTTAATAGTATATTAGTTAATAAAATGACATTGATTCAGTATTGATTTGTGTGTGTGTATATGCATCATATAAAAGGAGTATTATTGTTTGTAATAATCAGTCGTACCTTGCTGACGAGCTCAGAGACACGCTTGACATGGGCAATCTCTATGGCCTCTCCGTCATACAAACTCGTTGTTCGAACCTTGTTACCCTCCATCCGGTATTTCACCTGACACAAAATTACACAATATTAGCTTTATCTTATAATTGAAGGACCTATATTACGCTATTTTAAGATCTATGCTATAATGTTGTTTCCTCATCAAAAACATACTTAGAGTTTTGGTTTGCTTATTGCACACATGTTTAACAAATAAATCCTGAGTTCTTCTCTCAAAAACTCTGTTCCATCTTGTGATGTCATGTGATAATATAAGAAGCTCTCCACTGTGTTTTTAAACTTCATACACTAAATTAATTTGCATAAAACTGAAATTAACATTATCTAGGGCAAAATGTAGCTGTTAACTTAAACTATCACTACACCACAGAATGGAACAGAGCATTTTGAGCTTTATAGATGTAGACAGACTTATAATAAAGGATTACTCAAACACATGAATGAAACAAAACACAACTCCAGGTTTGTTTTTGATGAGGTAACATCATTTTAACATGGCTATAAGCTCACAAAAGTATATTTTTCAGTCTATATAAAAACATAAATTATGTATTATGGTGTATACTGTTTGTGAATCAATTGGACATCTGAACTTTGTAAGGAGAATATAAAACATATCTATCTAAAGAGTGCTGTTTTCAGTATGTTTTGTACCTCGCTGAGCTGCTCCTGGGCCTTCCTGATGCGGATCATCTCGGGGGTGTCCGTGATGGCAGCAGGAGGAGTCCCTTTGGACAGCTCATAGGCCTGTCTGTATTTATTCTGTCACAGTCCACACACAGGGAAAACAACATTCAGTATTCACAGTTTACAACAGTATTCTCTGATAATACTATAATAACAGTAAAGTAGTCATTAATCAAAGATATATATACAAAAAAATAACATAACGCTACATAAATTAAAGAATGAATATCTAATGTGCTATCTATACATTTAATACAATTTAATACAATCATAACATTAACAGAAATGACAGAATATACTATATGCGTATGAGATATTTTTCATTTTAAATGCTTTTGTATATGTCATTTGTTTCAAACACGTCTATGAATTGTGTTAAAACTTACTGACCTTTGATTAAACTCTTCTACAAATGTGTCTTTATACAAATGAGTATTGTAGACAGTGGATATTTTAATAAATTCCTCATAAAGAATATAAATATTATGTTGTGTTGTCTCTTACGTGGCTGAACTGCTCCAGCATCTTCTGGCTGTGGGCCAGGTACGGAGTCATGAACTTGGAAGTGTCCACCTTCACCTTGGGCCTCACGGCCCTAGAGGGCAGCCCAGTCTAGGCCAAGAAATAAACAGTTAACTTCTATAGATATTTTATATTTTACTTGTATATATTTTATATATGAAAGAGGTTGCTGTTGGAGGTAAGTGGTGCCCTATTAAGGCTGCACAATATAAAAAACATAACACAAGGCTAAAATTGGGTTAAATTAATAAAACCCTGAATAAAACTTAAGGGGAAATATATAACGTTTCTGGTGGAGAGTCCTTTGCCTGCTTTACCAAGAATACTCCACAATATAACATTAAACTCGTCTATATACATGGAGACAAAAAAGACAAAAAAGTGACACTATCAGGCCAAACTGCAGGTCATATCTGTGAAGAGGTGACCCCACTCACAGTAAGACTGCATGTTTTTAAAAATTATTTCTGAGCAATAAAAATAACTATAATAAAAAAATATATATAATAATAATTAAATAAAAGCAGGGTGAAGATTTATTCAAGACTCAGGGCAAAGCAAAAACATTTCCATGGAGACAAGTAGGTGGCAGACCCTCCACCAATGAAGTTACATTGTGCACCTTTAATTCATATTTTGCAAGTAAATGATTAAACATGTTCAATGTTTAATGAATTTTCAAACATCAAATATTTTCAAAATTTGTAATTCAAAACTTGATTGTGATAAAATTAATTTGAGGATGATGCAAATTGTACAGCCCTAATCACTATCACTACAAAAGCAGGTACTAATGCTTTTACCACTGCAATAAGCTATACTAGTAGCCATAGCTCTTACAGCAGCTTAGCGCAACTTACCTGTCACCAGGGTCTAAACTAGCTCACAGCAGCACATATCTACATCATAATGCTTAAAAAAGAAGCATTATGGTAATGATGGAAATGGTATGATGTGTAATGAGAAATAAAAAGTAAAAAATAAGAACATGTGAGGAACGGTAGATTGAAATGTTGTAGGCTGCAATATCAGTATTGGTAACACTTTATAATAACTATACTACAGCCTTTAAAAGCATGAGGAAAGAGAATTCATGATGACCAAATGATTAATTAAGAATGTTTCTGGCCTAGTAACTACTTTATTAAGAGGTTAGGGTTGGTTAGGGTATTAATTAAGTAGTTATTAAGCATGAATAATTCAAATATAAATAATAAATAATAAAAATAAATGTTTTGTTGATGAATTTCTCCATGTTTTATTAAGGCTAATTAAGATGTTGTTATTACCAAATAGTAAGTATTACCAAAGTTAGAGATAGACCGATATCGGCCTATATATCGTGCTGATTTTTTGCACTTTGCACAAGAATTGGCTATCGGCTTTAAATCTTCAGCACAGGCCGATATTTAGGTTTGGCCGACGTGCCACTTTTAGATAATGCTCCCTTTGAACACATTTGAACACAATATTAAACTGCTCCCTTTTAGGTTTATGATTTTAAAAAAGAGCTGTGAGTCTGTAGTCATTTAAATTTAATCATTTGAGCAACATAATCCAAATAGGCCCAAAAATATCGGTTCCACTGGAGTCTACACAATCAGTATCAGCCTCGGCCATATTGATTTCTATCCAAAGTATTTGATTTAGCTGAAGTTGCCTGTTTCACCATTTACAGTTTCCATATTTTGGGTTGGAAATGCACATACAAATACACTAGCATGCGGACATGAAGGGCAATGCACCATTGCTAGCATAGCGGCCATCCTCGGTCCCTTGAAGGAGGTGCTTTACCTGCTGCATAGAGCCACTTGAAGTAGTTGTAGTATACTCCTCCGTGGTATACTCCTCATAAACATACTACAAATATAGGACACTATGTGGTTTCAAAGGTTATGGGAGAAACAGCACAAGATAAACAGGGATTGAGGTTGAATTTTCTCCAGCTCTGCTACTACTACTACTACTACTGCACTATTAAGAGAACTAAAATGAAACAAGGGCAAATAAACTACAAATCAACCAAAAGCATCTGAGAAATAAACCAGTCAACACTGCAATTTAGGTCCTATCTAGTCAGTACGACCAGAAGTAAACATCCTGCCTAAACACTGAACTTTGAATCTTCTTTATAACTGAAATATTGATTACATTACATACATTAACAAAACAAAAATAACATTACAACTTAGAATCTTGATTTAAGAGGATAAGGTTTTACTTCCACAACCTCTTGCTCCTTGATTGCTCTTGTCTATTTCAGGCTGCATGCTGAACACACCTATATTTCACTGTGATGACTACACGCCTTCTAAACCATGGTCTCATATGACAATTATTCATTTCTATTTATTCATTGTACTGGCTGTGCCTGTGATCAGTTGCTACAGCACAGATTGTTTGCACAGCTTTCCAATCCCAGGGTCTGTTCACACAAAGTCCTATAGGATTACACTGACCCAAATAAAATTACAACAAAGTCAACAGAGTAGGTTAGGTGCTGGTCATTAGCAAACCAATTTTCTATAATTTCAAACCCCGTAGTTAAAGGAGACATAGTGTGCTTTAAATTGCATATATTACGCTATTTTCTGATCTATATTCTTATGTTGTTTCCTCATCAAAAACAAACCTGGAGTTGTGCTTTGTTCCATTCACATGTTTAACACACAGATCCTACATATTTAGTTCTTCTCTCAAACAGAAAACACTGTGTTCCACCTTGTGATATCATTTAGCAATACAGGAAATGTTTCACTGTGTTTTTAAACTCCATATACCTTCACTAGAATCATTTCAGTAATTTCAGGCCTGGAATTGCCAGTGTCTACTGAACAAAAGGTAAAATGTAGAGGGTAACTTGAAAGCTACCGCTTCATGACATCACAAGATGGAACAGAGAGGTTTTGAGCTTTGGAGATGATTTATAATAAAGGATTACTCTAACAACACCAGGTATGTTTTTGAGGAGGTGAAAGCAGAGTATTTTCTAGTGCATGGTCGCTTGCTTGTCTTCATGGAGATGTTCTTGCTTTGCCTGGAATGTATATAGTAATCATACTGTGACATTAAACATATCTAGATCCATGGAAAGATGAAGCCACCAGGCCAAGTTATAGGTTTGATCCATGGAAAATTCTAGGAAATGCAAAAACATCTCTTTGGTGGCTGAAAAGTCAGTATAAATGAAACAAGTTTGGGGAAAAAATAAGTAGGCATCTTAATAACAGATATACATTGGTATGCTTTGTAGTGGAAAAAATGTGAGTAGTTTGGAAGTTCATAAGGTTCACTTGGCATAATATGGCTCCTTTAAATGTATGCTGTAGCAAAATGTAGATCTAAAACCACCAGGAATGCACTTTGAGTCCAAGAGTGTCTTCCTTTCCACACATAGCACACTCTAAATAGCATGTCTAACTTAAGGCTAAGTTCCACAGCCAAGAAGAAACTCTCACATTAACTCATATAGCTTTTAACATTATGATCTTGAAGTGCAATTTCATCACCTACAAAATTTAGAAGATCATAGGCAAGTTCACAACAACAAATTGGACTAAACCAGGACTAGAACAGGCCCAAACCAAGTCTACAACAGGACTAAACCAGGATCAAACCAGGCACTAAAATACAATGTGAATGCATCCTTAGCAATACAACACAACATACAAAACATTACAATATTTTCTGCACTGATGACTAGGGTATTCATTGCCTACCCTGTTTAATTCCAGCTATTCAATTCTGTTAAATTCATTCAAAGTGTAAACTCCAACCTGCTCTAACAAAACAAAGCTTAAACAAAAATGTTCATCATCTGATCTGATTTTGAAACCTTAAAAATTGATCAGTAAACTAACTTGGAATTTTCCCTAAACTGAAAAATCATTCTTGTACAAAACCTGGTTAATCTACCTCTTGATCTGAACCAGAGCTGAGAGAAAAAGCATCTCAAACCATTATCAACATTTGTAAGTGGCTTCATAATTATAATCTATCAGACACGAGAGAACCATAGGAATACAATAAGGACCTAACCAGCTATTATCAGTAATAGCAACTGTCCTATGCCATTACAAGCTAAGTATATTAGTACTGAATGAATTAATACTATGACCTTCTATTTGAACTTCTAGAATATGCTACTAAGGTCATTTATAGCCTCTGCCGTCTAGGTTCCGTTTCTTCTACCAGTCAATGTTCCCAAAATGTCTACTTCTAAATTTGTCATATGGCTAGACTGAGAAATATACATCTAAAAAATGTTTATTTAACAGTAATCTTTAACAGCTCTGAAAATTGTGAAAAGATCTTATAAACTCATTGTGGTTAATAATTAGGATTCTCAGTAATGTATAAATGAGAAATAACAGCCATTGGACCACTGCTGTTTATAAAGAAGCAATTCTGGTTTTCATATTTTTGGGAGAGTAAAAATCAGGTGCAGCACATTTAAGTATACTACGACCAAAATGCTACTACTACTTGAAATTTAGTACTGCAAAATTGTAATAGAATAAATGCCTAATGAATTATTGGCCTATTTCAAACATATTATTAGTATTTTTAGACTAAAAAGCCTTGCTAGCACTATGTTTCTCCCCATTCTGTAGATACATATGAGGCCATCTTACTTAAATGCATAATTTCTCCACCGTCAGATGAAAGTTTAAGTGAAACCAGAGTGTATGTGATATAGATATATCCTCCCTCGTATTTTGATTTACTATCTTTTTGATAGTAAATCACTGATATGTTATATGGAAGTTTAATTAATTAATTTAATTAAACTTTTTATTTAATTTAATAACATTTTTAATAAAAATCATATAAACTTCCCTATAAGGTATCAGTGTTAACTGACAAAAAATACAAAGCTATTTTAATCCTATTTCACCAGGAAATAAGGATTAGAATGAAGCCTTCTGCTTTCACTCTTCTACTGGACACTGACATGGAGACTTTGAACAACACACACTAGACATTGAGCAGTACATTGAACATATAAATAGAATAACAGTAATAGTGGCACAGTTGGAAATGACATAAAACAAATACAATGTCTATACAATGAAACAATGACAAAATGCATTGGTAACTACAACATCTAAAATGGTTGGCCCCTTGATTAGATGTCGTATGTGTAATCAGCCATAACAAACCTACCGGTATATACTTTTTGTCTTCAAAACATCTTCTATTCACTATAATGGTGAGGACTTTTGAAGTTAGACACCCCTAAATTGTGATTATTCAAGAGCCTATTTTGCTAAGATAATGATCAGTTATAAGCTTTTTTTAGAATAATATACACATTTTATTCATATGACCAGAAGTCAAAGCAATGTAAGTGGTCCACTAAATGAGAAAGACCACAACTCACTTAATGACAAACACAATTTCATGGATACATTTTTCAATTATAAGTTTAATAGGTTAAGTATAGTACTTTAGTATTGCAGACGTCTCTAAATGTTTTCTTTTTAATGTCTCGATACAACAATTTCAAACTCAATTTCAATACTATAAAGACCTAATATCCAATTTGTCTTTTTAAAACCACAACTTTTCATGCAATGCAATGTAATTTTTAACACAACATGATGGTAGTTTTCTTTTATCATGTGGTCTTACATTAGTTGTGATAAATCTTTTTAAAACTGCTCAGGAAAGGTTAAATTTGTTCTGCCGGTGTGATTGGTTCAATATTTATACTTGTTCAAATTATTATAGTTTCAATACAAGTTTTAGAATAGGTATTGGTGTATTGATTTTGTGACAACCATATATTAAACTTTATCATTGACAGCATTAAGTAAGTTAGGTGGAAAAGTTAAAGCTGGTGGCACACTGTAAATCCAAGCTAAAACAAGTGAGCAACTGTCTTGTGTATTCTGTGGGTGATGAGCGATGACACTAGACTGGCTAATGGTATGTGACCATCTGCCAAAACAAGACTTTAGCTGTCTGTGCCTTCAAAACAACACAATATTGATGCTTGCTCATACTGTATATTTGTATTTGTATATCAAAGTCTATTTTTATTGACCTTATTATATTGCCTGTCTTTATTTTTGTTTTACCAGAGTGTATATCATTATTCACTGTTTTATGTTATACCATAACACTGAAGTGATAGCAATTAAACCTATTCTGATTTGATATAGATCTTTTACTTTAAAGTTTAAATAATGTGTGCATTAAACTTAATGTAATAACATTTGTTAATTGCGCACCATGTAATTTTTCGAGGGGTAGGTCTGTTGTCTTCTTGTCAAAGTTAGCACTTTGCCTGGAATGTTCCAAAGTATAGAATAAAACATAGGAATGCAAATTAATGCAAGCAGGAGGTATCGCTAACCAATTTACAAGTCAGATTTAAGCGTGTTTTTAAGCAGTAGCAACATCTTGACTGAATAAATGCCAGATTGATATGTTTAATGCCATACTGTGGGACATTTTTAGCAATTCCATCATCGTGGATAGAAGCACAGAAGAGGCAAGTGGTGGATCCCCTACCAGAGAAGTTACATAGTATATACTTTTAACTAGTACAGATACCATATTGATTGTATACATGGTCCTATTGGAGTATTTATGTGAAACCAGATCAGATATTTAAAAAAAATATATAGTATACATGAATAACTATTATAAAAGGATAGATTATTCAGGTTTTTGTGAAGAACATGGTTTATGAATTGACATTATGTGCCAATAATATTTTACTTTTGCAAGATTGATGTTTTCACAAGACCACAGCGTGCCCATTTAATTGCCAGTTAACGTGCAATGGACATATTACTAATTGCTTACAAGAATAACAAGGTA